GGGTCTCCTCTCTCGGTAGTTGCGAGCCCTTGATTTTTCTTTTCAACTGCCTATTTGTCAGGCAGAGGCCTGGTACTTGTATCGCGGTTCATACCTTATCAATATATAGGTACAGGTTCAGAAGTGGACAACTCACATCGTGTCGAACGGTATCATTGAACCCGATCGGCCCTTGCAGCACTCTAGAGCATTCATGCATCCTGTCTTGAGGTGCTAGCACAACTAGATCCCAGTAGTTTGACTCTTGTGCCTTGGTGGTGCTTCAAATCAGCTCGTGGCAGTGACAGCTCATGTAAGCGTGCGGCACGTCTGCCCGTCTTACTTCATGCTATCACATGGATATGCATCGCTGGCTGAATCTGCGATGGATGCCATGTGCATAGTAGTATCCGGGAGAGGTTGTTTTCTCGGCGGACTTCCGTCTCTCTTCTCGGTGGCTTCTTGGACCATCTTGCAAGAAAACCAATGCTGTGGCCAATTGGCAGTAGAAACAACGAGATGATTGTGATCCATCTCGAGTATTGACATCAGGCTGCTTATCTGGAGAGCAGAGCAAAGCATTGTTCGTATCGTCAAGGACCCTTGCTGTGACCGCTGGCAATCGTCTTCATCTCGACGGGTGCCACTCAACGAAATGCTACCTCAGGCTACTCAATGGCCGGCCCTAGTGATGCACCGTCACCTCCCATTCTACGGCCGGTGTAGCATCGATGTTCTTTGATTGCCAGGGTCGGAGAGCCGCCGCCTGCTTGATTAGTCTCGGTCTATCTTTCTCTTCAGTTTGTCGGTTCCAGTATTGCTACTGTCAATTCTTGCTGGCTCGTCGGACGAACCAGGCCTCGAGCAGACCGGAATAGCCTCCTTCTAGCGATAGTCGTCAATCAAGGTAGACTGGTAGACTGGAATTGCAGGTCCTTAGGTAGTAGTCTCTGCCAGCATCCGAGCCTCTGTTCTCCTGCAGTCCTCGATACAATCACCATACATGTACTCAGACGGAAGTTGGCATGCCATGGACGCAAAACTATCCCCCAGCTCTGCTTCGGAATCTGCCAGCACCCTTCAATTGTTCTTGTCGCCCCTCTTCCCCTCCTCCTCTTCTCCCCCCCCGGCCCAATCACTCGTCCCGTCAGCACATGTTTCGCAACGCCATTTTTCTGTGCCGTGTAACGGGCCAGACACAGACACGCTGGCAGGGGCCCCCTCTGAGCTGTGCTTTGATTTCAATCCCTTGCTTTTTGCCGTGCGGTATACATTGTGCCTTACGAGACGGGCAGACAAGAGGGCCGAGTGTCACCGCGAGCCCTTGCGAGCTCAGCACTTTGTTTTGTGCCCTGTCCCTCGTGCTTGCGTGCTTGCCGGGTCGGTGGTCCCAGTTGGTACATGCAGCTGTAGCTCACATACGCATATCCAGATGTTGGAGATGATTGTTCTAGAGGGAGGAGGAGGTCTACGTAGATAGCACCTAGGAGTAGCGATTATTGAAAGGGCACAGGATATTCATGTTGTCAGAATCAACACTGCGAGCGCCCCAATATCGGCTTCCATCCCCTCCTGCTCGCCTCCCTGTCGGATCCCTCAGAAATCTGGCGGCCGTCTCGCGCCTCATTCCTCACTCCATATCCTCCCTGGGCTCCTGTGGTTCGAGGGCACGCCCGCTATCGACACGATCCTCGTCGAATTCAAGTTTGCTACATCTACATTCCGGCCCAGCATTTCTGGCGCTCCTCGCTTGAGCGCGGTCGAAATACAATTAAACCCCATCAAGCCCTCGCCTCTCAGCCCCCAATTGCTCGCTTCTACTCTCTCTCTCTCTTTTCTCTCCCCAAATCCGTTCTATGGCGCACTGGACATAAAAAAAAAAGTTCATTTGTTTCTTTACCGAGCCCATTTTGTGGCATCACATGTGGCATTAAGCAATAAATTAAACACAGCGCTACTTTTCGTTAGGAGACGCCATCTTGGCCACCAGATTCCGCCTTGAATCCTCTGGTGAACTTTACGCTCCCTTTTCTTCACGATTTTCCATCTTAAATTTCTTCACGGCGCGCGATTGAGCCTTTATGAGCGTCACGACACTTCCGTCACTGTACATGCAGATCACGACCCGTACTACTTTTCAACCAAAATATACGTGACAAACAAGCCACCCAGCCGAGCCGAGCGAAAAGACGCCTCTTACAAACAACGCCTCCCTTCCTCGAAGCATCTTAGAAGCAACACCAGGCGCGCCTCAAATCTTCCAGGTGAGTTGCCGGTCTTTCCAGAACGAAGCACCGTCTGCCTGATTCGCCGCCAGCACCTTAATATTGCGTTGGGAAATCCTCATTTCAAACCTTCCACTTCCTAGTGCTGCGATGAGCCTCCGCCATAGCGCCTGATCCCCCCCATCTCCCTTGTATCTGAGCTTTTGGATCCCCAATATCCCTTTGATCAAACTTGTTCCCCCTTCTCCGTCGACGCCCCTCTGGCTGTCGTAGCCCAACACGTACCGCCTTACACGATCGTGACCTCATTACCTTGTTCTGAGTTCTGCTTGTTGGACGCCTCCATGTAGTCGCCTTACCACCTCCCTGCCTACCTACATACGCGACCCCTAGTCCTTTGCTCTTATTTAATGCTCCTCCCCCCTGCAAACGAAAACTACCTAAGACCAGCAACCCTGATCGCAGGCATCTCCCAGAAGACGCCCGCCGGCATTGCTGACACGTATATCGAACTCGCAGTCTTCGATAGTGATCTTACTCGGCAAAACCCCAGACGGCCAGAGCGGCCACGAGGAGCACCTGGCATCGAAAACATACAGGTGCTGCTATTCCTGCTTGGGGAGTCGAATTTTTCCGCGTCTCGCAGTGGCCGGCCGTGTTGTTTGACCTGGTCTCAAGCGACCTCGAGCCCTTATCTTCAAGGGAGGGCCAGCGTCCGCGAGTACTTATTGCGCCGCCTTCCTGCACACAGCACGCAAGCACGGCGCTCGTTGGTGCCCGTCCTGGTGTCTATAACCTTCTGACTATAGCATCGCGACCGTTTCGAACTATACAGGGCCGTACATAGCCAGAAGCCGAATCACGGGGACCGAGAAAGTGTCCTTGACTCGCTTGCTCAGTCACAAAGAGTACAGGGAAAAAACAAAAGGTCCAGTCGACTCCAGAATCAGTCACATCAAGCTTTGCGCAGAGTCTCTCGAGGTTCCACCACCAAGGCGTCCACCCACTTTGCTTGCCCAGTACAGGCACCAGATATCAGCTCCAGCACTGGACCTCGCCCAGCTCAATCTCGATAGGTAATACCAGACGTTCAAGGTTCCGTTGTTAGCAACCCGTCCTGCAGTGGACTGCTGGCACCAGCACGCGGCCTGGTAGTTGGTTCTGCAGTGCATCGGCACCTGTCCGTCAGCGCACCTGTTCGCTGGCTCTCGCCCCCCTCTTCGGCTGCACCTCAGCGATAGCCATCCAGGATCCAATTGCCCTTGCGCAGCGCTGCTCTCGCCCGTCCAGTCCATTGGCCTGCGGTAACCTGCAATCATGAATTTCTCGACCCTCGTGGATCCAATTCAGTTGGACGCGTCCGCTGCCGGCAGAGACAGAACCAGCCTGTCCGTTACGGTGAGAGAGCCGTCTGGTTCTGGTCGTCGTGTGAGTAACACTTTCATTTCAGTCCTGATCAACAGACTCCCTTTCTCTCCCCACTCTGCGCATCAAAACCCTTGCCCGCCGCCAAAGTGCAAACAGCGCCGCAACCCAAAAAGCGCCGTCCCCCAGCCTGATCCCGGCAGCGGACAGACGACGTCAGAGGGGGGCCGCTCGAGTGTCTCAAAAGGTTGCGCCAGCCTAGCGCCTACGGAAGGAGGCTTGATTCGCCCTTAGCGGGTCACAAAGGCCTGACTCCCCACGCCTTGGCCCTCGTCCCAACCTCAGCATTGTTTCGTCCTTGTCGTCTGCATCTGCCTTTCCATTACTTTTATCTCTGCCTCTGCCCTGCTCTGGTTCTGTCCTGACCGCCGCAACGATCGCTAACTGTCCTCCCTCGCTCTCTTGCTCCAGGCGCGGCTGAGGCCCTATCACAGCTTTGCCATGCCCTCTGGATCTGCCAGCAACGCCCAGCAGCCCGTGGGCTCCTCGTCGTCCTTTTCCGGCTCCAACCTGTATCCGAACCCCAGCATCTGGTCGCCCTTGGCGCAGTCAAACGCTGGAGGCCGCTCCAGCGCCAAAGGTGTGTACATGGACTCTGCTCCCGCTGGCCGCGCGCCATCACCAGGACGGATTGGATCCCGGCCGCGCCTTGGATTCCCCGTGCTTGGAGGACGCACACGACTGACCACCAATGGCACAGAACCAGAGGAGAATCCCACAGGCTCGAGTGCCCTCAACGCCAATTCCGAGGTCGAGATCTGGGCCGCCTCCAACGCCAGGCCCTGGAACACAGAAAACCCTGCACGCTCCGTCAGCAACTCGCCCGGCCGAGCACGAGATGCAGGCATCCCCACCACCTCTGGTCTTTTTGCCAACAGTCAACCAGCGGCCGTTGGCATGAGGAGTTCCAGCAGCCTGGTTGACGAATCGAGCCAATATCCCTTCAACAATGCCCAGAGACGAGCCCCCCAAGATGCCGCCTACAACGATCCCATCGCTGCATTTGCGCAGTCCCGAGAAAACAGCATCCCGTCCTCTCGGCCCTCTCAGGGCTCTCCGGGTTATGTTGATATGATATATCAACAGAATCCTTATCAGCAGAGCACCGGCCATAACGCCAACGGCGTACCCGTTTCGACCAGGCAGCCGCACAACAATCCTCTGTCCTTGCCCCAGGCTACAAACCAGCGGGCGTATTTTCTGAATAAACAAATCGAGGATGACCTTGCTCTCAGCATAGCCCGCCAGCTCGCCGTGAACGATAACTCGGCCAGCGGCCAGCCCTTCAACCCCACTTACGTACCGTGGGGGGTGAGCGAGCCTGGCCTTTCGAGGTTTGGAAGTGGCCTTGGGGCCAATGCGGACCCTCTTCAGCTTTCTGCAATCAGGCGCCCTTCGGTCGACAGACCTTCGCCGGCGCCAGCTGCCTCTCTCTACCGCCTGGAGTCCGGTTCAAGCTCGAGAGGCCTCGTCCCGGCGGCGGAGCCATGGAACAACGGCAGCAGACCATCCTCACGAGGCCAGAGGACGGCGGAGCATGAGCGAAGGGTTTCTGGCCAGCAGATGCCTGCTGCGTCCAACTTCCCTGCGCAGTTTTACCAAACTCCATATGGCTATGCCCAGGTGCCTGCCGGATATTCTTCTTACGCGCAGGCTTACACACAGAACTTCCGCCCCATGCTACCCAACTACCCCGTCCAGTCAATGCACCCCGAATACTCCATGGCCCCCATCAGGCCCTCCCGCGACCAGGATCCCAGCAAAGGCATGCGCAGCGCTCTGCTCGACGACTTCCGCGTCCACGGCAACAAATCCAACAAGCGCTACGAGCTCCGGGACATTTACAATCACGCTGTTGAGTTCAGTGGAGATCAGCATGGCTCCAGATTCATTCAGCAGAAGCTTGAGACTGCCAACAGCGACGAGAAGGAGCAGATATTCCGCGAGATTGAGCCAAACGCCCTGCAGCTCATGAAGGATGTCTTTGGCAACTACGTCATCCAGAAGTTTTTCGAGTACGGAAGCCAGCTTCAGAAGAAGATCTTGGCAGAGAAGATGAAGGGCAAAGTGGTTGACCTGTCTGTCCAGGTCTATGCCTGCCGTGTGGTTCAAAAGGTGAGTACAACTGACGCCCCCTTCAACAGTAAGGCCTTTTCTGACTAGGTCTCTCACAAGGCTCTGGAGCACATTTTGGTTGAGCAACAAGCTGCGCTGACACGCGAGCTGGAACCCGAGATCTTGAAAGTCATCAAGGACCAGAACGGCAACCACGTTGTGCAGAAGATCATTGAGCTGGTGCCGAGACAACACATTGACTTCATCATGAACGCTGTGCGTGGACAAGTGACACCCCTGGCCTCGCACGCATACGGTTGCCGGGTGATCCAACGACTGCTCGAGCATGGCACCGAGGCCGACAAGGCGGAGATCATGGGCGAGCTCCACGCCTCTGCTCAGATTCTCATTACCGACCAGTACGGCAACTACGTCGCTCAGCATGTCATCCAGAACGGCGAACCGGAAGATCGCGAGCGCATCATTAAGCTGGTCATGGGCCAGCTTCTCACCCTCTCCAAACACAAGTTCGCTTCCAACGTCGTCGAGAAGTGCATCGAGTACGGCACACCCGCGCAGCGCACAACTATCCGAGAGCAACTGACGACTGCCGGGCCCGACGGGAACAACCCTCTCCAGCAGATGATGAGAGACCAGTTTGGCAACTATGTGATCCGTAAGTTCTGTCCCACTGACAGGAGTTCAGGTCCATGGGAGTTGGTAATGCTAACTGTTGGATAGAAAAGCTGCTGGGTCAGTTGAAGGGTGAGGAGAGGGAGGCTCTCGTCGAGGAGATCAAGCCCCAGTTCTACACTCTCAAAAAGAACGTAGCTTCTCGACAGGTACAGGCGCTCGAGAAGCTGCTCGGATTGAGTGGCACCAAGAGCGAGAATTCTGCCCAGTCAGACACGAACTCTGTGACCGAAGTCCCCTCCCTGACGCATGAGACAAACAGCCCGCAAACAAACAGCCCGCCTAGCATCCACGCCAGCGCTGTCGGAGTTCCATCCATTGACGCCGCAGGAAAGAAGGGCTCTGGCGACTCGATCCATGGAGTGGCTTTGCAGGTCGAGGAAGCCGAGTCGTGAAGCTGTTCGTCGGACTGTAAATGTTTGACGGAGCAGCTCTTTCGATTCAACATTCCCATTCTTCGAACGAAAGTATTACGACGACGGTATCCACAAACCATAGGACCAAGTGGTATCGATACTGTGCAAACCTGCTCATTCCCATTCTACTATTCTATCCTAATATATTGGACGGAGGATGCATAGCGGTTTGACTTTTTTTCTTTTTCTTTCTGGCCGACTGACTGACGACGATATACGGCCATGGATTCTGGATATTTACCAGGACAAGACGAATAAAGGGAAGCGGTATATCTATCCAGGAATGGGGCTCTTTTCTCTCTCACTTCACGGATGACGAAAACACAAATCTGGGGCTTTTCCTTTCTTCTCTTTTTTTGGGGGGGTCACCGGGAGTCTCTTCTACGTTTGCTCTTTGTTTAATCTCTCTTCTTCTCTGTGTTTCTCCTCTTACCTTTTTTCCTTGTCTCGCCACCAACTATGGGCGTTTCTACTTGGTCACTCCTTTCCAACGAGAGCCGAGAGCCGGGCTATGGCACATACTGGGTAGGACGGGCGAGGGATGCAAATGTACTTTATTGCAACGGTTGGGAGGCGCTACACCTGGGTCTGGGATCACGTCCATAGAAAAGCTGTAGAGAGGTTGAGACGCTCACATGTCTCACTACAGAATGGGGACCCGCGGCCGGTACACCTGGGAGTCTGCCGAATTGTCATAACAGGTAGTGCTAATACTTGGTCTGTACCGGCCCTTTTTTTTTTAATCCTTCCAAGACTACAATCTGCCGCGTGAAGATGAAGTGCCGAGGCTTGGTGATGATGATTGCCGTGGCGGATCAACGTTTTAGCGCCATCTGCCTTGTTGTCTGGCACTTGTGCCTTGTTCCGACGATAGCCACTTTTCCGGCACCTTGGACTGCCACCAGCCTGTCCCACCAACGCATCCAGTAATGACCTCGTTCCGCTCCTTTCCATCATTTGTTGCCCCCATCAAAGAGGGAAGAATCATTGCCTCGTCTCTCCCATGAATCCCCTCGAGTTATAGCAAGACTGGTTTGATCTTGGCTTTATTGCCTTTCTTTTTGTCTTCTTTCTCAACCCCCTCCTTCGCCATGGCTGCCGTGGGGAGATTGGCGTTTCTGTATCCCCAGCTGCTAAGGACGGCGGCGGCGAGGGGCTGCAGCCCGACGGTGGGATGGGCGACGACGGCCACGACGACGACGACGACGGCTTCGACAAATTATACGTGCGCCGGCGCGAGGTGGAATAGTTCGTTTGCAAAGAGGCATGGCAAGGCCGTTGAGCCTGCGGAGTGGGAGAAGCAGCAGCAGCAACAGGATAAGGACAAGGACAAGGAGGTGCCAGCCGAGACGACGGTAGAGGGCGAAACGGCGGATAGCGATACAGCAGCAGCAGCAGCGGACGCAGCAGCAGCTGAGGCGAAGACTGATATTGGGAAGCTATATTTTCGAGAGGGAGACAAGAAGGCGGCGACAAAAGCAGCGACCGACGCCCCTGAGATGGACGCTGCTGCTGCTCTCAAGGCGCAGCAGCAGCAGCAGGAGCCCAAGGCTGCGCAAGGCCAGGCCGAGACCAAGGCATCATTACCGGAGCGGGCGAATGCGGAAACGGAGACGGCGGCTCCGTCTGGGGCGCCGAAGCAAGCTGAATCGAGCGATGCGAGCGCGAGTACAAGCGCCAGCGGCAGCGGGAGCAGCAGCCCCGATCCTGGCAAGCCCGGCATACCGAAGGAGGGCACCAAGATGAGCGACAAGCTGGATACCGTCTACTACATGGGCGCGCCCGAGAGCGTGTCGCAGCAGACGCCGTCCATGGCGCCGCCGAAATACGTGCACCACTTTGACAGCTATTCTCTGGTCAAGCAGCTGCAGGAGGGGGGTTACAGGGGCGAGCAGGCCGTCACGATGATGAAGGCCATTCGGACCATTTTGGCGCATAATCTCGATATGGCGCAGGAGAGGCTTGTTAGCAAGAGCGATGTGGAAAATGTGAGCTTATATATCCGTCTCAGCTTGCTGGTGTTTTTGTTGCGGCGGGGAGGGTGCTTATGTGGCCTCTGCTGAGCTGGGTTGAGAGTGTACTGGACTGACATGAGATGTTCATAGGAGTCTTACTTGTTTTCTGCTGCGTGCTCCGAGTTGGCCGCCGAAGTGAGGAATAACCGGCGGGCTCAGGATGAGCAGACGCGGCAGCAGCGCACGCATCTCCAGCACGAGGTCGACATTCTGACGCAGACGCTGAACCAGGAGCTGCTCACCCTCAACGACAATGTGCGGGGGCTGTTCAACGACCGGAAGATGACGGTTAGAGAGGAGCAGAAGGCAATGGAGAGTGCCGTATGTCTTTAAACCAGCTGACTTGCCTCGAAGTTGGGAGAGATTGTGTGATTTTTTTTTGGCTAACTGGGTGGCAGATTCAACAAATCAACTACAAGATCAGCATCATGCTGAGCAGCGACTCCAAGTCGGAAATCGAAGGCGTTCGCTGGATCCTCATCCGGCGGTCCGTGGTGGGCATCCTCTTCATGGCCATCTTGATGCTGGGAACGATACGGTATGCCACGTTTGTCAGCCACGAGCGGCAGCGGGAGCTGGACCGCAAGAAGAAGGAGGAGGAAGAGTTGAAGAAGGATGGCGGCAAGAATGATCGCAGCTCGGGGCCTGATGCGGCGGCTATTCTGGCAGCGAACTGATGTTCTCTTTCGTTCTCTTGTTGATTTTGTTGTTGTTGTTCCGTTTCTGTTCACGATTGGTTATGAGGAGATACAGGGGAGACGAGGGTCGGGCTGGTTCTTGGCCTCGTTTGGACGAGGTAGACGAGGGATGCAATGGTCGTGTTTGTTATGATTGACTGGGCAAACCTGATACCAAAAATTTGCGAGGGAACAGACCTGAAGTTGACTAGAAAAGAGGTGTACATAGATCTTGGAGTTGGGAAGCGGCGGCAGGCTGACCGGGTACATAGAGGACATGGGCTGGGAGGTTTATACAAGTTGGCGGGAATATGATAGATATGGATGGAGCAACGGGTTATAGCAATCGAGGAAAGTTAATAGGCGGCCGTGCATGATTATCGTACGGTGCTCAGCCGATACTCTGCTTATATTCGACAGAGCTGTGTGGACCTGAGTTTTGGTGAAAGGGGGCGTCGAAGATGTTGATCAAAGAGTCACAGGAGCATCAATTCTCAACAACATAACATGACAAAAAAACTATACGCTGCCGACGTCTCAACTTTAAAAGTCAATCCATTAAAAGGCCAATCTTCGTAATACTATCTCACTTCCCCAGCAAATCCACTTCTGCTTATGGCCCTTTAGCGGTTCAAGTTGTTAGAAAGGAAGCGTCACGTGCGCCGTCGTCAAAACGTCAGAAGCATGAAGCCCCCACTGTCGCGTCTGTCTCTTAATTGACTTTCGCATTACGCGCCTTTGCTGACAAGTTAGTACCTACCAAGGTAAATCGCATCTTTCGACCTACCTCTCCATACGAACATACAAACAACAAAGCTCTCTCTTTTCTTCATATCACCTCCATATAACGAACGATATGAACCTCTAATTGAATCTTTGCCACCAGACGACAACAATTCCAATTGCTTCCTGCACAGTGTATCAATCTTTCTGCTTTTGCGAACCCGGAGTTTTTAGTCGTGTTTTGAAATGGCGACATCAGCACAAGCTCCCGCGGACTCGACAACACCACCACCAGCACAGCAACAACCACAGACGGATACCACAACACCCATGGAAACCGAAGTCTCAGCAGCAGCCGTAGCAGCACCCAACCCAGCAACGACAACATCATCATCATCCTCCTCCTCCGACCACAACCAAAACAACAACAACCACGACGCCGCAGAAACAACAACAACAGCCGCCGCCGAAGAACCTCCTCAACCACCAGCAGCAGCAGCAGCAGCACAACATCAGCAACCGCAACACCACGCCACCGTCATCATCCCAGGCCCCCGCGCAGCCCGCCTCCAGGAGCTCTACGCGCAGAGCCTGCGCCGCACCCTGGGCAAGCTCAAGTGGGAAAACTTCGCGGCGTGCTACCCGACGGTGGCGAGCAGGGCCGAGCCGGTGCTGCGGCAGGTCCAGGTGCAGATGGTGGAGAAGCTGGGGGACAAATGCGAGGTGCGTTTTTTTTCTTCTTCTTTTTCTCAAAACTTTTCTGTTGTTTTTTGTTTTCTTTTGAAGTGGTTGGGGACGTTTGGAAAGAGATGGGGGGTTGAGGGCGGATAGATGAGAGGGGCATGAAGCTGACTCTGTTTGTTGCGTGTTTGTATAGAAGGAGTTTGAGAGCATCCTCGCCGCGAGACAGGTCGTTCCGAAACTCAACGATCTCGAGGCCCTCATCAGCGAAGCGACGCACAGGCGCATCACCGCCCCTCCCGACGCACCCAAACCAACTCCGTACGTTTATCATATCAGAACTACACAACCAGAAAAACAACAAACCCTCACAGGCCCCCAACCAGCCAAAAGAGCGAACCAGAAAAATCAGAAACAAAAACTGACTTTTGAATACATCAAAAAACAGACCGCATCTGCTTCCCGCCCGCGAAATCCTCTCCGCCCACCTCGCCCCCTCGCTCGCCTCCCACCAGTCCCTGCTCAACGCCCGCCTGCAGACGGCGCAGTCCCACAACGCCATCCTGTACGACCAGATCCGGGCCCAGCGCGCCGAGATCGAGCAGCTGCTCGAGATGCTCGAGGGCACCGTCGGGGACGTGAGGAGCGCCAACGAGGCGCTGGAGCCCGTCGTCGAGCTGTTGGCAAGGGAGGCGAGGGATGCGGAGAGGGCGGTTTCGGAGGAGTAAGTAGTAGTTTCGAGGAAGAAAACGTAATGAGAGATCGGATACGTCCTTTGCGACTGGGCAGTGTTGTTGGCGTAGCGAGAGAGAAGGAGAGAGGGAAGTTGCGAAGATGGATTGGACGGATTTACTTGCATGATTGGAAAGATACCCCACGAATACACGTTTCGATTTCACTCGTCCTTGAGCATTGGGCCTTGATGAACCCGTATAGACTGAATGTATTGTGATATATACGATAGGACGGTACACAGCTGTATCCAACAAGCTTGCACCTCATGCCCGCTTTGGCGCTCACGCCGCTATGCAATGGGCGATGGATATACACCTGGAAGAGCACAAAGGAAAGAAAAGCAAGGGAGAAGGGAGAATGATGATGAGATCAAAAGAAAAAGAAGAGAGAAAAAACTCCGGTCCATGATGCTGTTGCCACCGGTTGTATGTTTGTAAAATGCCCCTTTCAGACGCCCCTGTATGCACACAAAATAAAGCAGCACCTCTTCCTGAGGCTCTTAATGCAGAGTCTTTCTCCTCCTCTTGCACCTGATTGATGCCGATGCGGTCCAAAGCCGTATCATCAGGCTTTTTGTATATGTAAAATGAGATGAAGAAAACAGACAGTCGACATTGTCTGCTCCGTAGACGTCCATGGCCAGCATCACCTAGTCCCAGCTCTTTCTGTCGTGAAGCCGAAATTCCGAGGTCCAAGTGGTATGTTCGTCTCATAGTGTCATCCGCCAACACCACTCTCATCAAGCTCCGCAACATTTTCTATATCCTCCTGTTTTCCGTATGTACCACCTGCCAGGGACCAAAGAAATCCGTCTCTCCGTATGCCGGGGGAAGCACGCGCACCATCCTGCCCGTGCCCCAGTCGACGAACCATTGCTTCCCTTTGCTGATGATGTAGTTTGATTTGCGAGGACTCCGGAACAACAAGTTACTGTAGCAAAGCTTGGCGTATAACAAGTCGTGAGCGGTGGACCACTGGTGTTCGGGAAACCATTTTCCCGTGTGAGGGTCGATGGATGGGTTCTGGGACATGGACGTGGTGAGAGGGTGAAATGGATCATTCCTGGGGTCGATCCTCGAATGCGGCCCTGGAACCTCGTTACCTTGGTTCTCCTCCGCAGGGCGAGGTCGTGACGGGGCTGGCGTTGGAGTTGGCAGTGGCGGAGGAGATGAAGGTCGTTGCTCTGCAGCATCCGAGGGGTCAGTCGACCCCTCGGCCTCTGGAGGGGGATCTTGCTGAATCTCCGGTTGCGTGCTGGGGTAGACGACGCCGGTATGACTGCGGAACCATCGAATCCGCTGGATGCGGGGGATAGACATGTCGCGAGGGAAATCTCGCTCATCGATGGGGGCTGCAACATCAATAGCCGCAAACAAGCACTCGAGCCACTTGACGAATGTGCTGAGTTCGATGCATGCCAACAAAAATTGATCGGTCTCAGCTCGCACTCGGATAACGTAGCGTCGTCTATCGGAAAGGGGGGTTAGACCATGTCATACAAGCCTTTCTCTTTCCACTCTCCCTTCTATAAAGCCCCGTCTTGATATGATGCGGGATATAACAGCCGGGTTGAACGAGAGATGACTCACTTTTTGTAGTCGGCAGCAATACCAGCATCCGCGTGTAATAGGCTGTACGTCTTTTCTAATTTTGCCTTCCTGATCCAAGGAGGGTTGTCTGGACTAATCGAAGGGCCATCGCGTGCCTTGCCCCAGCCCCAGTCCTTCTTGGTGTTGTAGATGCTCAGGGCCGTTCCGTTGAGAACGACGGCGACGGTATGCCACTGGCGATCTTCGGCTCTCTTGGTGGTATCTTCAATTTCATGCTTCTTGTGAAATATGCCTTCGATGGCAATGGAGCTTGTGTAACTGGGAAGCTCTTCGGGAGCCCCGTCCATGGTGTCAGGACTATCGTGGCCTTGGTCGTCGAGAGTGTCGTCCAGCTTTGCCGCCCTGGGCTCTTTCCCTCTGCTCTTGATACGGTCTAGCCAGCTGCCCTTGGCTGGCGTTGAGTCCTTGTGCTCGACCTTTTCACCACCCTCTCTACCGGCACCCTCTCCTTCTTCCTGCATGACGGGCAGATCGGTGTCTTGATATGCCGGTGGATATGATGGACGCCGTTGTTGGGTCAGTGTCATGATGTGCTGGTAGTGCATATCCTCCTCCATAGATAGACGCCGCCGGAGAGGCGGCGCAGACTGGGCCGGTGAGTGTCCATTCTCTCCGGCCGAGCCACGGCGGTCCATGGGGGCGGCCCCGGCTTATATGCCCCGGGGCGAACAGGAGGCTGGAAGAGCGGCGTTGAGGCGGCGGGCGCTTGATCGGTAGGTTGACGTAGCACTGGCAATCCGATCTGCCTCCAGTGGCGTGTGCCGGCTCGAGACAGGGAGTACTATTCGTTTGCTGCTGCTGACGGGAGGAGTCTCCGTAGATGGAGCATGACGGCCAGTTTTCATAACGACCCGCCCCAGCGCATGGTGAAGGCAAGTGACGATCAGAAACGACAGACGGCTACAGGACGAAGACGGACAAAGAAGTCTCGGAAAGAGCACGGTGGGGTGAGTGAAGGGCGAAACGGAGAGAGAAAAGAAACAAGAACGGGGCCTTGGTCACAATGCGCCGCTGGAGCCCTGCACGGGTGGCCCTTTTGTTAGTGTCGATGAGACCCCGTTGTGGGCGGCTCAGACGTGGTGAATCTGTCGGGTTTGGCACAGGACCCGAGCCGGCGTGGCCTTCTCTCAGGGTTACAGGAAGAGTCGGGAAGCTTATGCGAAGCGATTCCAATGTTGCGCTGACACGGGAGGTGCTTGTTTGAGGAAACGTGCGGGTGGCGAGCAAGTCTTGTTCGAGGCGTCTGCGGTGGTCGCAGCACGGAGAATAGTCGCTAGGACGTTAATAGCGGCTAGGGCGAATGAGCGGCGGCGACCGGACAGCGGACACGGCACAGCACACTTTTGGCTTGACTTCATGTAAGTCAACGCCAGGGGTCTGTCCAAGGGGGTGTCGCTGCGATGCGAGGGCTGCTGTGGGGATGGGCGTGGACCGAGGGTTCGAACGAGGCCGCGCCACGACAGCGAAGAAGCGGCAGACGCTGGACGAGAAGCATCAGATTCAACTCGATGACCCGTGGAAGCCCTCTTGTCGACCACGGACCCCTTCGCCAGCTGAGCCGCTTTCGGGAGCCTGACCCGGGGGACCCGTGCTAGTCAGCTGGTGGAAGGGGAGGCTTTTAGGTCCTGCGCCAGACGAGCGCCGCTACTGGCTGAGACGGCTCCCTGCTCCAGTGATTCGTTTGTTTCTACTCCGTAGTTGCGGACACGGATAATATTCGAGCTGGTCGGGAGCAGCAATATGGCCGCGATGACGACGGACGGTGCTGATGCGATGAGATGAGATAATAGCCTCGATCAGCGGCCCGGGTCTGGGAAAGGAGGCTGACGAGACGAGGCTATTCAGAAATCATGCTGGCTTGTTTCATGAGGAGAGAAGCAGCAGAGAAGGAACTGACACGTCCCGACTGCCTGTACGAGGTACCAACCACGAGCAGCAGTGCAGGTGCTCCACAATTATGCGAATACAACGGATTTAAGGCCGCGCGGTCCGTGTACTTGCAGGGGCGCAAACGCAGAGCGATGCGAGCACCTGATGAGGGCCGTCGTTGGGTACAAGTACATTGCGCTGACGGACGACCGGTAGACAACCTTGATAGACACCTCAGGCTGTATGATATGGCAGGTGCTGCCGTGAATGCAGAGCATACCTACGTATGTAGAGTAAGATAACATGAAGCTCTCTGCTATTCTGGCTTCTATTCTCGGGTATAGGTGTGATGGTGAGCAGACGTCGGTATAGTAGTACAGGTAGGTCAATTCGCTGCTCATTGGCGATGCAATTTGAAGATCTACGGGGAATTGGCATCTCCGTCGGCTAACACAGGACAAGACACTGTAAACCAGACACCAGGCCCACGCCCTACGAAGGTGTACTTGTACTAGACCGGTTGCCATTCTTGGCCCTGGGCTGACCCGAGCCTTCTCAAAAAGTTCCTCTCCAGCTGGGTACCAAATACCGAGCACAGACCACGCAAAGCAACAGCACAATTGCAAGAGAAAGAAGAGAGGGAGAAAAAATGAATAAGAAAGTGTAGAAATAAAAGAGGGCCGCCCCAGCTGCGGAAGCCAATTCTTGGCTCGCTGCTGCTTCCTTCTTTCTCACCCCCGCCTGGACACGAGTAAGGGAAGGGAAGAACTTGGTTTTGGAGGCGCTAAGCCCTGCGCGGTAGGTGCCATGCAGGGCAGGAAGGCGCGGGGTTTGGAGGTTGCAAAATATAAAAGTACAGCCGAGCGGCGATTTGAGTGTACCAGGAAAACGAGTTTCGTTTGGTGGTGATGTGCTCTCTTTTCGTTGGATTCTGGGGTGTTGAGGTTGTACTGTATGCACTTCCTATGAGCTTCTAGTGGCTGGTGCTATATATCGTGTCTATACAGAACACTTGCCAAGTCCTAGTATAAGGTGGACGCTCTTGCAAAGTTTAGGTACAGTACAGTACCCTTCGGCAACCCTTTTGGGCAGGTTCGAGCTCGCAAAAGGCCCGGCGAATCACGCGGCTGCGTCGGTGCCGAAGAGCGAACAAGCTTACCTTAGCATGTCTCGGAGTGCCTGGGTACCGCTACCGGCGATGCGTCATGGAAGAACTGCCTGTAAAAGCCGTTTGGATAGGGTATAACGCTGGTTGCCCGTACCATGAAAGACAATATTGATACGACGCAGTACGTACGACCTATAATATGGTAGTAATAGCACCCTCGTCCACTGTATGGCAAGTGTGAAATGGTTGCTGCTTTGTTGGGCTTGTCTCTGTTATTAAGCTTGGATGTCATCCCGTCCGGGCCGAGATGCAAACTCGTCACTGGTACTTGGTATTTGGCCAAGGTGACGAGGCCTTTCTTGTTTGGGCAATGGCCGACGAATTGGCCGTCTATTATTGGGCAGGCAAACAAAATTCATCTCCGTCCCCAAATACCATCAACTTCTTTCTGTGTCTGCCAACAGCGTCGCCGTCAACATTCTCTTGTGCAGTCGCATCACCAATCATACGACTTCAATCTAAATACTGACGACTTACTGATAATTAAAATAATACTCTTACAGCCAGGTCCTTTGCATCAATGACTTTTTCTCCCGCAGTTACTTGCACGCCAGCTGCAACTCGCGAATTGTGCTGCTCACATCCGACATACGACAAGCCATACCATGCCATACATGTACATACTGTACCCCCGCCCTCGGCTCACCCCCCTCCAGCATCTCGGAACTTTTGGACGTGTCCAGGCACCTTTGAAAGCCGCATCCCCCAATCATGCTTCCCCAGCTGTCGCGTCCTGCTGTTGGCTGGCTGGCGGACTCGGGTCCCCGCAATGTTGGTAATAATGGGGGTTCGGTAAAATGTGGTTGGGGTTGTCCATCTCGTTTTCTGATCTTGCTTCTCCACAGATGAGTGTGTTTTAGGACGGCAGATGGGCACGCAATACGATGCGTTGAGGTACTACATACGGAGAGTAAGGTATGTACAGTATAGTCGTCCTATGTGGTATTGGAGTTGTGTTGCATTCGTACGTAGCACCGTGCTAATATTACCTTTACACGACGCTTCACTCACGGTGAGCTGGTTCATCGCCAGCGTGACGCCGCCGTCTCATGTCATACCGGGCTTCTGATCCAACAAGTGTCTACAACTCAGGAGAAACCTGACAAATCATATGAAGCTACCACGCACGGGTACAACTGCAAAGCTCGAAAGGATGAGTGACTCGTATCATGCTCAAAAGGACCGTGGCCCCGATCCTAATTCCCCGACTTTGAAAGGGTGGCTTTTAGTACAGATTTCCAGGCCCACGAGTTGATGGAGATTCGTCCGATTTATTCCCTCTAGGCTCCAGCATATAAGCCGTGCCGTCTCATGTTTGCCTTGTCGATGCCCGATATCGCCTGCTAGACGAGACGCAATGGAATCATGACGGACTCCGAATGGAACTCTCGAGATCACCGCTTACACGACGCCTGGCATCTGTTGGTTGTACAAGTATTTCCACATTTTGGCAGGCACAGCCACAGCCCGAATCAAGATCCGCCTCTGGTCTTTTTGTTTCTCTCCTCCGCACAGATGCCGACAAGGGTGCTGAAGGGCACCGAGATGCCAGACCCCGAGCTTGTTCCCTCGTGTGATGTTACTCGCACTATACTCATATAGGCCACCAATGGTTTCTCTGAGGCTCAATCCCTGGGAAACAAACCTTGCTTGTTTCGTCGGCAGACCTTGTCCTGGACCATTCAACTCATCTGCAGAGTTGCCGGTACTTCCGCCGGCAGTGTGTGTGCCAGGAGCCGGATCTGATTATCTTACAGCCAAGTGCCCAACTGATGTAATCATGGCTGCTCCAGATGCAGAGCAGGGAGCAGCAGCACATCCATGCAGCGTCTAGGCTACGAAAGCGCAGCAAGTTGCAGGGCTGGTAAATCGCTCTTGCAGGACATGGAGAACCTTGATGAGGGACCCCTCTGTTCCACTGCTGACGGACTCTCTGTTGATGCTATTTTCGAGAAATATACATACCTACCAAGTCGTGTCAATCAGTTTCTTACTTGTAGCTGTATACCCCAGTCCTCTGGAGCTCATGGACAAGGGAACGCGCTTTTTCTTTCTGTTCTCCCTTCTCGAAGCCCACATCCCTCCCCCTCTTTCCCCACTGCATCAGCTGAGAGGTGGTTGATCAACCTGGCGGACAAGAGTCATGGCTGTTCCCTTCAAATGCCGATCAACCAGGGACAAATTCATCTGTGAAGGATGGCGTTGCGCTTGTTGCTGCTGCTGATTCATTACCTTTTCTGCTTGTACTTGCAATACAAGCCGACTAACCAGAGCCGCTCGAAACAGAGCCAAACAGAGGGTCTCAGCGGTTACGGAGTTGCGAATGATGCAAAAGTCCCAAGGCTGATGTGCTGACAGTTACCGTGTTGCTTTTCGTACTCGTAACGAATGCAGAATATCAGATGGACGGTAGCACATATCCAGACGCAATAAGGGGAGACGGAGGAGTCTTGTGCTCCCATCGATGTGGGCATGGCACGGGAGAGCCAGAATTGGTCAACGGAGAGCAAAAAAGTCATGACGGAAGTTGCATGGAGCGACATGACGCATTCGCCGAGAATCTGTTTCTTCTACTTCTGCTTCATCGCGATGCTCACCACTAGGTATCATTACTGGTCTGAGCAATTATAACACGAATGAGCTCGCCAAGACGAGGCATGTCCGGTCCTTTTGCAGAAACAGTACCCAATGTCCCAATTGCTTCCTCGGGGAAGCCGACCACCTACAAAAGGCCCTCCATTGCGTTTTCATCTTGCCCTCTTTCTCTTACAGCCCATGCCTGCCCGTGCGATCTGTCTTGTACGAGGATGGCGGCCCCAACCAACAACGTGCCCTCGCAGGTATTTTCACTCCGTCGGCCCATCGGCAGGGCCTCGCGGACAAATATTGGTTTCTCAACTAGTCCAGGCAGCGCCACCGAACTTATGCTTACTTGTACTTCGTAGCACTTCCTTGGATGGAGCTTGCATCTGCTAACGGCTGTTATTGCTAGGCGGCTTCGTTACTTCATCCAAGAAGCTATGCACTGATATGCTATTTTTCACAGCTTCAAATTCGTGGCCAAACTTCTTCTTCAAGTACGCATAGCGCACTGCCCGTGTACGAGTACAAACACACGATCTACCTTCAACAAGGGCGCTAATAATCCCACTCTTTATTTCTTCTTGTGTCTCCGTCTTTCGAGCATCTCCGGGCCATCGCACGTGTAAGTCGGGCCCCTTGGCAATCGAGTACGTAAGAGAATGACGGCCAAAGCAGGCTGAATCACCGCAACGCCCAACGTATTTCGGCGGGACTTTTTGTCCCATATGTTACTCTTGTGTGTTTTTTTATTGAACATTCTATCGAATCTTCTTTTTGCCACTGCCACTTCAAGATCGTATAGCCGGACGAATGACTCGAGCAGAGATTTCGCAGATTCACTATTGACGCCCCGAAAGCTTCGTCGTGTTTACCTACAAGCTCTGTGAGCTTTTGACTAGAGCTCCTAAGGATTTCCTTGAGTACGACAGGGAGTTGATCATGATGATGGATGTCCATTACAGCCATATCGGGCCGCTGCCGATTTACATCCCCGAGACCTTTTGTCTTTTCAAGTCAAGTCTGTTCGTTTGCCAAACAAGAGCTTCAGCCCCGTTTGCCTTATTGAGCACCCTCATCCAGCCCTCATGGCCGCCATCATTGGATACCCTTTCTCTCCCACTTTGTACGAATCCTTGAAACGGATGAAAATGAAGCACTCCAAGAGATCAGGTCAGCAGGTACCCAGCAACCGAAAATAACAACTCCATATAAGACAAGGAGTATGTCTAGCAGCCCACTGTCCTGCTCCATGGTTACATCGTATATCTAGCCACCGGAAATACTACATCAAGGTTTTCTTTGTCCGCCTCTTGCCTCGCCTGATCCCGTCTTCATAGGGTTTTCTTTTTACATCGTGTTGCCGTCGCTATGCGCTTATAGCCTGTTTGTGTACATAACCCCCCCGGGCAAACATCAAGGGGCAAAAAGAAACAAAATACGAAGCATCCCGATCTCGATTTGCATGTGTTTATTTGTGGCACATGTGGACTCGAGAAGGGGAGGATCACTGAGCAAAAGCTGGAAAGTTGGCTTTGGGAATCGTTAAATCCAATGATTGAACAGTACCTAAAAGAAAATTAACTACGAGTCTCACGAGCTATTGCATATGTTCTGTTTTGCCTTACATATACTCCAGGAAGGAAGATAAACATTCATGGCTGTTTGTAAAGGAGATGAATGAATTTTCCGTCCCAGATCATACGAAAGTAGATTGTTCATAATACCAAACTCATGGGAGCTCTCTGCGGCCGACACCAGCATTCCTCCTCAACAAATGAGGAAAGCAAAAGAAAGAAACGACTCTCATTCCTCTTGCCCATCGCCCCCCCATCCCTAGTGATAAAAACACATAAGTAAGTCAAGAAATCATTCGAGCAAGAACAATACCCTAGGGGGGAAAAAATTACACTCAAATAGAGACAACTTGGGGAGCGGCCTCCAGAACACACATACCTACACTTCGACCTTTCTCATGAAAAGCATATATCGCAGTACTACCATCGTGTCCAGCCGTGTGCAGTGTACATTCTTCCGAGGATCTCTCCTCACCCCGTCAGCGTCAATGACAATTACATACTTCCATGGAGTATTGTTTCCCAATCTCACCATTCCGGCAGCACACATCTGTCGCTGCACTGTAGAGCTCAAATGTCAAACTTGGGCATGCTGGAAACCTGGGAATGCTAGGTTTCATCAACCAGGAGTCGTGGCTTTCCAGACGATACATTAAAGGGACATAGTCTTCTGGTTCTTCTGTTCTACTGGCCTCAATTTGTTGTCTGTTTCGTTCAGGTCGCACCCTCCCTTCGCTCAGTCCGTATATGGATGGCTGAACGGATAATGACAAGTCAAAGGGTGTCAGGGGCATATAACCACCTTGAATGATGCCTCGTTAGATACCAATGGGTTCATCTGCGTTGTCATGGCCTATATATACTACAATCTATCACCGCAAGTATCAGACCAAGTAAGCCAGGCCATATCGTCATAACACCATCAGTCATGGCATGCCGTATTTTCACCCCGCGTAGACTACCTAATATACATCTCCCCCTTTTCCGATCCCTCGCTCATCCTGCCAAAACCTCTCCATCAACCAGGCCAAAGTGGAAATAGGAAAAGTTATCACCACCCATCGCCATGCGCCATGCCAACCAGGACTGGCTCCGCCCACCGATAACAGCAGCCGAAACAATGTCCAGAGTCCCCCTTTTCCCTGTGAAATATACATAAAGCACAAATGATCCTCCAACCTTCCTCGGACGGTCATCCTCTCCGGTATTATTTTCTGCCTTTAGAACATGCTACCAGTCCGTGAGTCCCCTGATCGCAATGAGTCAACGGAACCATGCCATCAATCGGTGAGGAAAAAAAGAAAAACAACGAGGAAAAAAAATATTGATGAAAACAAAGACAGACGCCAGCCTGGGCTTGCTCATACTCCACCTCCAAAATGAACCAGATAACTTTTAGGAGGGCTCTGGGTCGAATCCAGTCACATCTCCAAGCTTCCTTCGCTCCTGTTCTGGCATCTTGCAAAACCTGGGGTTGCCCCGTATCTCGCAACATTCCAGAACTGCCATACCGCTGGCCGTCTTGATTTAGCCGGGCATGATGTTGATGCAATTCGAATGCAATTTGTAATCACTTTTTGGCTCTTCCCCCGCTGACACACTGATTGTAAGCCCCGAGTCCATGCTCTTTCACCTAAGCATTGGCAACCTGGGCACCGCCACGACCACGGGCAGCACCTCCCCGGCCGCGAACCTGACCGGTGAAGTTGCCTCGGGGATTCTGGCCACCAGCGCCACCACGGCCACGGCCTGAAGCATTGCCTCGGCCAGCGCCGAAGTTACCACCGTAGGTGTTGGACTTGGGTCGTCGCGGCTCGACAACAATGTTCTCGCCATTGACGGTGAGGTTCTTGTTGGCCAGAGCAGCCTGGTAGCCCTCAACGGTCTTGTACTCAACAAACGCGCAGTTCTGTAAGCCATGGGTCAGTAAGGCACATTCGCACAAGCCGCAATTGTCTTTGAGGGAAACTCAAACTTACCTTAGCACGGTTAATGTCGAAGTAAGTCAGCTCGCCAAAGGCAGCCAGTGCGTTTCGGAGGTCGGCATCCTGGACCTTCTCCGTCACGTACTTGACATAGCCCATGGTGCCCTCTTTCTCGGCAGCATTCGCAGAGATAGACTGGGGTCGGTTCTGGCGCTTGGAATCGGCGCCGGCAGTCTGCCATCCGGAAGCTTCCTTGGCCTGAGCATCAGCAGCGGGAGCAGCGGGAGCAGAAGTAGCAGGAGCAGCAGCAGTCGCAGGAGCTGCAGCGGCAGCGCTGGGCTGTGCTGCCGCGGCGGCGGTTGTAGGAGCGGGGGCTCTGTTCTGGCCGGCAGCGGGAGGGGTGGCAGTCTTGGGGAGGGGCACAACTGGTCGGGGGCCGGCAGCGGCAGCGGCACGGCTGGCCCAAGTCATGGGCTTAGGGGGGGCAGCAGGCTCGGCGGGAGCAGCTTCGGGCTGGGGGACAGGCTTCATGGCAGGAGTGGGAGTCGGCTCCTTGGGGAGCTCAGCAACCGCCTTGGCTTCCTCGTCCGCAGCCTCCTTAGCAGCGGCTTCGGGGTCAACGGGGGCGGGCTTCTCGGGCTCAGCCTCGGTGGTCTCTGCAGCAACAGCGGGCTCCTCGACCTCGGTGCCGTTGACCTCGGAAACCTCCTGAAGCTTCTGGTCCACCTCGTCGGCATTGACAGTCTCCGCCTTGTCCTCCTTCTCGACGGGTTCAGGCTCGGCAGCAGCAGGAACCTCTTCGGCGGTCACTTCGGGCTCGGCAGCAGGGGCCTCCAGCTCGGCTTCGGCAGGCTGTTCCTCCTGGTCTTCGCTAATGTACCTGAGGATGTCATTGAGAACAAAGTAGCCGGAAGGCTGCTGGGCGAGAACGAAAGTCTGGACGAATTTCTTAGGCTCTCCAGACTTGTTTGAGATTTCACCAATGACCTGGATGACGATGTTGTCGTAGGAAGCTTGAGAATCGACGTTGGAAACTCGGACTTTGCAGTCCTGGAAGTCGAGCTGCTTGATGCGCTCTTGGATAGGCTACATGGGCACATGGATTAGCGTATTGTTGCTTTAGTGGGGTAGGAGGCGGAAAATTAAGGAAATATTTCAGAGCCTTACCTGACGACCGACGGAGACATTGGCGACCTCAGCCTCGAGTCCAGACACGAATTGGGACGCCTTGCCGTAGAACAGCTATATAGAAACTCGTCTTAGTATCGCATGCATATCGCCGATCCAATCGGGAAACTCACATGCAGCTTCTCGGGCGATTTGCTCAGGGTAGTGTAGTATTGCTCGACAAAGTACCAGCCAACCTCATCCTTGGAAAGGCTGTTTCCCGAAGAGCCTGCATCAGCTGGGGCTGATGTAGCAGCTGACTGGTCAACCGAGGATTTGTACTGATCCTGGTTGGTGAATGATCCGTTGGTAGCCATTGTGGGAGTAGAGCCGATCCGGGGATATATGGAAGGTTCGAGATTCAACAGCGTTGGAGATTAGAAGTTATCGTGGGGCAGCGATTTACGTCGAAGTTGGGTATCAACGCAAGTCAGAAAGGAGAGAAGAATTAAGTGGTAGGAAAAATGACCGTCTCGACACAGAGGCTGAATTCTAGTCCAAGAGAAGAAACTTTTCGATGAGGGAGAAGGAGGGGGAGGCGTTGGGAGGCGGTTCGAGTGGACGAGCTGCGGGCACTTGTGGGATGACAAACAAGTCGATGCACAAGTGGGAGGGGAATTGCGAGGGAAAGAGGCGTTGGAAGAGCGTGGCAGAGGCTGGCGAAGCTGACGATTGAAGCGGTGATGCAGTATCGAGATGGCGGAGCCGCGTGCGATGGCGCGAGGAGGAAGGGGGAGAAGAGGCGATGAGCTGCGCGGGTGCAGAAGGAGGGAAAAAAACCAATTTGGGGCTTCTTTGAAGTTGCCGTTATGATGTTTCGTGCGTGGAAGGAAAAAATATAGGCACCTGTTGGGGTCAGCCGCTGGACCTAACGCCGCCTGGTCCGTGCGCAGTCGCCCGCCCATCGGAACGGAATTAGTACTTTGGCGGGGGTTTTGCCGGCCTTCAATTTGTTTGCTCTCCAGCCTTGCCTGAGATGCTGTCAGGCTATGAGTGCTATAGGCAAGGTGCTGGGTATACACCTACGTAATAGGACGCATGATGCACATGTGCGTTGGCGGCTGCTTGCTCTGGCCTGCGATGCTGCGGTTGTGGTGCTGATCGACTGCATGGCGATGGGATGAGCGGATGATTGCTGCTCTCTATAACCACAGAACCAGCTGTCTCTTTTCGAGGCTGAATGAAACAGGAAAACATGCCAGACACTATGACATAAAAGGTCTCGGTTTACAAGTAGTACTCCGTAGCCTCGCCTGCTTTACTGGCGCCCAGTGGGCTACGCATTAGCACGAGGACCCAGCTGTGAGATGGGCAGTCTAGACGTGGTTGCATGGTCAGGGCTTTGAGGAGAAACTTTTAATTCGAACCTACCATAGTCCCCAACTACCTACCAAATACTGAGTACTTACCTAAGAACGATGAAGTTGATAGTGAGTCTGCATACGAGTACATGAACCTAGGTACTCGACAAAGAGTGGAAGCACCATCAATTGATGCCACCACCACCACCAACCCACGAGGCCAATTCCACGCACACATCAAGCTGTCATAACCGTAACCTTAAAACCCCCTACAAAAAGCCACACACAACCTGACAAAGACTTTCCAAATGACCAGGTACAACCCACGTCAACGCCACATGAAGTTCCCAAGCCCTTGCCTCAGGTACGACAGTACTACATCTGACCACTGCACTGCGCTGCACGCACCCAGGCCAGGCCCATTCCACCACCCCGGTCCGGTCCAAAGTCCCCCTCGGTGAGAGCAATGCGGGGTGTTCCGCACACACCTGAATTTCTTTAGTCTCACCTTGATAATAAATTTTCTTGCTAATCTTATCGCTCCCCAAAAAAAAAATCCAAACCCAAACTCCAGCCAAGCCAGTCCATATCTGCAACCTCAACGACTTGCGAATTGGAAACCCTCTCCGCCAATTCGCCGCCAAACTCCAGCATCTTCCCTTAACTTTTTAACTCATTTATCTTTTAATCGACAAGCCGACAAGATGCCCAAGTCCAAGCGCGCAAAGGTCTTCCACCTCACCCAGGTCACCAAAAAGACCCGCGAGCAAAAGGACCAGCTCTTCCAGAACATCCGCGAGCAGGTCCCCGAATACCAGCACTGCATCGTCTTCAACGTCGACAACATGCGCAACAACTACCTCAAGGACGTCCGCCGTGAGCTCTCCGACAGCCGGTACGCCTCCTCGCCCCTCCTCCTTTCTCCCTTCATAGCCACAGGTCAAACCGAAACAAACATACTATATAGAAACAAAACGATAAGCTAATGGGGAGTGAACACAAAAAAACAGCCTCTTCTTCGGCAAGACAAAGCTCATGGCCAAGGCCCTCGGCCAAACCGCCGAGGAAGCCATCGTCCCGGGCATCGAAGGCCTCGCCCCGCACATCACCGGCACCGTCGGCCTCCTCCTGACCAACCGCCCCGTCGACTCCGTCCTCGAGTACCTCTCGGGCATCTCGCCCGTCGACTTCGCGCGCGCCGGCGTCGCCGCCTCGCGCTCCTTCACCATCCCCCCGGGCGTCGTCTACGCCACCGCCGGCGAGGTCCCCAAGGAGAACGACATCCCGCTGACGCACACCATCGAGCCCGAGCTGCGGCGGCTGGGCGTGCCCACACGCATGGTCAAGGGCAAGGTCGTCCTGGGGGATGAGAACGGCGAGGGCGAGGGCTATGTCGTTTGCAAGGAGGGCGAGATTCTGGACTCCAGGCAGACGAGGCTGTTGAAGCTGTTTGATGTCTGTCTGAGCGAGTTTAGGATCAAGCCTTTGGCGTAAGTTTTTTTTCTTCCCTTCCTTTCTGGCCTCGCTCTGCAGGGCATTCTTGGCTGACGATTCAATTTCCCCCAGGTACTGGAGCGCTGCGACCAACGAGGTGACAGAGATTGACCAAAATGCCATGGACGGTGTTGAGGAAGAGGTATAAGTTCGTCTGGACTTTGTGTTGGGTGGGCAGTTTTTTGGTAGAAAAATGTTCTGTGTGCATACAACATATACCAGCAACGGGATTGTTTGGGGTATTTCGGCGTTTCCAAGGTTTTCTTCACGAGGGTTTCTAAAAACTTAAAGACGGAGGACTTCATACTACAAGATATATTGTAGTATATGCTATTCCTCCTGAAATGATGATCAAGCAAAATTTTACTCTGCGTCTCAACGTCTTCTGCTGTTACAGTAAGTAGATCAGTGACTTTACATACACCCGCATTCGTAGGACTACACTTCCTACGGGCACGTAACCTGGTCTGTTCTTCATCGCTTCTTCCCTTTTTTTTCACGTCTCTGATCGTACTCTTTTGCTGGCTAAATTGTAGGTATCTTACTCTCCTTTGTCGCAAAAAAAATGACAAGCAATTGCCTCAAACGTTCGCAATCAGTCGGGTCGCAAAGAGCTTACCTCTGACTTTACCTGAAGCTCCCAATTTTTCTCAACCTGTTGCCCTTGCCAATCGCGCTATAATACATTGCGAGAAAAACACTACTACCTTCTCGCCTCGTCCTACTATTAAGGGGTCGTCTGTCCAATAATGACAGCTGATCGATGCTCAGAGATTGGTGAAAGAAGTCGTCTCCAGCCGTGGTATCAGGACACAGGGAGTTATTACCACCAGTGGGCCCGAACTTCGTGGGCAAAAAGACAGCGCAAGATGATATACTGGTGAAATGGGCGGGCGAAGTTTGGCGATCTAGACTCTGAAATGTGTTGGTGGAAGACGGCAGGCTCCTTACCCTTTGAGAGGTGAAAGAAAGGATGCGAAGGAAAGTCGTCAAAGCGATTAGCTTACCCACCGACTCGTCGAAAATTGGTCGACTGGCACGGGCTCTGGCCTTTAGTAGCGGCGCAGTTTCCGGGGGTCTTCGTAGCCACCACCCTCGTATCCTCGTTTCCTACTGTCGTCGTCGCGAGGCCGGTCATAGTCCCGGTCCCGATACCCACCTTCCCTGCGACCAATGGGTTCCATGTTGCTGCCAGTGCGACGTCCCTCGCGGTCACGGTCCCGGTCACCACGGTCTCGGTCACGATCACCACGATCACGATCGCCGTATCGACCTCCGTCTCGGTGGCCGCCGGATCTGTCATCAAATGAGCGTCCACCTCGAGAGTCATACCCACCAGAGAAGCCCCGATCGCCTCCGTCCCGTCGACCGAAGCCAGGTCCTGATGGCGCTCCATTGGGTGCTCCAAAGCCGTTTCGGTCACCGCCTCGGGGGCCAAAGTCGCCGCCGCTTCGGAAGCCACCACGACCACCACCAAAGCCGCCACGGAAACCGCCGCCGCGTCCTCCTCGGCCCCCTTCGAAGCCTCCCTTGAAGCCGCCACGGAAGCCGCCACCACCAAAGCCTCCAGGGCCACCGGGACGCAAGGGCATAGCTCTGGTGTAGCCACGGCCACCAAGGCCACCTCCGAGTCTGCGAGGCAGCCAATTCTTGGCAGTCCTGCCACGCTCAACGTCTGTCTTTGATGCGGATACCATCGCAAGCATCCAAGGCAGCTAGTCATTGTTGCGTCATGAGACGCACTTGTTAGCAACTCTTACCATGAGAATGAAGTAGTTCACACGTTTGATCATGTGGGCGGAAGTGAGACAGGCAAGCTTGAGGGCCTAGCGAACGTCTCGTGGTATGCTTCTACGGATGGGCAAGCTTGAGGGCCACATCTTCGAGGTATATCCACCGGGCTTGGAATAGATGGTCATATAGCATTGGGGGGGAGGGGTTGGAATGGTTTTTACCTCTCATGTCTTTCTCGCGCTCGAAGACAACAAATGCGTAACCCCTGTGTGGCTTCTTCTTCTTATTAGGCTTCTCGTGGGCATGGGTATCAGTAATGATGCGAATCTGGTACGCAAGTCAGCCTCAGGTATTTGGACATGGATGCTGGCATGACACGAACACGCTCGATGGGGCCAAAACGCCCAAACTCCCGTTCCAAGTCACGCTCGTCAGCGTCGTAGCTGAGACGGGCAACGATGAGAGTCTTGAAGGCATCGCCACGAATGTTGGGATCCTCGTTCGGTTTGACTATCAATTCAGGTCAGCAAACGCGACGATGAGCAACTCCATTTCCTCGTCCACTGTGGCATCCTTACATTGCTTTGGCCCTTCCGTCTTCAACTTTGCGGCAGCCTCAGCCTTCTCACGCTTCTTCCGATCGCGCATCTCCAACCAGCTCTCGGTGGGCTGGTAGTTGTCCGTCTCCTTGTACTTCTGCAGCTCGGGCAAAAACGCAGCGACGCCTCCGATGGGGGCTGTCCTGCGCTTCTCGGGCGCATGGTCAGAGGGTTCTACCCATCGCAGCGGAGGGCGCGCGGCAAAGAGCGCCAGCAGGTTAGGGGGCAGCTTGTCCGTCATCGCGAGGGTTCTGGCGAGACGCCGGACGCCGCAGTCGATCGGAGATGCGCAGAGGATGCAGTGATCGCCAGCAGGGGGAGGCTCGCGGGCTCTGGGTGGTGCAGCAGTCGGGAATGCCCTTGATGCGACCGAGGGTTGCTTGCGGCGGGTGAGTGCGAGAGCAGAGCTGCGCGCTTCTGGCAGCAATAAAATGTCGTGTAGCTCAAGGCGATGCCTGCCTGGGCGGGATTCTGCCGGGGTTGAGCCGTGCTGCGCTAGGCCTGATTCGGCTGGCTATCGAATCGTGAATTTTTGATGCTAGGCTGATCGTGCTACCACTGCAGCTGCATGATGAGAATCCTGGTTGGAGTATTCAGACCTCAGCGAAGATGACAGTCAAGGCGCTGCGAGCCATTGCAGATGGCAAGGTGAGGAGTCGCTTCTCGTCAGGGTCAGACGACACCAGGCTAACAGCGATCCGCAGAACGGCCTGGGGGCGTTTGTCCTTCAGTGCAAGAAAATGGACCTGCACTACTGCGACTGGGCGGGCAGCTCAAAGGGCATGAAGTAGGCAAAGCGAATCCCGACGATGGTTAACTCTGAAGAATAACTGCTGATACTGTCTCTCCAGCGGCTTCATCAAGTCACTGCTCCCCAAATTTGCCGCCGCCCACCCCCAGATCGAGTTTGCCGTCTCCCCGCGTCCCGGCAAGCACCCCGTCATCGTCGGCCACTACATCAACGGCCGGACGAAGCCCATCTGCGTGCGCAACCTCTCGCCATACGAGATTCTGCAGAAGGTAGAACTGCTGCGAGATGCCAGTGGGGAGAAGCTGAGGCGGACGAACAAGGCGGTTCTGAGCACCAAGCCGAGTGTCAGAGGCATCTGGTCCCCGTACCACGGCAAGGGCATGGCTGTGTAATTTTGAGCGAAATTCTTTCTCCTTTCATTATGGGATTTTCTAAGATGTCCGTGTATTTGTATTTGTATGGATTGCATAGAGAGCAGTGGCATTTGGCTGCTGGAGCATATAGGACACTACGCTACATATGAGCAATGATACCTCACAGGAAAACTAGTCCAATTGTCTGGAGAGAATTGGGTATCATTTATGCATTTTATTTTTCTTATAGAGGCCTATTATTTTTCCTTTGAATTCGTATTTTTACCGTTGATTCCTACTCGGTGCAGTGTTTTGGGTAATGAGAAATCCGTTTACTGCTTCAAGCAGTTGACAATGTCAATGACTACGGCAAGTTAGCATGGATACACGTTCACGTTCGATCACAACGGCCGGGTGTTCTACTTACAGGCAGGCTTGAGGGAAGCACCGCCGACGAGGAAGCCGTCAATGTCGGGCTGCTTGCTGAGCTCGCCGCAGTTCTTCTCGTTGACGCTGCCGCCGTACAGGATTCGGGTCTCGTCGGCGACCTTGTCGCTGACGTTGGTCTTGAGCCACTCTCGGATGGCCTTGTGGACCTCCTGGGCCTGCTCGGTGGTGGCGACCTTGCCGGTGCCAATGGCCCAGATGGGCTCGTAGGCGATGACGATCTTGGACCAGTCCGAGATCTGGGCCTTGAGGGCGGCGAGCTGCTTGCTGACGACCTCGATGGTCTTGCCGGCCTCGCGCTCCTCCAGGGACTCGCCGCAGCACCAGATGACGCTCAGGCCGTTCTCGGTGGCGAACTTGGTCTTGAGGGCGACCACCTCGTCGCTCTCGCGGAGGATGGTGCGGCGCTCGGAGTGGCCCAGGATGGTCCAGGTGATGCCGCTGTCCTTGAGCTGCGAGACGGAGATCTCGCCGGTGAAGGCGCCGTTGGGCTTGTCGAAGACGTTCTGGGCGGCGACCTCAATACCCGGGCGGAGGCTTTCGCGGACGAGGAGCAGATACAGGTACGAGGGAGAGACGACGACCTCTGGAGCGAGCAGAGCAAGGCGGGTTAGCATTGTCGAGATTGCTCGGTCAAGCTACCACTTTCGAGGTGAGGATGAGCAAAAACGTACCGACATTGGGGTCGAGCTCGGCCTTGTTCAGGTTGTCGACAATCTCCTTGATGGACGAGATGGACCCGTTCCTAGAAGGAGGAACAGCAGTTAGCTTTGTGCATCTCCCAATCGTCCCAGGCCCAAGCTCTGCGCTGTTTTGGAGAGGGAGGGCGGAGAGGTGGTACGACAAAGGCGACAAGGCGACTCACATCTTGAAGTTGCCGCCGACGAAGAACTTGCGAGCCATGGTGACTGAATTGGAGACTAGAAGCAGCTATGAAGGGCAAAAAAGGAGCAAATGATCAAAAGAGACGAAGCTGAGGTTGGTGTTGTAGGTTCAATTGGTGGTGGTGAGAAAATGCTGGCGGCAGCTGGATGGAGGGGTAAATCAAGCATTGGATCGAGCTCGGTGGAGCTCCCACACGTCACATATCCATTGCCGCAAATGCGCCGAAATCCGGCAGGCGTTCGGCCCCACCATCGGCTGCTGGCGGTATTAGAAGTCGATCCTTGAGGTAGCAACTGAAGCCATCGCCACTTCTGATATGGTAGTTTAAACGAGAGGTGGCAGACACGGATTCAATGCACGGGCATCTGTTCATGAGGGGGCCGCTGCTATAATCATAGCTGAACACTACTCTACGACCTAATGGGTAGTAGGTGATACAGCCTACCTAGGTATTCTGCAAGTGGTACAGAGTTTAGTCCTCTATTCTTAAAGCTTGCTAGGGCATGAATCAAAGATCAAGAGCCCGATTGAGATGTTTGATAGTGCCAGTGATGAAGCTCCAGTCTAGCATAAAATATCACTGAATAGAAATTAATACATAACTGCACTGCAGTACATATCATGTCAAACAGGTGTGTATAAGACTTCATATGCCTTTTGAAGGGGTATATAAATATACATCTTCCACCAACCATACCTACATAACCTGCCCCTTCCTCCCTGAGTTCCAGTCTAATATCAAATCTTCTCACCTCTCAAACTACACACACAAACACTCCTCACCTAGCCAAGGGAATCCGAAACGAAAACTCACACCATGGATCGAGACACTCCTCGCCCTCTCCCATACCCCCAAGCTCCTCCACCACCTCACCCACCACCTCCCCCTCCCCCTCCATACGCGCCTACGCCAGGAGACCAGATCAACCAGCTCTACGAAGAGCTCATGCTCATACACGCCTCCGTCGCCACCATCTATGAGAACATGGTCTCCCTCGACACAGCCCTTGAATATCAGGGACGACACGAGGTCATACTCTCAGTGGCCCGCCAGACAGCAACCGTCACCATGAGCATCATCCACAGCATTTATCCCATTGTTAGCAGTATGAACTATAAATTGCATGTCCTCGGTGGCATCCTCTAGAACACATATACAAAGTCGTCCACTCAACATCACTCGACAGGCAGGGGGGGGATCGGACTTTTTCTTGTCCTGAAGAAAATGTATTTGAAAAGTACAACATAAGCTAAGGAAAAATCACCAGTGGGTACTGGCTGAGCGACTGTGCATGCTCAAAGAGACTTCTAAATCTAAGAAAGATGGGTCATAAATCGTGGGTATTGGCAAACCGAAACCAAAACAAGATCAAACCCGATAGAAACGCTGTTTATCCCTTTCCATTCCCTTCCCTTGCAATCCAAACCAGATACTTTTGAAGAAAAGAAACAGAGAAACCGATGCTTTTTATCCATCCATGAAGCCAGAAAACCCAAAGAAAACATGTCTCTAACTCAAAACCCCGAAGCAGCATGATGAGCCCCTGGCCCAATAGCCCTTCACTGTGGGAGAGTTTGTGGTAGCAACCCATGAAGGACGAGGTCCACACTCTGCGAGACTGTTACTCGCGGAACGTTCCTTGGGAGCCCTTTTCCGGTGAGCTCAACATCTCGAGGACGCGAGCAGCCGTGCTGTGTATATAATATATACAAAGGAAAATAAGAATTCGCCCGCGTGGTATAACAACCGGGGTATAAACGAAAGACCAACTGCAACATCCTAAACAACTCCCCTTAACCGATCAGGTAGTGTCTGCGACCGGGCTGCATCTCTGTCTTGGGGGCGACGTTGGCAACGTCTGTGGCCATCTTGAACATAATGTCAAGACGCTTCTGGGCCTCCGAGATGTGGTGGAGGCTCTGGGCATCGTCTGGCTTGTTCATTCGGTGAACAATCTCTTCCAGCGCCTTGCGCTGGTCCAGCCACTGCTCGATAAGAGGCTTGACAGGGGGCTGCTTGGGCTCAGGGGCAGGCATCGACTTGATCGAGGCCTTGCGGCTGGTAGGGACTTGGGTCTCGGAAGCATCAGACTTGCGCTTCCGTCCCTTGGCAGCCTGCTGAGCAGCTCCGGTAGGGGAGCCGCCAGCGCTGCCGTGATCATTGTGAACTCGCTTCATGTGGTCCCGAAGGTTCCACTGGCGCGGGAAACCGCTGCCGAGAATCGATCGCTCACAGCCCTCGTACATGCAGAGGAAAGGCTTGTCGCCATGGCCATGCAGGCCATGGGCTTCGCGCTCATGGCGAAGGAGGCACGCGGTGGAGGAGAATCTGGCGCCCTCACAAGCCTCAGCCTTGCAGCGGTAGGGCTTCAGGTGAGAGTCAACAAACTTGCTGTCATGGTGGTTAGCTTTTCCGTAGGTAGAGATCCAGAGCAAAAAGAGCATATCCAAACTTACTCATAGTTGCACTTAAGCTTCTCGGGCTTGTGGTTGCAGTTTGGCTGGCCCTCCCAAGGGCAGTGGAAAAGACCGTCGGCCTGGGGAGTGACGTTCTTGTACAAGGCATGGTCTCTGGCAGACTCCCCCTCACTTCCCTGTCGGCGAGCGGTATAGGCTTGGGGGAGAGCCGAGGCATCCTCCATATGGGAAACGGCGCGTGCATGCATATCCTCCGGCATCATTGGGATCTTTCTGTCTCTGAACGAATCGAGCCGGTAAGAAGATAGTTCATCCTCAGCTTGGAAGATAACATACCTAGGCGATCGGCAAAGTTCGGGGGAAGTCTCGGGGCTGAAGGGAGCGGGTTGCCAAGCATCATCAATGGTGGCAGGGGTGGAGGTTCTGGAGATGGAGCTAGAAAAGCAATCCCAGGTGCTGGGGGATGACGCATCCGGGACGGCATCATTGGCAAGGTGCATCTGTGAAGGAACCACGTGGAGCGGGTTCACATTGGGAACGGGGAAAGCCACGCCGTCGGCGCCAAGGTTCATTTCGAGGGTGTAGTCGGGCCAGTACATGTGGGAAGCAACACCGTGGGCATCGGAGTCCAGCAAAAGACAGGAGTCCATTCCGGCCATGGGGCCAGCAGGGTGAGGTCCACTCCGGAAAGCTTGTGCATTACCTCTGACGCTCATATTAGGCATCTGTGTCGGTGAAACAGCAGAGCCGTGGGAGCAGCTCGAGCTGGCTCGAGACATAGACTGGGCTCCTGTAGCGATGGACATGACCGCCTTGGGAGCGGCGGTCCATGCCACCTCAGCGGGTTGGGCCTGATCAAGTCTTGGTCCCCTAGGTGAGTTGTGACCAGAAGTGAAAAGATATTCCTCGGCTTCTCCTGAGTGCGATGATCCATTGTCCGGGTAGTCATGTAGGTTCTGTGGCCCTTCTGCATTTGCACCCCATGACGAACCGTTCAGGTCCGTCGATGGTTCTGTGTGAGAAAAGGAAAACATGGCAGGGGCAGTCGAGGCCATGGACGACTGGGGGTAGCTGAAGTCGCTAGGTCAGGTTAGTTTGCTATTCTCACCAACGGCCAAAATCAACTAAGAAAAGGAAAGACAACACTTGGCATGGGAGTCAACTTTGATCCTGCAGTTGGGGTCAGTATGCTATCCATACAGTCATGGGGGATACATGGTCACACAAACCGAGCCATATTAAACAAGAGGCAGTCATTCTGACAGCAAGTCCCCAAAAGTCCACACCTAGTGTGCATGATGGGCTCCGGCTCCAGTTCCTTATGGTGCGAAAAGTTGGCGTATCCAGTTGTCCAGGCCAAGGGTCTTCTTCCGGTTCGACATTCTTTTGGTATTCCAGGCTAGGCAGACAGGCAGGCCAGACAGGTAAAGCAAAGCATTGCAATAGAAACAAAGGCAGCAAGAGAAACTCAGTCGCACATACTGTTCGAGTCGTAGGCCAACAGGGTCCAGACACGTGAGTCGAGAGATCCATTCATCCTGGAGTCGGTGAAGCAGGTACAGCTCAGAGTAAGGCCAGTTGTCAGAGGTCCGCTTCTGCACGTCTGCGTTCGCAGTCAAATCAAACTGCGTCTTCGTCCAAGTCCACGTGTAAGACCGCTCAGGGCCAGCTGTACACAGTCGTAGGCGTGCGGTGAAAGGGGAAATCCCGAGATCCAGAAAAGCAGGTCCGTGAATTCGCTCAGTGGTCCAGTATAATCCTTGGGATCCGTTGGTTCTCCGCAGTATACACGTGGCTCACGCAAGCATTTGGCCAATGGAAGGCATCGAGAATCTGTCGCTTCAACTCAAATGGCGGGCCGTACTCACCGCTGGCACGAAGCCAACAAGTATATATATCATTTGATTTCTCATTTGTTTCCTTGCCCGGCTGGACAAGTCCTGTTCCAAAATTGTTTGTGTGTTCCGTTCTTGAAGGTCCGCGTGGCTATTCCATGGCTTTCTGGCATCCGGGGGTATCCTGTGGCTGGTTTCATGGCGGCGAGAACGCTGACAGCAAAAAAGACGAGACAAGAAAGAAAAAAGTACATGATTCCCGCTCAACATGTGCGAGTGAAAGAGCAAAACGATAAAAACGCAGAAAAGAGAAGAAAGCACGCAGTATCCTGAGCATAAAGAAAACAGTACCTGGGCAGGGAAGAGACCTCGTCAAGGTCAACATTGTTGTAGCTAGGCATGGTTGCCTGGTGAGGCCCAAGAGCAACTGTCATTGTATCCAGGGAGGAATCTGTGAACAGGCCCTGGATGGGAGATCCGGCAGGTCAACTTGGAGTAGTTGACGGTGAGAGATCGAAGTGATGTCGGCGGCAAAACGGTTCCTTGGATTGGCTTGCAGTTTCCCGACGGCTGACTGATGGGATGGGGGTTGCAAGTGGATACAAAAGGGAAGCGAAAAGTCGGTCTTGAGGCGAGGGCAAGGGATTCAAGGGTGTTTTGGGCAGAAACCGTTGGGCTGAAAGAAGAATCAAGAGAGAACGTTGGGCAACGAGGGGGCCCTGCGGGTTTTATCGTTGCGGTCCAGTCTGACTCCCGATCTTGAGAGACGCAATACCCCCGCTGCCAGCGTGTCTCACCACTCCGCGTGCCAATAGACGGCCGCCGGAAAGGTCTCTGTGCTGGCCGCAGGAGTGCGCTGGCGCGCCTTCATCAAGCATGATAGGCTCGCTTTGCAGGGGCCTGCATGGTGTGCTGGCGCTGACCGGGCCTCTTCCTTGGTCGTCGGATGGACCTGGTGGAGCAGGAGGTCTGCCCAGGATCCTATCAGTGACGAGCGTCGTCGTGCAATGTGATGAACAGTGATAATGGCTGCAGGACAACACAGCAGTGCAGTCCTGGATAGTAGGCGGGCACCAACGAGAAAATTTTTCTCATTAATAGCTGCAGGGAGAAGCGTCGTCGTCGGTGAGGCGCTGCTGCATGTTTTTCTGCTTCGCTTGCCCTCTATATTCCCTCGTCACGGAGAGCGACGGGAGAGCAGAAGCGAGAACGATGGAGAAGCAATTCGACAGGCCACGAAGCAACAGGTTTGTGGCCGTTTAATTGCCAGTCCCAGCAGCCGCGGTACGAAAGTCGCAGAACGGCTGAACAACCCTGGACGGTAGCAAGAGCTACTAGCCAGGGCTTGAGTCGTAGTCCCAGCGGTAGCTGTCTCAAGCCATCCGGAGCGAAGAAAACAACCCGGGTCCTGTGGTCTTTTGTTGAGACGACGAGCGCTGCTCTCGTGCCGGAAGCCGCACCAACCGACCAGGTCAGCCTATGCGTTGTACACGTTGTCGACGGCCGTGTCAAGCGAGCCAGACGCCGGCCGTCCATTTGTCCTCGACATGGCGAAGCTGTAACATGGTGGCCCGCTTGAGGGCATCTCGAGGCTCTCGTTGGCCGCTGGCCGAGTCTTGGAAGCGGGGTTTACAGCACGAGCGGCCACAATGTCGCCAGACGAGATGCGCTGGCATGCAGGCAGGGAGCGTCGCAGACGAATAGCGAGCGGCGGGTGTGGTCACGCACAAGCCCATTTCTGCAGCTCGTTCAGCCATTTCGTCACCGTGCGAGGGCAGGTGAGCCACTGAAATAATAAAAGAGAAGCGAGAAACGATGTGTCGACCGGGTTCATGCTGGGGGAGCGTGGGCGAGCATGGGCTGAGTTTCCGTCGTGATAACGAGCCCTGACCGCCCGCGAGGCTGGATTAGCTAAGCCGTCTCTCCTCGACCACCCGCCATCAGAACCTCCTCTTCTCCTCTTCCCCTCTCTCCAGCATCAAGCAGGCAACCCGCGCATCGCGATACATGCTCAGTACGATTCTGCCGTGTTTCTACATGATGGTATAGGTCTTCCAGATGGGTTCAGTATCCGAGTCTCCAATGTGTGCAGTGACAAAAGGACATTTTTTCCGATGACAATGCTAACATAACAGTTCGTGCTCATGTTCTTTCTGGCTCTGCTTCTCCATTTCCGGAGTGAGGAATTGCTGTTGCTGTTTCACCAAACCACGCAGCAACGGCGGAATGGTTCATCGCCAAATGAAACAGCAGATCAGGATTGAGGACCCTATCGGACATGGCCATTCAGTTCATCTCTCTCCCCTGATAAAGACGCAGCCAGTGCTGTTCGCATCAGTATGCTCAGTCTCATACACGTCGTCCACAGGAATATCCAGTCACGGTTTCACGTCGGGTCCAACCGAGCTGGAGAATGAACGAGTGCCCGGACAATCTCACAGCGGTTCCATCGAGCTTCTATGGCTCCCGGAAAGCAAATTTCTCCCGCACTAGGCTTTTCTTTTTTTCTACTGCCGCTCGAGAGCGCCGATATCAGCCCATTGGGCTCTTTGGCGTGCTTATTGGACATGGCATGGCTGCCCGATGACATTACGGCCAAGCGGCTGTTTTGCCATCCATGCTGCCAATTTTATGCTCATCTCGTCTCGGTCGTCTACTCCGTGGTCTCATTCGTCGGACTGTTATTATTCGGGGTTCAACGGCGATGTACCTCGTGCCAGTCGGGCCATACATCTCTCGAGCCCGCCTCCAGCTCGGGATCCCGCACTAACAGGCTCCGTTTTATACGGAGGCCCGAAATAAAGAGTTTCCTGTTTGAATCGCCATTGCTGCCCAGGTCTGCCGATCTCATGAAGTCGGATCCACTGTGTCCGGCGCTCCACACCGAAATTAGGTTGGGCGGATGTAACCGGGGGAGATGTTTGAGGCCTCGGCGCCAAGGTTTGACAAGATGTAGCTGAATGATTCGTACATGTTGCTCGATATCTGTTCGATACTGATGGCTAGTGCTCCTTATTATCAGGTTACTCGCGTGCGCTGCTAGAGACCAGGTGGGATTCTAGGAGACGCAAACATGTGCTCTACTATTCGTTCCCGTACTCTGTATGACTTGTATGACTTGTATCCGTAGTTACCCGTCCCCAGGATTGTTCAATCGGCATGAGGCCATGCTGCCTTCGGGCGCTGACAGGAGGAAAGTACTCGTAGAAGCAAGCCGACAATGCCAGTGGCTCCTTGCGCTGCCGTGGGCAAGGATAGACCGGGAAGTCATCTCGCGCTGTCTCATTCTGCAAGGTACTGCCGCTCCGTGGTACGAAGCTTTACCAATGGATAGCATCGGAAGTTCTGAGAGCTTCCTTGGTATTACTCGTACTGTACTTCGTATTACTACGAGTACTATTTCGTATCTGAGAATGTAAATGAGGTAGTAGTGGTTGAGGTAGGCGACGGCAACAAATTTGGCGGTCGTCAAATTAGACCCAACGGGTACCGTCCTGGTACCTTGCAGAGCACCCAGCTGAGTGTTAGCCCGTTCGTCTGCTCCCAGTACCCTCGAGAAATTGCGATCGATTTCATGATCCTTGGACGGGTTCATCCATGTCCTTGTCCTTTTCCTTGCCCTTGTCCCTCCCAAGCCTTGTCGTGCTTGTGCTTCCCTCGCTTATCCCCGATCCAGCTGCCAGCTTCGAGCCCTCCAATTGCCCAATCGACCAGCTCCAAGCTTGGGTAGCTCCAAGCTCCCGTTCTACTAGGTATGTATGGACATCTCTTGTCCTCCTTTCTAGCATCATGGATCCCTCTACCCAACCACTAGCAACAACTGCTTTGGACTGGCATCGCACTAGGTAGGTACCTTGGGTACGGCAGCTGTGGACGGTTCCTCATGTCTCCCCTCCTCCAAGACTCGGACATGTACGTGCGAACCACATCCCACATCCCACATGCATTGCATACACCTCAACCAACGTGAAGAAACCCGTCTTTTGCCAGGTTCATGCTGACCTGGAGGATTTCAGCCGGTTCGGTCGCTCGTCCAATACCCCAGACTCGCTCACAAGCTTCTCGGCGACGCTCGAGAGAAGCCGGCCTTGAAACGCGGGCGTTCGGCTGAATCCATCGTCACTTGCTTCTGCTCTGCGCCGGCCGTCACCCTCGCATCAAAGGCCCCCAATTGCGTGTGGCCCATGCCTTGATCTGAATGGGCAGCCGTCCGGATCAATATGGGTTGGGCTGGGATTGCGCGGGTGCAGCCTAATTGTTGATTGATGCCCGAAAGCGACATGGAGCATCAGCCTGTCAAACGCGCCGCTCCCTTGCCCGCTCCCCATAATATCTACCTCTTCCCTGCCTCCAATTTCCGGCCTTTGCACGTTGGGCAACAATCAGCGGAGCCCAACCGAAAGGCCTGCCCTTACCCCACGATCCGTATGCTTCGCTCCCAGGTCCTGCAAGGCGACGAGATCCGGGAAATCAACTCTGCTTCCTCCTCCTCCCAAAAAGCAGGTTGGCGAGCATCACCCGCGTCATGAAACAGCCTCGGGGGTTTGCCACTTCCCTCCTGTCTGTCTGTAAGCCACCGCTTGCACATGGTTGCCGCATGCCCATTCCTTAGCTGCCGGCTCGCACCCTTGACCTTGATACGGCATCTCGTCCCACCGACGTCTCCCGCCGGCCACAGCGCGCTCCACCGGGGCACAGCCGTCTAATCGCAGAGCAGAGAAGCAAGCAGAAGAACACATCGCAAGTACGAGTCCACGTATCAACAGCTTCCCCTTGCCTGGACAAGCGCGGGCCCGTTGACCCCGGATCTAGTCGTAGGCGCCCGATTACTTGGGACGAAACAAGACAAGTGGCCACGAGTCCACGACGCACCGAAGCTTGGCTTGTGCCTGTCGATTTGCCTCCTTCTTTGCTTCTCGCTCCTTCTCCTGCGGGCTGCTCGATGCCAACCCGAGCATCGCTAGTGATCGACTGAGAGACCAGGGCTGCCCTGAACGGACGGACGAGTCCCGTGCCAAACCGCTCGCCGAGCCCTTCCTCCCCAAGTGAGCTTGATCATGCATCGTACATAAAGCGTGTCCATTCCGGGCTGACGAAAGCATCAATCTGTCTGACAGGTCTATCTTGCCCAGGCCAGCAGCGTCTGCTACTCATCTACAGCCCGGAATTTTTGGATCCTCAAGGACGATTCGGGCCTTCGCACTGGATTTAGTGCCTGATACATACAACTTACATATCACCCCCCAGGGACCTACATACTACAGCCCAGTTTTGAGGTTGGCCTTTCTGGATTGGTCGCCTTGGCCGTTCCAACACACCGCCTATAGCTATAGCTCACGTTCACCTTGTGAGGAGACTCAAAGGGACCAGACCTTCAAACATCCTCGGAATACCGCTTTCCTCTTGGATCTTCCCCGGAAATCTTGGAGACCCTTTTTTGGATTTGCTCGCAATAGGACCAATGCCCAGGGTGCTCGCTGGATTTGCATTTGCCGGACTCTACAGGCCTCAACCAGTGCTGTCTTGAACCCATCTGCATCTCTGCGTTCTAACCAGAATTGTTTTTTCCCCTGTTTCTTTCTTTTACCAAGCAAGCAAGCAAGGAAGCAAACCAACGGGAATATAGCATTCTTGTTTTATCTTGTTGTTCTGTTCATCCAATCTACTCCCGGTCATACTTGGTTACATTATGAGCCCTGAAAACATGGCCCAGCCAGGATTTGCTTACAACATGCCTTCCGCTTCCAACGGACACTGGAACCCTCCTCGCAGGTTCGATATCATCAACAGCCATTGCGAGAGGCCAAGTTGACTGACCCGAGTTGCAGCCTATTCGCCGAACCATACAACAGTGGCAGGCTCGCCGGAAACATCTATCCCCTCTCGAGGTGAGACAAGACCGAACTACAGCAGCGTCCGTCGACAACGTGGCAAGCTAACAAAGGTGTCGCTCGAAGCATCAATCTTTCGACCAGCGCCTATCCATGGGCTGACAGCCCTCCCGCGCCCGCGAGCGGACACTATACGAGAATCGAACCTGCGGTGTCGACCCAGCCGTCCTATGTCCCGCGTTCGCCGCCCATCACCAACCACTGCTCCAGCTCGGTCTACTCCAACTCGGTGTATGGGTCCCACAAGCGCAGCAGATCGTCTGCCTGGGATGGACAGGGCAGATATTCTCCGACAGGATCTGTCGATGATATCATTGCGTCTCCGAGCCTGTCCGATTACTCATTGGACAACGGACTGGTAGACCTTGTCCTTCCGAACAACAAGCCCAAGCAGCAGAACAACAAGCCTCGGTCGCAGCGACGGCCGTCCAACCGGGACGAATTCGACGGTCCACATCAGTTTCTGCAGCGTCCACCGCCTGATGTAATTGCCATGCAGGAGAGAGAGCTTCCACACCTGCCAACCAACCTCCATGTCCAGGAACAGGACAACGTTCTCAACCAGGTCAACGACCGGTTGTCGCAATGCGCCTACGACTTTGTGGCCAAGTACCAGTTTCCCATTCCGTTGACTCAAGACATGAGGCCCGTGGAGAGGCCACAGGACCGCGAGTGGACCGAATGGGTGTACCTCTTGAAGAGGCTTGCCACCAAGAGACGGATTCCCGCCAGAGTCCTCTACAATGGGCAGATCAAGCAGTTTGTCACCATTCTCGAGAACTCGCTCGAGATGCGGCACGCTGCCAAGCATCAGAGCCGCCCTCTGAAAGATGATCGAAACATTCTCCAGCTCATTTCCGCTGGTATTCAGGTCGCCAAGATCCTGAAGGATGCGTCGGCGATGGACTATCTCGACCGGCTATACGTTTCAACGGAGAAGCAGATACAGGAGCGTGCCAACGCGCGATTCCGATCCTAAGCCTTCTCCCCCCCACCCGTCCCTACCAGTCTCTGTTTTGCCATTTAATGATCACGTTTATGAGACTGCAGACTTGAAAAATGATTCATGAATTCTTCTCTTCTTTCCCGTCACACATTTTACACATATTTCTTTTTCCATGTTTATTGCAACAGAAGAAAAGGAACATTAAGAGAACGAATACCTATGTAGGTTCACCATTCGCCCCAAGCCTTTCGAGTTGAGCCCACGACTAATACGTTGAATCAAGTTCACAATGTCCAGTCATTTATGCCCTCTTCTTATGATGACGACGATATGTAGACTTTTAAACAAAAGTGCGCTCTATAAGACGGCAGGCCTGCTTAGCATCGGAAACGGACAGGCTGAATTGGGATTGGCTACACTGTGTTTGTCTTCTGGAAAACCTTGTCTATACTGCTCCTTTTTCCCTCTCTCTTTCAACAATGGCCTTTTGTCAATGGTAGCTTTGCAATTGGAAGCTGGCGGGACAAGTTATGCACTCTTCCATTCATTGTTCAGTCAGCATCAGCACACGAAGCATTGCAGCTACCTACATACCTACTGCCTCATGGCGAGCGAGGTTCTGAGAATTGACCAGTCGGTGTTTTGAGATGCCCGGTACGGGGAGTACATATTATTTGCGTTATATGCATGGAGCACTACCTATGATGACCAACACATTGCGGAGTACATCTCATTGCATCAAACAGGAAAGCGATCAAGCGAAGATGGCAGACAAAGGGCAGGCATTGCGAGGGGTGATGTCGCGACAGATATAAACGGGGGAATCATCAGGGGGGGCAGCTGTGTCATTGCTGAAGGCTGCGACTGGGCTGGGCTGTACAGTTTGCTTTTGTACCATTAGCTACACGTACCGTACGTATTCTTATGGTGACGACGACCTGGCTGGGGGTCAATAAATGGGAATAATTGGAGACGCATGCTGAGAGGTGGCTATCGAAGTATGACTGTACATATTGTAGGGTAATTGCAAGGTTCGTGCTGAGAAGATGCATTATGAGGTAGTAGTGTGTTTAGAAGGGGGTACCCTAATACTCCGTATGGGGTAATGATTGATTCCTGAGATTTGGCTGCATTAATGCTGTGATGTGGTCGCAAGCCCAGTCGATGGATATTGGCATGGGGGGTTTTGATAGCCATTGTATGTATGTAGAATACAGCCGGTTGTAGTTGCGGCCCCGAGGATGGCCATAGCAACTCAACTGGTGGGTGAAAGGCAGTTGATGGTCTGTGTGGGTTTTGCTAACCTACAATTATATGTATGTACTACTAAGCGGCGCTGCTACAGACGGGTGACGAAGACGGGATACTACATGCATGAACGAGCTGAGCTAGGCCCGTGTTATACGATGAGCAAACGAGGAGATCGAGATTGGGTACAGGTAGTTGTAGGTCAAAAGGAAGCAGGGAGAGCTCAAGGTGGATTTTGGGGGACCTGAGGCTGGCAACATGGGATGGAATATGAGGCGAGTTTTGTATAAGAGGGTTGTCGGTGTCTGAATTTGAATCTCGGTAGCGCTGAGGGGGGGAATATGTAGGTAGGTACCTACTGGGTAGGTACAGGATGTTGCTTGCTCGTACCTCAATCGTGGAGAGTGCAAGGTACCCAAGGTATTTAGGTAAGTCTGCTGTTCTTTGTAGGACAACTGGCAGTTCCTTTTACCAATGCCATTCCATCTTTCTGCTCTTCGACATAGCCTAGTAGGTACTTCCCGGTAACTTGTATAGGTTCTGAGATTCAGCTCGCATTGCGTCAGTTCCAGGTGATTGTCACGCCAGCCAATATCTCATCGAACCTGCAAAGAAAGATAGAATACACATGCCACAGTTCCCGGGTCAAGACGAGAACGTGCATGTGCTTGCGAGCAGGGCTGTGAGTGGCTGAACCCAGACAAGCAACGCATCCATCTCAGCCAATGGCGGCGCCGCATCTGATCTATTCGGTATTCTTTTTCGGCTTAGCGCCTGGGTGGCCGTTGAACCCGCCTGCGAACACCAACGCAGCTTCAGCGACGGTCAGCATTGGATTCTGCGGCCGGAGGGGGGAGCAGGAGTATCGGGGAGCAGCGAGGCGAATTTAGTCTTTTGTTGTTTTGTACTTCTTTTTATACATGGCCGATTGGCCTACATTTGATTCTTGTGCTGGGATATCGAACGATTCTTGTCGCTGGTTTTGTGTTGAGCGTTCTGGGACGTTTGATATACATATGCTCGTGATGAGACCGATGGAGTGAGTTCTATTGATCTAGTCGCAGCACGGAATCAGGCGTGCGGATTGCCGACTGCATCGATAAGAAGCTTTCGAAAGCTGCGAAACTGGATCAGAAGCAACTCAGGCCATAGACATCCAGAACTCTCTACCTGGTCTCAGTCGACCGCCTTGACGACTACATAATACTCGGACATTCCCCAATGGCCTCGGTTACCTCACAAAACGCCTCCCCACACGCCTCGTCACCATACGACTTCGACTCGACGGGCGACACCGATGAATCATGGCAATACATTGACTACTCGAGCGGCGCATCCGTCACCGGATCAATAGGCTTCCTGCCCAGCCCTGCCAGCGGCAGCTTGAACGGCTTCGCCATCGTCGGCCATGTTTCCACGCCGTCTCAGGGAGGAGGAGGAGGAGGAGGAGGAGGAGGAGGAGGGCTTTCGCCGGGCTCGTCCCTGGTGGACATGGATCCCAACGTCTTCCTCCCTGCCGGCACCACCGCATATCAGCCAGAAACCGAGTTTGTGGCGGCAGACCTGTTCTCGAGCGGCGGCGGTATCGAGAGATCTTCCCCGGGCGGCGCGCATGCAACAAGCTTCTCGCAGGGCGATGCGTTTTTGACGCCCCAGCAGTATCTGTTTATGCCGTCTGGCGCGACAGTCGATTTCCAGCCGCAAGAGCTCAATGGTGAGTTTATTACACGCAGCGTGAAGATGGGGGGCTATGGCTACCGTTGGCGAATGGCCTGTTGATATTGATGCGGATATACAGATCTTGCCCCCTTTATGAGCGACTTCCAAGTCGACTCCTTTTCGGTGATGAACCAGACGAGTCCGGTGCCACGGCAAAACGTCTATCAATCACTGCCTTCAGATCCAGGCATGCCACCATGGGGCCAAACAAGCCCCAGTCTATCTGGCAACGAAGGCAAGTTTGTCTTTGAAGGAGTCATCTCCTCGCCAAGCCAGCTGAGCGCGGCGTCCTCGAGCCCAAAGTCGCCCGCCGTCAAGTCCGAGGGGAGCAGCAGCAGCAACAGCAGCAGCAAGGCCGGAAAGTCGATGCGCAAAGTCCTTGGCGGCAAGGTGGAGAAGAACAGAAGCGAGCCGTCCAGCGGCAAGTTTGTCATTGTCACGCCGACGACCATCAGCGCCCGCGCCGGCAAGCCGAATCCGTACGAGTGCTTCGAGGCGATGAGGACGACGCAAAAGGGGCGCAAGGGCCCGCTGGCGAACGAGACCAAGGAGAGCGCGCTGCAGGTCCGGAGGGTGGGCGCGTGCTTCTGCTGCCACAGCCGCAAGGTCAAGTGCGACAAGGAGAGGCCGTGCAAGCATTGCAAGAAGCTGATGCTCCAGGTGCCGCAAGTGGTGTGCTGGCAGTTTCAGGACTTTCTGCCGGTCCTGTTTCCCGACTTTATCCGCGGGCACTTTAAGAAGGATGTCATGGCGGGCTTCATCAGTGATAACGTCGAGGGCTTCACGGTGAATGGAGCCGAGCAGCTGTGCAATGTCGAGTTGTCGTCTGGTCCACGGTTTGGCGCTACGTTGACGCTTCAGGCCAAGTTCTTCACGGCCAAGACGTGTGACGTTCTGCAGCACTGGCACTTGAGCAGTGGCGAGGATCGTGTCGACCTTCAGTCTCAGGGGTCGGCGCCGATTGGTATCGAGGTCAACAAGGGGCCTCTGAGGGACGAGATGAAGAAGCTGGCCAAGGGATATGTCCAAGCCCTTGTGAACGAGCCGCTTCTTGCGGACCAGTTGACGGACTCCTTCAAGTCTACCAGGTTGCCCACCAAGATTCTTTCCATTGTACAGACGTTTGCCCAAAAGTCAGATGTAAGTAAAAGTTCCGAGTTCAACCGTACAATGGTGTAATGCTGACTGTGAACCAGTCCTCCATGGTAAAACGGGCTCTTTCGATCTACACCATGCACTACGTGATGACGCGGCATCTCTGCTTAACCCGTCAATCGATCCTTGCCCTCCAGCCCACCGGCCTCGTCCCTCAAAATACGCCCTGGGTCACTCCCCGCGTACTCGCGCGGCAAGTCAAGTCCCTCGTCGACGAGCTCATCCTGCGCGACATGCAACAACTCTTTGAACTCTTCTCCAAGTCGCTCAAGCCAAAGCTTCGACGCGAATGGGCACCGTGTCTCGCCTCGTTCCTAGTCCTTTGTCTGTTCATGGAGGCCGTCGAGACGGCTGCGGACAACTTTGTCGTGTCGCAGAACGAGGTTGATCTGAGGAACAAAGACGCCCCCAAGTACAAGAGATCGCTCGCTCTGGATACCTGTAAGGAGTTGGAGAACATGCCCTTTAAGCAGTTTGCGTATCAGTTCCATCATCTCTACCAGACGCATACGAAGGATGCGAACACGAGGAGCTTTAATCCCTTGTTCGACAACAGCTTTGTCGAGCAGGGAGAGCTTGATCCCGCGGCGGTGGAAATGGTGCAGAGCCTGAGAGAGCTCTTTCACGGGGAAGACTGTAGGTTGACGATAGTCTACACTGAATTGGTATTGAGACAGATATTGACAATTGAGAACAGGGCAAGACATGCAGTTCCTTGCTGACGACGAGCTCTTGTTGCATAGAGAGGAGCACCCTTATCCTATGGATACGTCGTTTCTTTATACCGGCCGCCTGGTGGCCAAGTTTTTGCTGTCATTTACAAACGAAAGCGTCATCTTTGCAAGCAAGATATGATGGAAGTATTGCTTTCTGTTCTCCAAGTTGATACTATTACCGGTTGGCTGTATTATTGGGCATTGTATACATAACGAGTAGTATATATATGGGTACCGGCACAACCTCAAGTCAAATGCATTCACGATGAAAAAACGAAATGTTTGTCTGATTTTAGTCCTAATGCCACACATTGTCTCAATGGCATCAGGGTGGAGCAGACTGGTTGTCTAGACCGTTGGCTTCTTCTCCCACATCGAACGATAAAAAAAGTAGTTGACACTCTTGCGCATTGAAAAGCGGCGAGGTGTAGGCAAATCGTGGGTATACATGTCACGCATTGGTAAAATGAAAAAAGAAAGATCCTGAGTCCTCTTCTCCTCTCTCTCGACCTACCTGACCAGCATCATCTCAGGCGGTAATCATGTCTGCCTGTCAGTTGCAGCATACAGACCCAACTTGCATTCCATCATGCAGTATTAGCCACAGAGCCACAGAGAATCCGGAAACACCTGCATTGCAGCGAAAGCGTCTTGCATCTTGCATGGTGAGTTGGTGTGCTGATGAAGGGTTGAGAAAAGAAAAGAGAGAAATTTTTATCACATATTTAAAGCGGAGCGAGTTCGAACGAGAAAAAAGCGCCCTTTTAGACCCTTGCCCATCACGTGACAGAGGCCCAAGCGGTTTCTGCTGCTCTTTACGGGCCGTCGCGTGCTTCCAACGGGTTTTTTTTTCTTCTTTTTTCCTTTTCTCGATACACTTTTTTTCGCACGATTAATCAACCTACGGCGATTCATCCACTTGCTCTGGGTCATATTTGCGTGCTAGATAGACGGATTCTATCTTCTGCCCTATAGAAATATGACGGCGAGATGTTGATTTTCGATACGTCTTGCCGTCCTGGTGGTTCTTCCGACATGCATATTACGAGTGATTAAATCTGTGTGGGAAAAAAGCCTTGGTAGGTAAGGTAGAGAAGAAGAAAAAGCAAGGAGAGGAGCCCCTGCTGCGTCTGCAGTTTCTGAATGGCTCATGAAAGTTTTCTTTCTTATGCCCGGTTTTTTTCTCTTTTTTTTTCTCTATTGCTGCAACTGCAATGCATCAAGATGCAGCTTTTGGCTCTTCTGGAGGGGGGAAGAAATCACGAGCATGTATGTCTGCGGAGACGCTGCTGCGGTTGGCGTTGACACATGATAGAAAAAGCGGCCGTTTTGGTTCCTCCTCCTCCCGTCCTTGTCGTAATCCCCTCCGTGCCGCTGCCCAAAAGGCTGGGTTGACGAGAGGAGGAGGAGCAGCAGCAGCAGCAGCAGTAGTATCAGTGCTACAGCAATTCCGCAGCTGCTGCCAAAAGCATCCAATGAGCCGTTTGCCCTTGTCTTGTGTTTCCCTCCCCGTCTCTGGACTGACGACGGCCGAGGCAAGTTTACTACTACCAGTCAGTATATTGATGCTACCGTTACTGCTAACTTAAGGCTGCATGGTCGCGTGGACACTTGTCGCTCCTGTCCGTCCTTTGGGCCGCGATGCGAACTCTAGCAGGCGTCAAAAGAGGGCACGAACAAGTCCATGCAAGCCCACATCATGCATGAGAGGGACCTCCCCGCCCGCCGCCGCTGCTGCAGATGGCCATTATTCACTCATTTGCTGGCGTTGCATCACGGGCTTGACGGATATGATGCCACTGCTGGATGGAAATCGTGGGGAATGTACCTATTCGCTGCTCGGAGGGGTGACCAGAGAGAGGGAGAGCAGGAGCAGAAGCAGAAGCAGAAGCAGAAGCAGAAGCAGAGCAGCAGCCCTGCCGAGGTGGTGGTGTGTTGGTTGTGGTGTGTGTGTGTGTGTGCTGTCATATCAGACCAAACCAGACCGGGCCAAAATAAAACAAACCGCCTCACACCTCATTTCCCTCCGTATATGCCTAATAGAGACGCGACACATCAACCTGGGCCCTCCTCTCTCTCGACCTATATAACCTACAACACAACCTATCAATCCCTCTGCCTCTTTGCCGCATATTCGACTTCTGCACCTCGACCGATTTGTCTTACGACCACAGTCCTCTTTATTTTCTTACCGCCTTGTACCCCTCCCGGCACATTCCATCCCGTCTCTGCCTTTATATATCATTTTCCCCGTCTTTTTAGAGGGCTGTTCATGTACACCGACTGTTTGGGCATCGTCAGCATTCACTTGACAAAGCACACAACATCGTCACCACCAGTTTAAAAAAAGGAAGAAAAACACCAAAAGGGAAAGAAAAGATAAAAAGGAAGAAACGTGGCAAAAAGCAGAAAAGGCAAGAAAGAAGAAATGTCTCACGTCCAGCTCCAGCGTTCCATGGAGGACATCAGGCTCGAGATCATGTTCCTTGCCGCCGAGGTGCTCTTCCTCGTGTCCGTTCTCGGGGCCATCATCCTCTTCAACCTCGACCTCTACAGCCAATCCCGCAAGCTGACCCTGAGTGCTGAATCCTACAAGACTCGGTCGCGCTGCTTGGGGAGTGGCTTGCCGCGAGGTCGTACCATTCACTGAAAAGCTCGACTTTTTATCATTTCCTGCCTTTTTTGTTCTTGTCATTGCGAAATCACAAGGATGCAATGCAATTGCTTTGGCAGAGGAGCTCGTGGCGTTGTTCGAGCTCCATATACACCATCACATCAACGGAAAAAAAAGAAAAAGCTCTCTGAGAGAGCTCACATCGACACATCTTCTGGAGCTGATCTGAGGCTTCCATGCAACTTTCTGGAGCTGGCTTCAGCTCCATTGCATTTGAAACGGCGTTATGCAAACGGGCATTAGCACTGGGAACCGGCGTTGGCTTGTGCCACCTCTTTACGAAGACAACCCTGCCACAAGAAAGGGACGACGACATGAATAGGAATTGACGACGACTTATCAGCCTCGCATGGCTTGAGACGACTGTGCTGGAGACCGGTCCTGCCAACATACAAGCAAAAACACAAAATCAACCAGAACACCATGCGGACAGACAGAGAGCGACTCCTCGTTTTTGGTTTTCGAATTTTCTGCGTTCGAGATTGCTCAAGCTTCGGTGTTTTCACGTGTCATGGGAGCCGGCGTTGTTTGAGGCATCGATATTGTTTGGGATCAAAATATTGTTGTACATAGTAAAACAGAGGCAAAAAAAAAAAAAAATAAGAAAACCAGTAAAGTTTGATTCGTCCACCGGTTTTTGATGGCCTGGCCAGGATGGTTCGTGAAGCAGCCTCTATACCTCATTGACCGGTGCCATGGCCATCTTCTATACCCTCGTCACTCCAAGTCTTTTGTTTCGTCATCTCTCCTTTTTTTCCATTCCTCCCTCCCTACTCCTAGCTGTAGCTCTATACGTCCGTACCCGTTCTTCTTCTGGCACGTTGATTATACTGCGGGCTTCTTCAGGTCTCGGGCGGCCTGCTTCAGGTTGAAGTTGCACTCCTCGTAGGCTCGTCCGGCACCAAAGCCGGCACCGAGGTACGCGGGCCAGGCTCTTCGCTTGAACAGGAGGACGGAGAAGACGACGCCGAATCCGAGACCGAGGGTGGACTTGACGAGGAGGTTGGAGAGGCAGCGATCCCACTGTTGCCGGAGTAAAAACACAAGAGAGGACTGTGTCAGTAAACAATATCCTGGACATGTAGAATATTTGCTCGATCTGGGTTGAGAAGCTCGGCTCGGTGCTACGGTACCTTCTCGTTGAGAAGCGCTTCGCTGACGGGCCGGGAAATGGCGCTTGGGGAGCGAGGGGCGGCGGTCTCGGACATGGTGGCAGACGTTCCTTTGGAAGCTGTCGTGTGAGCTGCGGTAGCTGAATGGCCAAGGGCTGTATTCGAAACTCACGGATGGAGAGCAATTGACCGTCAGGGAGCCAGGCTTGGGGGAAGGGCGTTTAAGAGGAAAGGAAAGAAGTGATGTCAAGCTTCACGAAAACCGGCCGGCCTCAATCGTGATCTTTCGCACCAAGGGCGGTGAGGGGCGATTGCCTGATTGGGGTGGAGATGGTGGCAGAATTTTTTGAAATTTTGGAGACTTGGAGACTTATGACGCTTGAGCTTCCTCTCTCCTGCTGTACTTTTCACAATCTTTAACGTCCGCTCATTTCAAGGGTACTGGAAGGAAGTGAAATTGAGTTTCCTTGGATTGAGTATCTTCCTATTCTTTCTGTCGTTCTTTTTTAAATATACGCGTTCTTGCATTTTTGGTCTTTTCGTTGTGGCTATGATGGTAAGTTTTTCTTCACACTATCATTGGTCGCGACTTCGTCAAGCTCACCAGCTCGGGAAAAGGGAGAGGCAGATCTCATCAAGACCGTCAGAGGTCTCGACCAAAAAGGGCCGGGGGAAACAGGACAGAACCTCGAAAACTTATGGCACAGCCTCACAAAGGCATCAGATTGCCAGTTCCACGCGGCGGAAGAGAGCACCCTGAGATGGCTGCTCAAGTCCATGAGCGGGCCTTCACCCGAGGCAGAAACTCTACGGCGGTATCCATTGACCTGGACGATTCTGGACTATACCTTTCAAAAGGTACCGCTTTTCTCGCTTGCCAAATCCCTCGCAGATAGGAAATTTGTTTCGGTACTGCAGCAGACTCTCAAGGACGCATCGAACCCGAGTGAGGAGGCTGCCCCTTCGAGCCTGAAAAGGAAGAGGCCACTGGCCCCCACTTACGCCTTGGACGAGCTGAAAAGCCTGGAAAGTTGTTTGGCAACGGGTCAGGCTGTTTTGAGAGCCTTGAAATCTTTGCTTGGGCGACTAGAGAACGCCGCCGTCGGCTCGCGTGACAGCATCGGAGCTGAGCACATCAAGTCTCTCTTCTCTACCTCTGCAGCCGAAGCCGCACCGTTAGCATCATCCTTCTTCATCATCTGCCTCCTGTTATTAACCAGCGACATTTGCGACGATGTCGATGGCAAAGAAGACTGGATCGCCACCATCTCCGAGATATGGGATCTCCATTTACAGGCAAAGGGCGATGCCCTGGAAATCGCGACACACATCTTCCCACCAGCAGCCGCGATCCTACGACACTTGAAGCCTGCCGACCAAGGCCATACATCGACCATCGGTGAAGCTCTTGCGGCTCGATGGAGTGCGGACCTTAAGAGGTTCATGCGCAAGAACTTTATCCTCCCTGCGTTCAACTTTTTCTGGGAGCGCCAGGATCTCGATGTCCTTACGAGGGCGCTCGATGTGACAGACAACAAAGTCAGGACATATGCCCCAGAGCTCTACTCGCTGGCTGCTGAGAAGTCATATCTGCCTACTGAAACCCATGTGCGCCGGATCAACGAGATGTGGATGGATCAGATATTCAAGATTGTGGAAAAGCAAATCTCTACAAAGCCAGACTGCAATGCCCTTATGAAGCGGATCTTAGCACAGGCGGCACAAAACTCGGTGGCGATCGATGCAGGGGACCTTCGTCAAGTATGCCGGAACTATGGCTTGAAATCGGAAATTGACTGGAGCTTGCTCGCGGCGGCGGCTGCGTGCAACCCGGATATCTTTCAAGTGGCCAAGGAAGGCACAGATTTGTTGAATGACGTTTGCAGTCAGAGCATCAACCAGACGCCAGAGCCTGATGTTTACAGGGATCAACTAGACCTCATTGTGGCTATAAAGAAGAGCTTCCTAACACGCCGCGATCTGTCTGGGTTCTTGCGCTTATGGTTCTCGCAGTTGTGCTCGACAGAGAAGCGGAAAATAGTCTCCAATAGCCCCTGGTTTGATATAGGGCGACAAGGACGCCTCGAAAGTTCGATTTCTTCACTGATAGAGTCTGACTTGTCGCCACACCAACTGCTTGCGATTATCGAATGGCTTGCGGAACAGGACCCCAGCTCATATCCCCAGTCTCTATGCCTCTTCACAAGCGTCATCGCGCAGGGGCTGCATAGCGAGCAGTTCGTCGACGCGGTCGGCTTGAAGTTGTTCGATCTAGTTTTCCAGCTCAAAAACTCTTCAAAGACTGCCCTCAAGTGGAGGGTCGTTTCCAAGACGATTTCATGGGCTGCTCCCGAGGAACGCAACAATATCTGGGGTCAGGTGAAAGAGCAGTTGTCCAAGCTTCTGCGTAAAGGCGCAATCAACTCGGCTGAAACATTCGAAGCTTTCAAATGCTGCTTTCAGGCCTGGGATCTCCTGAGCCAAGATGAGGCTGCAGTTGACGAGCCCTCTAAGTTGGTGGAGAAATTTACACGGCGGCTAGTCGAAGAATTTGCGTCGCAGGAAGTTCTTGAGATCACCAAACTGTCGGCCTCACTCGATCCAGGAGCAAAAGCAGAGTTTGACGAGGAACTCGCCTTCCAACAATACCTAGCCTGGTATGTCCTTGGTGGAAGCCGCTTCTATCGACTCTATTCAAGAAGGACGGATGAACTGCCACTACTTGAGGCGGTATCTTCTGCAAAGGATGCGAGCCCCTCAGGGCTGCGTACGCTATGGACTGCTCTCCTGAGCAACGAGGTCAATATTAACGATCCGAAACTCTCGAAAAAACTCTTGGACCGTCTGATCACCGCCTTGGGAAAGTCTGAGAAGGAGAAAGGCTGGCCGGGAGAGGTAGGGCAGCTCTGGATTCGAACACTATGCAGCATACCCCTGGAAGCTTTTAGCCGCGCTCAGCGTGAGCAGGTCATGAGCTTATTGGACAAGGGAAGAGAAAAGATGATCAAGTCTCCGAAGCGGGTGTCCCTCGAAGGGTGGAAGCTGGTGCTCGATTTGGCGAGCAAAATGATGGCACGGCCGACTTTCTACGAAGGGATGCGGTTCTCCCATCTTGTCGACTATGCCGATGCCCTTTCTACTGTCTCCTTTGAGCAGACGATACGCAGCGAGACGCTGCTCGAGCTGGTCGAAAGATATTTCGCCATGGCGTCAACGATAGTTCGGCAGATGTCGGATAATTTTGATGAACGAAGTGCGAAATACTTCTCGGAAGGCTTGGCGTTTGTTGAAACCTGCGAAACGGAAGTGGCCAAGGAGGAGCCCTTGAGCCTACCGGCACTTCGCGTCACGCTTCTGAAGGCTCTTGTTGTTGAGCTCAAGAGGTCGTCGGCGCTTCAAAGCCAGCCTGTCCTCAGCCAACTGCAACAGAAGGCGAAAGACGCATTGGCCCGACACATAGCGGCGGTGCTGGGAGAGCTCATTGCGAACAAGAAGCTCTTATCAAAGCAGGACAACACGAGAGACCTGGGACTTCTCGCGACAACACACGCCGCAGAGGTTATTGACGATGCCGCCGGGTTGTCACAGCACAAGTCAAGCGCGGTTCGAAAGCTGGAGAAGCGGAGCCGGGAGGCCATGGACGACGGCGACTTGAGGGCATGGAAGGTTCAGATTTTCCTCCACACATATCTGGCGAGCGAAATGGAGGATCCCCGCCCAACTCGGTTCACCAGCCTGGCGGGCCTACCTTCAAAAGCCCGCGAGTCTCTGCTGAGAGAATATGTCACGTCCATCATCGCCAACATGGAAATGCCTGACGTTTCGCGTTACCTCAGAGAGCTGATTAGTGAGTTTACGGGAGGCTACGATACGGATGGCCAAGCTCTGGCCATCCAGCATGTCGTTGGCCATCTCATTGGTATGTATTTCCACCAGAAGGATCTGTAGAGATGTGATGCTAACGATGTACTAGAACGCACTGATCTACACGGCAAGGCTGAAGGTGTTGATCTATCAACGGCTCACAGCGAGTTGACGCTCTCTCTGTCGAAGAAGTCGCCCAATGTGTCCTACACGTGCCAAACTATTCACACTCTTCTGGAAAGGAAGCCGCAAGCCATGGGACAGTGGAACATTGAAATTACGCTGAGCACTGCCAGCGACTTGGCCTTGTCGAAGGAGTCAACAGTGCCCTTCACGTGGTTGTGCAAATTGGTCGGCGCAGTCATCAAGAAGCACCGCTTACGATTGGAGGGCCACCACCACTTGCTCCTGACCACCGTGCAAGCCCTGCTCAACAGCCTGGTCCTTCACCAGCCGAAGAGGTGCACCGGAGATGGCACGACGCAAGAGTCAATGGCTCGCCTGTACGGCCGCCTCATCACCTTCATCTGCGAACCCACCGCGGGCGCCGTCTCCCGCTCGCAGCACCAAAACGCCCTCGACTCGGCCACGGACGCGGCCAAGCGGTCTGCGGGCCGGCACATGTATCTGGTGCTGATGCAGTACGTGAAGCTGCAGCTGGAGGCCGACGTGCCGAGGGAGGTGCGTGAGGCGCTCGAGCCGGCGATGAATTCGATATTCGACGTGACGCCGCCGGAAGTGAGGAAGATTCTGAACGATGCTATGGATGCGAGCGGAAGAGCTATTTTGAGGGAAATGTTCAAGCGATATGTCAAGTTTGGCAAGTGGAGTGGTGTCTGATTGCATTGGGAGTTTATAAGAGACAGGCTGGGATATACAGCTACCTACTCAGGGGTGAGGAGCTTAGTGTAAATTCACGTTCAATGATATCCATTGTATGTGGTCTATGCTCAAAAGCGGTTTATGCTGCTCTTTGCTGCTTCGTCATGTTAGGGTGACCGTGCTTCTTGCCGTACTTTCTAATCTTGCCGTGGAGATCAGGCTGCACAAAGATCCAGATGAGAGAGACAATCCATGACATGACCGTATCGACGACCCAATTGTTCCGGAACGAACCGCCCAGGACTCCCCACTTCATGAGCGCACCGAGCCAGGCCACGGTGATGAAGTACTCGCCGCGCTCCAACCCCTTGATGGCGGCTGCCGCGACCTCTTCGGGCGTCTGCTGGGGATCGCCGGCCTCCAGGATGGTGGTGATCTCGGGCGTGGTGAGGACCTCCCGCGCGTAGCCGGGGGAAAGGATGGTTCCCGGGAAGACGACATGAACCTTTACGTTTTGGGGATACAGCATGACCTCCTGCGAGATGGTGTCGGCGAGGCCTCGCATGGCCCACTTGGACGGCGAGTAGGGCGCGTAGCCGGGGATGGTGTAGAGGGCGAGGACGCTGCTCGTCATGATGAGGTGCTTGGGCTCCTGCTCGACGGGCGCGTCGGGCGCGAGCCACTCCCGCAGGATGGCGTGGGACATCTCGGCGGTGCCGTAGAAGTTGACGTCCATCTGGTGGCGCAGGGAGGACATGTCCATGTCGACGAAGAGGTCCGGGGTGGAGGTGCCGGCGACGCACCAGACAATGTCCGGGCTGCGGCCGCCGTTCCAGGCTTTCACCTCGGCGAGGAGGGGCGCGGCGTAGGACGGGGCGGAGACGTCGGCGGAGACGTGGTGGAAGCGCTGCTTGGAGGGGTCCTTGGCGGCGGCCTGGACGAGGGCGAGGGCGGCCTGGAGCTTTTCGGTGCTGCGGGAGACGAGGACGATGTTGGCGCCCTTGGAGGAGAGCTGCTGGGCGGCGGCGAGGCCGAGGCCTTCTGAGGCGCCGGTGATGAGGATGGTCTTTTTTGGAGAAAGTTTGACCATGGGGGGTCCGTGTGATTAGCAATTATTTTATGGGAGATTTGGGAGGTTGATGAGAATGTACCTTGCCCTCGACGGGCATTTTGTTTCCTGAGGAGAAGCCCATGATGGAGATGATGCCGAGGGTGAGGGTGATGAGGGCGGGGAGGATCCAGATGAGATTGGGCGGGATGTCGATGGACATGACCTGGCTTTCAATGAGGAATCGAAAGAGGGTGATGAAAACGGCCAATGCCTGTGCTTGATCGAGTAGTAGCAGATTGAGATTTAGGATAAGAAGCTGACGTGTGTATCTAGGTATGCCGGCGATGATGGGCTTTGAGTGGCCCGTGTGGTGTTGGTGAGCATTAAGCCTTACGAGGCTAGTGGAGTTGGGGCCTCTGGTGCACTGTACGTTAGGGGTCGATGGCCACAGCAGGGAGCGATTAAGCCTCCATTCGCTGTAGCATCACGTGCGTGCGTGTTCGTTTACTGCGTGCTTCCTTTCAGATACATCGAAAACGGGACATCTCTCATCCACTCTTTCACTTCATTTCAGCTCTGATCCATCTTGCTCAACAGCAAGCATCGAATTGAATCTCGGTTGCTTGCAGCGACACACTTCACAGCACACCGGCTCTCGAACGAGTAGCGTACCCAGCATCATGGTGCTTCGGAAATCCTGCTGAGTCTCATCCACGATGGCTTCGCCAGACGAGCAAGACGAGAAACTCATTGTGCCGAAATTTTCGTCCTTCAGACCCAAGAATCCTGAGAAAGAGAACCCTCTCAAAGTCACCAAGGAGCATGAGGCTCGTCACAAGAAGCACACACGGGACGACGAAAAGTCAAGGAGCCGCCGGCACCGTGAGGATCGTGACGCAAGGCACAGTGAGCGTGAGACTCGCCAACATCGAGACCGGGACCGAAGCCGAGATCGACATCGTCACAGGCCGCCAAGCCGTGAGAGGAGGAGGAGGCAGGATGAGGCAGAGAAGAAGAGGCCTGCTTCCAAGCCAGAGGGTGTTCCTGGCTTGTTTGTGATTGACACCAAAGGAGACCCCCTGATCATCAGGTACGGGGGCCTTGACCAATCGCAGGTGCCCGCTTATCATCGCCGCGAGGGTCGGAAGATTCTTGGCTCGGAAGGCCGCCTGGTTCTTCACCGTGATGGCCCTCGAGATTTGTTCAGTATTCGCATGCCCGGCGAAGGATTTCACAGCGGTAGAGATGGCCTTCGGTCAAAAAGGCCAAAGACGGAATCCAGACCAGTCAAGAGGATCATGAGAAGGGATGGTGCTGATTCTGATTCGGGAGAGGCTGAAGGATTTCTGTCTTTGGTTTCATCTAGAAAACGAAAGCGTGATCAGCGAAATGCACAGTCCTCGGACGACGAACGCCCGTCCTATCGATCCATTGAAGGCAAGGCAAAACCACGACAGCACTCGGATAGCGAGTCGGATGAGGACTCGGATATGTCAATCGAAACGGTGGCAGTGGATCAGAGCAACCCGCTGAAGCAAAAGTCCATTCAGCTGAGCAGACGAGTAAAGGAAGCTCCAGAAGATATCGACGCTTGGCTGGAGCTTGTAGACCACCAGGACGCTTTGCTCAAGGCTGGGGAAGACTTGGACCATACGGTACTAGAAAATGAAGCCCATAGCTTTGCAGAGATCAAGGTATCCATGCTCGAGTCTGCTCTTACGAACGCAAAGAGCGTGGAGGACCGCCGCCGAGTCCTCGTGTACCTCATGCGAGAGGGTGCCAAAGTGTGGACCAGCAAAACGACGGCCAAAAGATGGTCAGAGGTCTTGAACGACGACGATCATTTCGTCTTGTGGAAGACGCACCTTGACTTTTTGACGACCAACATCACGGCATTCCAGTATGATGACATTAAGAAAATGCTTCTAGACAGGCTACGCCTGACTCTCAATCGCTTGACAACGGCGCAGCCGAAAGATGCCACCGAAGAAGCCATATTCGTGTTCCTGAGACTGACTCGGTTCGTCCACGATGCTGGCTACAAGGAGCTGGCTGTTGCCGCCTGGCAGGGTCTCCTTGAGGTCAACTTCTTCAGACCGCTGGCCACCGACGACGAGCAGTCTGCTCTGGATGCTTTTTCCGACTTCTGGGAAAGCGAAGTCCCTCGGATAGGAGACGCCGGCGCCAAGGGTTGGAGACATTACGTCGAGTTCGGTGGTGAAGGGGACGCCGCAGAGCCAATACGGGCGGCGCCAATCATACCATCTTCCTCACGAGATGTTTACAAAGCCTGGGGCCATCTGGAGCACTCTCGATCGCAAACAGCAAAGTTGCCGGCGAGGACGATGGACGATGGGACGGATGATGACCCGTTTCGAGTCGTCATCTTCTCTGATATCAGACCATTCCTCTTCCTGATACCGACATCTATTCTTCCACAGGTCTCGGGCCAGCTGATTGATGCATTTCTACTCTTCTGTGGCTTTGCACCGGCATTCAAAGCAAGCAGTTGGACAGAGATTGCCTACAACGACCAGTTCATTTCATCACCGCTCGTCAGGCTGGACTTGCAGCCGGTTCTACACATTGACGACGATACAGACGACTGGTACAGGAGACAGCCGCGGTTTGACATGGGCGTCAACGCCGCTGCTTCTCTATCTCTCCTGTTTGGCGGCTCAGAGTGGTTTCATTATATCCCCACCAAGTCGCAGGATCCCATAGTGGGCTCGCTCTGGGTTTACGAGGCACTGAAGCAGCTTGTCCACGGTGCGGGAATGGAGAGCGTCGCTCAATATTACCTTGCGATGGCCTTTTCGAATGAACAGACGGGCATCAAGAAGCCTGCCAAGGCTCTACTCAAACAGTATCCCACGAATTCTGAACTGTATAACGCGTATGCAGTTGCGGAATATGCAAACGACCGAGGTGTGGCGGACAAGGTGATAAGGGCTGCTACTGAGTCCACCTCGGTATGTCTATATGCCTGTGGTCTTTAGGAGCATTCAGCTAACATGTCTTTAGTTGACTGCAAAGTGGTATAGATTCCTGTTCCATGCGACTTGGAGTTGGATGGATCTGGAAGCAGGCAATCTTGGCCTAGCCAAAGCGCGGCTCTGCGCATCAGTGGACGAGAAGCTCAAAGGCGTGGGGACAGATGCCCCCGAAATCAGCAATACTACGCTGCTGAAAGCCCACCAGACGTTTACATCGAGCTTTCACGAATATCTGTTTGGTGGGGATTCTGCTGGAGCGAGCACCCTCGCCGAGTGCATGGTGCTGCTGGCGTATCTCACGGCTTCAGGAAACACGGAGCCCACGTCGGTATTGCAAGGCAACATTGCTGCTGCAATGAACACCGTGGATGGGATATCTCAGGAGTTTCGATCTCGGGATCAAGGCGATTCAGCAGCGCACGAGCGTGTCCTCCAATATGCTGCACATCTCCTGTATCTGCATGCATCAAAGGGGTAAGCGTTTGCCCTCTGACCAATGGTTGAGTGCTGGGGGACTTTAGCTAACAAGTCGACAGACCATTCCGGAGAGTGTATCTGCGTGAGAAGCTGTCAGGCTTCATCCGGCAGTTCCCACGAAACTCCATCTTCCTCGCCCTGTTTGAGTGGTCCGACGCGAGCTTGCGTGTCATTGACGAGACGCGCGACCTGCTGTATGACCAGGTGTTGGTGAAGGAACACGATTGCGTGAGCAGCCGCGTGTTTGCCATCCAGCACGAGCTCACACGCGGCAACGTCAACACGACAAAGAGCGCATTCGAGAACGCGCTCGCGAGCGATGCTTGTCGAAATGCTCCCGCGTTGTGGGTGCACTACATCCGATTCTGCTATGCGCAAAAGCAGTTCCGCAACAGGGCAAAGGACGTGTTTTACCGGGCTCTGAGGCACTGCCCGGGGTCGAAGGAGGTGATGATGGAGGCGTTTGCGACTCTGATTCGCGACATGGACTCGGAGGAGCTGAGGGCTGTGTACAACACGATGACGGCGAAGGGGATGAGGGTCCATGTTGACTTGGAGGAGTTTCTCGAGAGGCGGAGGGAGGAGAGGAACAGATGAGTGTCTGGGGTGACGGATGTCTATGTATGTATGAGTACTCGTACTTGTGTATCATCGTATGCACATGTGAATTGTCTCAACGAGATATGCACAACGATATTGATGTTCAGTGCCTTTTACTACTTCCTGAACACGCAGCAGGCTTCTGCCCACCACTCAAATCCTCCATCCGTCGCCTTTCTGCAACATGACTGTGCCGTCAAATATAGGGGATCGCCAACTAAGGGGGGCAACCCCCCCAAACCACAAAAGAGCCCACCCCCCACAAAGCCCGCAACGATCCGTCAGCGAAGCACGGCTCCACCACGAAGGTTTCGCATTTAGAGGGTCTTTGTTTCTTGGTAGCTGAGCCACGATTTTGCGCAGCGATTCAGCATCGTAAGACTGCCCTCTTATTCATCAATCTTGTGTGTGACGCGTCTCTTTTTACCATCCTTTGGGAAAGCTTTTTGGTTTCTGATTTGTCGGCTTCAGGGTAGGTTGCGAAGAGCTGCCAGGTCACATACATAGCAAAGGTGGGCTGCTTGCTCTCTTACATGCACGAGACCCCCTCAATACAGTACTGGAACTCCTATAACGGCACTTCTCACTCCTTTTGCACGCCTGCTTCATCCCAAGACCATATATAAAAAAACTTAAAAAAAGAAAGAGGCCATCCTCATCATCTCATCTCACATACATCGTTTCCGCCATGGCCTCAGAACAAGACCAAGCCGCCAACGCCTCCCTCCAGTCCGGCGGGGGCTCCATCCCAGCCCAACGAACCGTCCACTCCCTCAGCAGCACCACCCTCGCCTACCTCAAGCGCCTCTTTGCATCCCACGCGACCCCCGAAGGCAAATGGACCCCCGAGCAGATCAGGGTCTTTGTCCAGAAAGTCCAGGGCAGCAGTGATCAAGGCCCGACGACCGAGGCGGCGCTGGCCCAGCTGCTGCGGCGGCGGGGGGGCAGCAGCACTCCGGATGGTGGTGATGCTGCTGCCGCCGCCAACAACAACAACAACGTCGGAGAGGAGGAGGAGCTCGATCTCGACGGCTTCCTCGCATTCATGACGTCTCCTCACAGCAGCGCCGTCTTGCCCGTCCTGAACGAGGACTTTTCCTGGCCGCTGGCCAGCTACTTCATCAGCTCGAGCCACAACACGTATCTGACGGGGAACCAGCTCTCGAGTGATAGCACCACGGGCGCTTACACCAACGTCCTGCTGAGAGGCTGCCGGTGCGTGGAGATTGACGTCTGGGACGGCGACGAGAGCGACGCTGAATCCTCCTCGTCGTCGTCGTCTTCAGACAGCGAGACAAGCGACGACGAGGCAGCCGCCAAAAAGGCCGCCCTGAAAGAGAAGAAGAAGCTGGAGAAGAAGGAGAAGAAGGAGAAGAAGGAGAAGAAGGAGGCCAACAAGGCCAAGCAGGACAAGAGTACGGACAACAAGAAAAAGACTGGAGGAGGATGGAGCGACCAGCTGCGCAGCAAAATGGACAAGATCAACATCAGCAAGAAGATGGACAAGCTCGAGGAAAAGGCCACGGAAAAGGTGGCCGAGATCCAGGAGGCCATGACGAAGAACAGCAACAAGTCAGATCCTGCATCTGCCGTCGTCGTCGAGCCCCGTGTGCTTCACGGATACACCCTCACCAAGGACGTCAAGTTCCGCGACGTCTGCGAAGCCATCCGCGAGAGCGCCTTCGTCGCGTCCGAGATGCCCCTCATCGTCAGCCTCGAGGTCCACTGCAGCGCGGCGCAGCAGCTCGTCATGGTGGACATCATGAAGCAGGTCTGGGACGGCCTGCTGGTGAGCGAGCCCGAGTCCGCCGTCGAGTCCCTGCCCAGCCCCGAGGAGCTCCGCCGCAAGATCCTCATCAAGGTAAAGTACGTCCCGCCCGGCACATCCCTCGACAAGGTCGACACCATGTCTAGCGAACAGGTTCCCTCCGCTCCGGCAGGCGGTGCGCCGCCGCCGCCGCCGAAGCCCGCAAAGACGATCCAGGAGCTCGCCCGCATGGCCATCTACACCCAGGGCGTCACCTTCAAGGCGTGGACGCAGCCCGAGGCCAGCATGCCCACGCACATCTTCTCCATCTCGGAGAAGAAGTTCATCGACTACCACGAGAAGCAGTGGGCCACGCTGTTCAACCACAACAAGCATTACCTCTTGAGGGCGTATCCGGCCGGCTTCCGCATCGGATCGTCCAACCTCAACCCGGCCATCTTCTGGGGCGGCGGCGCTCAGATCATCGCCCTCAACTGGCAGGAGACGGATGAGGGCATGATGCTCAACGAGGGCATGTTTACCGGGACCGGCGGCTACGTCCTGAAGCCAGAAGGTGAGCTCTTTCTACCGCCCCTTTCCCCCTCATCACAGAGAACACCCCTCGTGATAAATACCGCTCGTTGTATAAGTTGTTGTGCCATTCTCTCTAAAACTGATGTAAATTTCAAAAAGGATACCGCTCCAAACTCCCCCTCAAGGAAGACATCACCACCCCCTCCCCCATCACCATCACCCGCAAGACCGTCTCCCTGGCATTCACCTTCCTCGCCGCCCAGAACCTGCCCCTGCCGCCCGACGAGAAGTCGGCCAAGGGCTTCCGGCCCTACGTCAAGGTCGAGCTGCACGTCGAGGCCTCCAAGAACAGCCACGCCCAGAGCGACGGCCACGTCCACGAGAGCGAGTACAAGGTCCGCACCAAGACCCACAAGGGCTGCGACCTCGACCTCGCCGGCGAGAGGCTCGAGTTCAAGGCCATCCCCGGGCTGGTCGAGGAGCTCACGTTCGTGCGCTTCACCGTCCGGGACGACGAGATTGGGAAGGACGACTTGGCTGCGTGGGCGTGCATCAAGCTGGATCGGCTGGGGCAGGGGTATAGGTTTGTGCATCTGAGGAATACAAAGGGGGAGGCGACGGACGGGGCGATTCTGGTCAAGGTGGAAAAGCTGGTTGTGTAAGAAATTTCATGAAACGATAGAAGATTGTTTTTTTACTTCATCTTTTCTGCCCTGATTTGCTATATAAATCATAGAATGAGAGCATCTGTCATGTCATTCCATATCCATAGAATGAGCGCATCCGTCATATTATTACCATATTCATAGAATGATGGCATCCAATACCCTGTTATCGTATCCATCGTGATATCATATTGTCTCTTCGCATAGACCTTTTTTGTGATTTCCCTTTTTCACTTCCATTCGGGCCCCTTTGCATTCAACAGCGTCCTTAGTGGCCCATGTGCGTCACCTTATCCTTCACCTTCTCAAGAAGACCCTCACCCTTCCCACTCTTCCCGCTCTTCTCAGTCCTCTCGTTCCTATCGCCAGAGGAACCAAAGCCCGAAGACTGGTTTCCAGAAGAGCCATACGTCTCGCCACGGTTCTGCGAGCCGTACGTGTCGCCTTGGCCGCTGGATCTATAAGTGTCTGACGATCCATACGGCTCCTCCTGACGGCGGCCGAAAGAAGACTCTTGGCCGCGGTTGCCGGAGCCGTATGTGTCGGTGCCGGAAGAACCAAACTGGTCATTGCCGGAGCCTCCAAAGGTGTTGCCAGAGGAGCCATATTGGTCGGTGCCGGAGCCAAAGGTGTCGCCCTGGCCGCTGGTGCCGAATGAAGTCTCGTCATTGCGGCGCATGCCGGAGCCGAACTCGCCTTGTCGACCGCCGGAGCCGAATTCGCCTTGTTGACCACTGGAGCCGAACTCGCCCTGACCGCCGGTGCCGAACGAAGTCTCATCGTTGCGGCGGGTGCCGGAGCCATAAGAGTCTCCAGAGCCGAATGTATCATTTCCAGAGCCGAATTGGTCTCTGTCAGAGCGGCGAGACTGCATCCTGTTAGTACTTGATGGCCATAGTAGTCGACTACATGTTTAGATATCGTATACTCACGCCGTACTATTGCACACAAGAATCAGTGGTTAGCTATATGATTTTTCGTGTAGAAGTCAAACTGGAAACTCACCTGATCGTTGTTGTCGCCGCCAAAAGACATTTTGATTGATATGGGTAGCTGTACTAAAAAGCTGGTGGGATAGCTGTGTAAGTATGAGATCGAAATTGTGTCTGTTATAGACTTTGTTGTTCAGAGCATCGAAGGGACTAACACATAAGTCTTACAGCCCTTTATATACTAGAGAGGCAGATGAGCAGGAGCCAGTGCAATGGGGATAGCCTCCTCCATACCTACTGCCACTCGACTTGGACGGGCTCGGCATGTGGTGGAGAGCTGCCACGGCACACACCACGGGTGTCTAGAGAAGCGTTCATCCCATGCCTGATACCCAGCTGAATAAGGTAAGATTGCCCTTGATCAAGTTCATGGCTGCCATCAGGAAATGGAGTGGCAACATCCAGACATGCCGTCACAGCTGAAACCGTCATAAGCTGTCTCCAATTTCCCCAGATAGCCACAAACTGGCCATACAGGAGGCATCTATTCCAGTCGTTCATTGGCGAGTTGGCCGAGTATTTTGCTGGGCTGTGGCCATTGTCGGTGTATGTTGATGCACTCAATTGCAGAATACTCCAAACTGCCCGCTTACCATTACATCTTGTCGATCTCGCCTTCTTGTATCTTCAGGGTAACTCTCCTCGTTCAGACATTTCATCGGGTTAATTGATGCTCTCCAGATCGTCTGCATGCTCTTACCCGGCACGTCCGCAACAAGTCCCAACCCTGACCTCGGAGTGGCGCACCTTAGTCCCTGAATTCGGTGATTGGAGAATGCCGTCGTCATCTGAGGCAAAGCTTCGCAAGACGTTAGCGGCGGGGTAACCACGAATTGAACAAGCGGGCATATCGAGAAGAGCTTGATGAATGCATTTTGCAAGCTGGTTTGGCTGCAGATCCGGTGACGCACGCTATCAAGTCTGACGGAGAGAGCCATCTACGTAAGTCGACATATACGCGATGCCAACTCTTTGGAATGTCGATGCGCACACAATGAGGGGTCTCATGTCCTGTGATGTCAGGCCCCTTTGGCAACATGCTTCCCATGCTGATCTATTCCTGGAACCGTGATGCCACCGACAGGGTGGGTGTCGATAGCAACACGAGGGGTGGCCTCTTGAAAAGCTTCTCGAGTTGCTGATAGAGGTTAGCTGTCATACAGGTTCTCTATGCAGGATAGCATACTGTCATGGCAATGAAATCCTGCATGAACGTGGTGGCTCAATTGGATCAAGTTCTGCCGGGTTGCCCAATCTGGCTGCACTGGACAGGGAGCTGAACCAATTATCGATTATATCCAACTGGAGAGGAAATCGGGTGAGATGACGTGCCATGCCAACGATGGTATGTATGTAGAGCAACGGTTCTCTGTCGTCAATCTGCTGTAATGATTCACGTCGAAGTTGAAGATTGTCCAAATGATTGATTCTGAGGCAGGCAGCGTGATGTTGAGGGACCATTCCCTGCCCTGTTGTCTCGTTGTCGCATCATGGCTGGTGACCCATAGAATCGTAGGGTTGTGACAACGGAGCCTCAACTCTACAGAGAATTAGCCTCTGAAGGTCCAGTCAAGACAAGCATGCGCTCAGCAGGTAGCTTGCTTGAGGATGTCGAGGTTGAAAAATTATCATCTCATAGGTACCTCGAGATGATCTGATTACTTATGTCTTGTTTAGGAAGAAGGAGGTCCTGCGTTCACTTACATCACTTCCTGCCAGTTTCCCTTCTGGCGATGCTTTGGGAATGTACCAAATGTTGGAAAGAGCAACCCCATTGATAAGGAATTGAACTTGTATCTAAATCTTCCACGCCATGCAGATAGTTTCGCTTTCAGATCACGACTCTTTCCCATGACCTTGTCTACTATGCCCGAGTGTCTTCCCATTTCAGCCTCGACAATCCATACTCACATGAATCAAGATCTCTCCCTTACTCAAGATAAGCACCTCACTCACCACAAGTACAGTACCCATCCTCCACCCCCTTCCTCTCATCCCCATACTTGAGACCGCAATACGCCCTGTCCCCCAAAGGACTCTCCCCGCAATCGATCAAATCCCTACAGCCCCCATCGTCCCTCGCCTCATCCCCCGTCCTCTCGCACCAGAGATCCCGACACTCGCACTTGCCCGTCGGAAACCCCCTGTCCCCCGTGCTACAATACGGAAACTCGGGATACAGTGAGAAATGCCTCTCCGCGCAACTCGACGCCCTGCCGCACCACCGATGCGGACTCTCCTGGAACAAGCACCCCGTCACTCGGGGCCGACATCCACAGACTCCAATGCTGGTGCTGCTGCTGTTCTCTTTCATGCAGACAGCCTCGTCGTAGTCTCGACACTGCCGTAAGTCCTCGCACATGGATTTCCGGAAACACTCTCTGGAGAGACACTCGCATCGTCCGCGCTCGCTGCAGGTCGGGTACAGCCCGAGGGACGTGTCGCAGGAGAGCGTGACGCGGCAGTCTTCGGCCGCGGGGGTGTCCGCGTCGCAGGCGTCGGTGAAGTTGAATCGCATGGTAGAGGCCGGTGTTTTGCTTGGAGAGCCTTGTTGTTGTTGTTGGAGACAGGCGCTTGCGGCTGTGCTGCTGGGGTTGGAGGCTGTGCTCGAGGTGGTTGTGCTCGAGCTTGAGCGTGTGCTTGATTCGGATGTTGTAGATGTCTGATGGGCTTCTGTTTTTGTCCATGGCGAGATGGGGAGGCAGAAGATGTTGGGGCAGCTGTGAGACGATACAGTAGCTGGCGTCTGTTGCGAACTGTCTGTCTCGTCTGTCAAAGATCTCCAACCTGTGGTGATTGATGATGGAGCTCCCTCGGCCATGACGCTCGCAGAGAACGAAAAGGAGACGGTGCTCCAACTCCCGCGCGACGATGCAGCAGCAGCTCTGCATGGAAAAGATGATGTGAGGCACAAGGCCTCCAAAACGAAGAGAGTCTTGCTGAACATCATTTCCTGTCGTTTTTTCTTGGGTATATCCATGTATTAATTCAAAGGTATTCTAAAGAACCCCCAACAAATCCGGTGCCAGCCTAGGATCATGCCGACTTTAAGTGCAGTTCCCACAACAGTACATCATCGCTAAACAAACAGAATATCATCACATGTTCCAACAAGCCAATCTTGTTTGCGGTAAATCACACACACGTCTCCGTGCCAGGCGCTCAAACTCCGACTTTTGGTGATTCAGTCAAACCTGCTCCTAAAGGAAATCGCAAAACCCCCTCCAAAACCGTCACCATTGGTCACAGATCCAAGCAATCCCTGTGCCCCTTACAGCTTGCTCATCATCTGGTCATTGGACACAATCGCGCCGCTCATCATGGCCGTCTCGGGCGCAGGCTTCGAAAAGAAGATGTCTCTTCCGCCCAGGTTCCCCCACCAGGCGACTCCAATGGCTGCTCTTTCGACGTCCATTTCTCCATTGACCAGAATGTCCCAGAATCGCTTCTTGACTGGCGCTCTGAGCTTGGGATCCGCAATGGTATTCAGTGTTTGTGCCGTGATAGTAAGCCATTCTTCTACCAAAGGCAGGGGCAAGAATGGCAGCGTATCGACCAGGGCCATGGTGAGTGTGCTCTGCTCCGAGCAAGGCTCTGGCGGTTCTTGCTTAGAGTCCTCAGACGGAGGCGGAGCATCTGGCGATTGAGGCAGAGGCGTGGTGTCAGCGGTAGGGATGGACGCCCGAAGCATCTCGAGGAGGGTTTCTGAGAGATGAGGCTCCATTGCGGCGATGGGGAACGGCGGAGAGACGATTTGCATGACGGTCTTGTAGGCGACCCGGAATTGGCGCGGAGAGATTTGCTGAGGGAAAGACTCAAAGAGCTTCACAATGTAAAAGGGGGTGATGTCGATGTTGAGCGAGCTGTGCTGTGGACAGGAGAGGACGGAGAGGATGGCGCTGTGCGAGGCTTCGAAGAGTTCAACTACAGAGGGGGTCATGGGCCCCTCTTGGGAGAGGTAGGCAGTTGCAGGCTTGACAATGAGAGCTTCGCATGCTGCTGTGGGCAGCACCAGGGGTAGGTGCTCGGCGACGTTCAAGTAGAACAGGTCCAACGTCCTTGAGAGATGTGTGACTGGCGTAGCTGAAGCGTCGAGAGGCCGGATCTCGTTGAGAAATGTCTCACATGCGGCCGGATGTCGGGAGATGCTATCGATGGAGGTCAAGTAGGTGAAGGTGTACACCTGAAAAGCACTGTTGTTGTTGCGGTTGGAGATAAAGTACAGATTTCGCAGAATGTGTAGTGACTTGGCAGCAATTCCCGAGGCTGCTATGGGATTCAGCATGCGGTGATCCAGCAGGCTGCGCGAAACGATGGCCTGGAGAAGGGCCACGACACCAAAGAGTAGCTTGCGCAAGACTAGCCACAACGCCGGCCACGTCTTCTGAAGCGTCTCGAGGCTCAGCTTATTGGCTTCAAAGGCTGGATCGACATCGTTGAACCGGTTCGACCGCCAAGCATCCAATATCTGGCGGGAGAAGGCCAGCAGTGCATCCTGTGCTGCCAACACAACGTTCGTATCAGTGGCGTGCAGTGCCGCGTAGGCTGCAAGCTTCGATAGCGGCCCAATGTTCCCCATCAGAGGCCGCTGGTCCATGGCCTGCAGTAACTGGAAGGATGGCGTCTGTGATGTCCAGGAGAGAACATGGCCGGGAGCCTCGGTGATGTTCTCCCCAATGACCTGCAGGAACTGGCCTTCGCAGAAGCCCTCCGGGCCAGTCATCGCCCAGAGGGTAACCGGCAGCAACTCATTGCAGTCGATCTGAGCCTTGTGGAAATCGGAGAGCAGGGGAAACGAAAAGTTAAGGGCCAGCGCAATGGATCCGCCGGCGAGCGGTCCATCCTGTCGGTGCGTCCGCAGCGCCATATTCGCGGCCAGCACAATGGCCTGCTCAAGCGTCCCTCGGAGGCCGCTCGACAGGGCCCGTCTATCGTTGCCCTCCATGCCCATCAGGACGCCCGTCAGGACGAGCAGGTGCTGCCACCGCTTCGAGTATTCATCCGCGCCCTTGACTACCGCCCGTGTCCAGGCATCGCTCCTCAGGCCGCCTCCCTCAAACGGCTTTCCCTCGAGCTTGTTCTTGTCGTTGAGGATCTCGTAGTCGCGCACGCGGATCGCGGCGGTGTTGTAGATGCTGATGATGCGGACGGCCGTGCGCAGCCCGTCGTGCCTCTCCCAGATGGCGGGCGCCGTCAGCAGCTGCGACGTGAGGACGCCGAGGTTGAGCGGGTTGGAGAGCTGCGAGAGGAGATGCGCGGTCGTGCCGATGATTTGCTCCGTCTTGGTGGCATCGTGGAGCTCCTGGAAGAGCTGCAGGACGGTGTTGAGGAGCTGGTCAGCAGGCATGGTGACGCATCTGCAGCGGCGCGGCTGGCTGGAGAGACGGTGACGGTCTGTTCTTGTTTGGTTGATTCGGATTTGAAGTTGTGTAGATAGAGAGAGGCTGATGCAGGCCAGACGCGATTTCGCTTTGCCGAGGCTCTAGGGATGACGTTCAGCCCAATCCGGGGTCCACCGGAAATTACGGCTTACTGACAGGTGACATGCTACGGCAGGGACTTTTTGACACTTTCAGCATCAAACATCGAGTGACAGCCTCAACACATTACGGCACGACGCATTGAATGAAACGACGAGATCATTCATTTTGGTGTCTGATCCGAATGCACGGCTGCCTCATCCACCGCGCATCCAGTCTCGAACCGCGCAGATGACGCGCCGGCTGGTTCCGCCCGCAAACTACACCACGCCCCCGTTCCCGTCGCTCAACGTCCACAGCCTCTTCGATGCCACGCCCGAGAAGCAATTCACCCTCTACTTCATCGGCGACGTCTGGCGCTTCACGGTGATATGGACCCTGATCACGTTTGCGCTGTTCCACCTCGGCGCGGTCTTCATCGCCATGTTCACGCACGGCTGGAAGAAGTCGTCGTGGAAGTATCTCTGGATCACGCCGATTGTGTATCTGGGCGTCGCCGGGCTTGAGGCTGTGGTTTCTGGGACCATTGTCGGAGTCATGTCAGTGCCATGGGATTGGTCGCTGAGCATGTAGTGGTTTTTACGAGGGAGATGCTGACTGCTGTGGTAGGCTGGGCGCTGTGTATCAGGCGGGATACTACGAGATGAATACCTGGGTTCCCTGCATATGGGGCTTCATCAGTGTTCTCACGCTGATTATCTCGTCCTTTTCAATCCAGGGCGGTCTCTGAAGAAATGGGGCTGGATGATGTGAACCGGAAACATCGAGATCCGCCCAGAGACAGCGGGCTAGGACACGCCAGATCAGAAAGCAGCTACGCCAAGCGTTTTTGCCATTGCCAGCCGCTGTTGAGAATGGGCCTATACAACAGGGCAATATCGAGGGTTGGTAACGATATCTCATCGAAAGCAAAGCCCGCATCAGAGGTGAGATACTGACCGTTTCTCATTCCTGTAGAAGTTCAGACTTGCTGATGCTGTACTGCATGCAGCCTCAGAAAGAGGCCAGAACTATCCGACCAACTACAACTGAGTCTCCAAGCCGCATCGAGTCCAGACTCAAGAGAGAGAGACTATGGACTACGGAGGCTGTTAAGTTTGTTGTTGGTCGTGCTGCTTGTTGAGCGTTGGTGTTTTCGGGGTCCAGTCCCATTAAAGATTCCTTCCACTGGCGTGCAGTGCTTTGCTATATGATACCCGAGTAAAGGCGTGCTGTATGAGAGCCAACTCAGTTGATGACAATTCATTGATCGCACTTCAAGCTGAATCCTACAAATTGCTGTCGGTATAGAACAATTCAATGCAGCAAAAGCTTCCCGCAAAATACCCCGTATCAACTTGAATGCCCCCATCAACCGCATTGTGACCATCTGCCGGTGTCGCCGCCAAGCACCGCGGCCACCATCCAGCTAGCCCCAAGCCCCTTGAGAGCCTCTGGGCAGCCCTGGAGACCACCCCCACCCAGATCCGACCCTCAGCACCTGGGCACCCTACATAGTAGTACTATGCGGCTGTGGCTCCAGCCTCGACAGCAAAAAACACATCCAATTGTTCTGCAGAGAACAATCCGTTGCGAAGCCCGCCAGCACGCAGCCAGAGGTGGCCATAACGCCGTCCCTCCACTTCCCTCATCTTTCGGCCTGATCTGTTATAACAGTCGAGCAAGTCCGCGCGCCTGCTTCTCTTCTTGAGCGGTGACTCTTCATTCTCATTCACGTGTCGTTGGCATAGAAGGGGGAAAACCGATCAACAAACGGGCCTCTATCAAGCATCGAAACCAAAACCACAAAAGGGGGATCATGATACAGCCACAACGCGACTAACGACTCCGTCGCAAACAACAAAAACCGCCCTCATCGTCTCGACTAGGCCCCCTCTCATCACCAAACGCAAAAACACCAAGAAGAAGAAAAGGAGAAGACGGGAAGTCCGAACCACCACCATGGCAACCTCATTCACCCCCCAAACCAACCACCACTCCTCCCCTCCCCCCTCCCTCTCATCAAACCCCATAAACACCATCAATCTCGATCCCACACTCCTCCGCGAACCCGTCGAAAACCCCCTCCTCAAGCCCTTCTACCCCGGCCAGCCAAAGTCCCTCTCCGGCATCGCCCTCCGCGCCTTCTGCCTCGGCATCACCTTCGCCGTCGGCCTCATCTCCGCCGTCGCCATCCTCCTCCTCACCGACTCCCCCATCTGGCGCGTCCCCTTCTTCCTCCTCGCCCTCTCCCTCTTCCACTTCCTCGAGTTCTGGACCACCGCAGAACGAAACACCGCCGTCGCCTCCATCGACAGCTTCCTCCTCACCGCCAACTGGCCCTCGTACGCAATCGCCCACTCGTCCGCCTTTCTCGAGTGCTTCCTCGTCAGCGTCTTCTTTCCCAACCGCCGCTGGGCGCCCCTCGGATCCGGCAACGTTCTCCTCTTCGTCGGCCTCGCGCTCGTCGTCGTCGGCCAGGCCGTCCGCTCCCTGGCCATGCTGCATGCCGGCGCCAGCTTCAACCACCACATCCAGACCAAGAAGGCTCGCTCGCATCTCCTCGTCACCACGGGCATTTACGGATGGCTGCGGCACCCGAGCTACTTTGGCTTCTTCTACTGGGGCCTCGGCACGCAGCTTGTGCTTGGCAACACGTTTTGCTTCGTGGCGTATGCGGCGGTGCTGTACATGTTCTTCCGCGACAGGATCCGTATTGAAGAGCACAAGTTGGTCGAGTTCTTTGGTGACGACTATGTAAACTACAGGAAGCGGGTGGGCACTCTGATTCCGTTTATACGATAGATTTATAGACATGAGCATGGCTGGGTTGCGGGAAGACGAAAGGTACGGTGGCATTGCTCGTTTGGCGCAGATTTTTATATTTTTGGAAAGGCGGCAACGATCCATATCGCGTTATATCTATTGTAATAGCCATCTAATTAGGCTTCTTTCATATATCCTCCCTATTCCAATACGATAATCAAAAGCCATCCCAACAATGTGGTTCCAGAGTGCACCTTTTGATAGTTACGCAATCAAAGCAAACAATTTCTAGTGTCCAAAACTCACGACCGCTCAGTGATGCACCTGCTGTGGCAGCTTACTCACGCTGCCGTACTTGGCCTGCCAAGCGTAGAAATACATCAGAGCCGCAAACGGCTGACCAAAGATTGTGAATGAAACCCAGAATATAACATTTCCAAGAATGCGGCCACCGTGACCGAGCTTCATCTTCTCGAGAGGCGTGGTGATGGCAATGAGAGGGAGCTGGAGGAACATGCCGAAGAATGCGACGCCTGCGCGAACTGTCAGAGAGAACAAGGCAAGGAGAGAAAATGCCTTACGTACCGATAATGTTATGGGTCGGAATACCAACAAGAATCTCGTGAAGGACGGCAGAAACGAAAAAGACTGCAAAGCTGGCAGCGGCCGGGCTCCAACCTCGTCCGATCATGGGCATATAGACGTGGCGCTTAAAAAATGTGTAAACGGGCTTGTTCCACGTCCTCCAGTACGCACCCAGGCTCTCGCTATTCCACCAGTCGTCGTAGAAGGACCTGTCACCAAATCTCATAATCTCGGCCAGAGCGTTCAAGAAGGACTGGAAGAGCGCAAAGAAGCCGGCTAACCAGATGACCAAGGATATCGTCGAAAGCTTCATGAGTCGTTCCAAGATCGAAAACAGATCAAGAGAGGCGATCTTGTCCAGAGAGTTGCGCAAAACGGGCGTTGCATACTGAGCAGTGGCAACCCAAATGAAAACAGCCAGGCAAAAGATCTCTCCGAGCCGCTTCATCACAAACACCCATCGAATCTTGTCGGTCCGCGGATAGACGGGCTGGTACACCAGAGTTGGAGCCCACCAAAAGTACACCAGATTCTTCATCGTGACGTTTTGCGGATATGGGCAGGACTTGTACAGCTCGGGCACCTCCTCACCCTCGACTGGGTGCAGATAGGCGTGACGAAGGTCTCGGTTGGTGAATGCATACGAGGCCGTCTTGAGCCACACAATGATGGCGTGCATTTCCGTCAGCGTGCCAATCAGCGGGTGGTAGACATAGAAGTAGACCACGACGGTGGTGATTGCAAGGGCGAGCGTGATGTTGATTCCATGGGCCAAGGCTGCGAGAACCCAGATCGAGTGGAACTTCCTCCGCTCAGCCTCTGACGGGCCGGAGCTCCTGTCCTTGGCTCGGTTCCTGGACCCTTGGGCCTGCTTGGCAGCGAATAGCTCAATGAGGTATGCCGCAAAGAGGTGGCAGGGAATGAGAATGTACAGCAAAAGACCGAGGAACAAGTCTTGACGCCTGTAGTCGTGACACCTTATGCAGATCAAGACGCCGTACTGCATGAAGAGAACAGATGCGTGTCAGTGCTACGTCAGCCACTTCAATAATGCTTCAACGCACCTTTTGGATGTTTTCAATCATCAATCGGAGGTTGCCGACAACTGCAGCAAAATGTTAGTGAATAATCACTGCTTCGACTGAGTTGAAAGTGCATCTTACCCAGCACAATGACCATGAGGTTGCGGAAGCCGAGAAAGCTGGGAGCCGCCGGCGAGTCGTGGCTCAGACACGACGGCCTCGTCTGGGAGTGCACGGCAGCGACATGGCGATACTTCTTCTGCGGCGTCCTCTGCAGTCGTTCCTTGGTGGTTCCGTTGGCCGGCTCCACCGAGGTCAGATCTGCCTCGCCCTGTTGTGAGGCGTTGCGGCGAGTCACGGAGCCGGTGGAAGCATCGATGCTTGTCGCCGTCGACGGCTCTGGAGGAGGCGCCATGCTCGGGCCCTGCGATGATGATGCTTGGGACGTCCAGTAGGCGTAAGGTGGTAGCCGCGGATCAGATAACGTGAGGGGGCGAATCTTGCCTTTTCCACAGAGAGGAATGAGATGGCGGATTGGAAGAATGAGAGGCTGATGGATTCAGAGGCTGTGCGAACAGGAACAAAGGAGCAAGAATCGAGAATCAAGCTACCGGTCAAGCTTCGCCTTAGGGAGGGGCATTGAGTTTATCTTCCCGCAGTTGAGGTGCAGCTCGCGGAAGAGTACGAGTACTTGCGCTCTACCTATGCCTCTGCCTGAAATTGTATGGCCGCTGTCTGTACCTGTACTTTGCCGGGTCGGCAAAGTCGCCTCAAGCCTCAAGCCTCGGTGTAAATGGTGGATTGTATCGGCTTCGACCGAAATGAGCTCAGGGAGTCAGGCTTCTATCTAATGTAAGGGTCACGATCAAGATGGAGCCGAACTATGAAGGCATTCCCCCCTGCTTCTAAAGCCATGAAGACGAAGAGACTCGTTATGTATTTTTAGACGCAACGGTGTAAGGGTAATACATACATCGTCCCTGCTTCAAGTGCAGTGGTCGCTGTAAGCCTCGAATTGACCATTGCATTGGCGGCGTTTTTAGTGGCATAGAGCGGGTATCGAGAGCTGGGTTCCGAGATGGTGGGGCCTAGGAGCTTGAACAATCGTCTTTAGATGATTCACTAGTAGTAGTAATTGCAACTGCGTCCACGAAAAGCATGTGAAAGTTGCCATTCTGATGCTCGATGCCTCTCAGTAAACAACTACTGACTGAGTCCAACGAGCTCCTTTGCCACGGAATACCTCTGCTTACTTCAGGTAGGTATATACCCCAGGTCGATAACCATATATACCTCATTTTGAAGAAAAGGTTTGTTCTTCGTGGCATTACCTAGTCCAGGCACTAACACGGCTTGTAAAGTTTATGCTCCATGAGTGGCAAGCAGGCCAGACACAGGAATACGCACAGGTACCTTACATGCAGTCGAGAACTGATAACCTGAGCCCAAGCCACTAGGACCTGAAACAGCTGCAGAAAGCGTACAGTTGCTTCTCTTACAACCACGTGAGAAACCAACCTTGGTCAGGCGGCATCACAGCCACTCCGTGTGTTCTTAGCACATCTACCAGACAAGCAAACAGCTGCACATGCTCTTGCAGTCGTTCTCAACGCTGGACACCTCATGTCCAGATACCTTGGAACAAGGGATTCGGATCTCATCCACATGAAACAACTTGAAGCTGCTCCTGCTAAGAAAATAGATCTGCTGACTAAGCCAACAGCAAGCTCGCTGCATCACATGACCCGCAGCCAATCAGAGCTCGGCCTTCACCTAACGCTCTATCAGAGCTCTCAAGGCGCGAGCCTCACAGAAATGAGACTTTCATCTTCACAAGCAGCCATGCGAGCTCTCCGTTGAAGCCTCGTTCGGCAAAAGAATCTCATAACCTCTCACCAGATCGTTCTAGCGAAGGCATTGCTTGATTATTCTCGTCAGTTATTCTGTCTGCCGCTTTCAGCTCTTCGGTGCATGATCAGCCGTTGGCTAGCAACACGCGACGATGGCCTATGAGCCTCGTGGTGATCATGGCGATCGAGGGGGTGGCCAGGGCCAAGATGGCTCATACATGAAGGTCCGGGGTCGAAGTGAGTCTATTTCGTTTCTCAAACCCAGTTATAGCTGCATTCTTCGGCTGTGCTCCTTCTTATTCACTCCAATGCCTCCTCGTCTTCCCTTGACGCCCGGTATTTCATCGGGCAATGGCTTTCAACGTGTCGAGATGCTATATGTCCGTGAAACTCAACCCCGGATAGCTGACCAAATGCCTCAACAGGACCTGTGACGGACTACAGCGCCAGTGTTCTTCACTGGATGCGAGACCGCGCTCCCAATTACAGAGGTGGCTACACTGGTGAAAGAGAACGGCCAAGCGCGAGCTACATTGTGGATGTAAGAAAGCAATCTGGCCGTTGACGAGGAGAGCTTGCGTTGGTCCAAACTGACCGTCATGGAGATGATTCCACCAGCAGGGCGACCTGTATTCCCAGCCGATTCTATCCCGGCCAAACACCTTCACTCTTCACTGAACAAGATCAAGCATCCCATCAATGTGGTCCGATGGACTCCCGAGGGACGCAGACTGCTGACAGCGTCGACAAGCGGCGAATTCACCCTTTGGAACGGTACCGGCTTCAACTTTGAGACGATAATGCAAGCTCACGATTCTGCCATCCGCGCCCTGGAGTATTCGCATAGCGACGACTGGCTCATCTCTGGCGACCACGATGGTGTCATCAAGTACTGGCAGCCAAACTTCAACAATGTCAAGAGCATCAATGCTCACACAGATCCCATCCGAGACCTTGCGTTTAGCCCCAATGACTCCAAATTCGTCACCGCCTCGGACGACTCTACTCTCAAGATCTTCGACTTCGCTCTTGGTCAGGAGGAGCTGAAGCTCGAAGGCCACGGCTGGGATGCCAAGTCTGTTGACTGGCACCCAACAAAAGGCCTCATCATCTCCGGTTCCAAGGACCACCTGGTCAAGCTTTGGGACCCTCGTACAGCGCGGGCCCTGACCACTCTCCATGGCCACAAGAGTACCATTACCAAAGTCTTGTTCGAGAAGAAGCTCGGCCGGTGCTTTGCCACGTCGGCACGCGACCAGACGGCCCGTGTCTTTGACCTGCGAATGATGCGAGACATTGTGCTCCTCAAGGGCCACGAGAAGGATATATCCACCTTGACATTCCACCCCATTCACGCCAATCTCCTCTCCACTGGCGGCATGGACGGATCCCTCCACCACTATCTGCTGGACACGCCCAATCCTCCAGCTGGTCAACCTTTGACAGTTGCCCCTTACGACAGTCTCGATCCAGAATCGACCCCGGCTCAGTCAGTTTGGCCTACGCACAAGGTCCCTTTCGCACATGACTACGCCATCTGGTCGCTGGACTGGCACCCCCTGGGCCATATCTTGGCATCTGGCTCCAACGACCGCATCACCCGCTTCTGGGGCCGTGCCCGGCCTGGCGAGACCGAGATATTCCAAGACCGGTACCACATTGGCGAGGCAGCTGCCGAAGCACAAGGCACGTGGGATCGTCGTGGCAACCGCCGCCAACGCCAGGAAGAAGAGCAGCGCGAGTTGGAGGACGAGATGGACGCTCTTGTGGACCAGGATGCCCAGAAGCCGGCTGTTCCAGGCTTGACTGGTGGTATTCCTGGTCTACCTTTAGGTGGCGGTGCTGTTCCTGGCCTCGGTTCGAGCATTCCGCCGCCACCCATTGTACCCGGGGTCGGTGTTGGATCAGGAGCTCCTCCGCCTCCGCCTCCACCACCGCCCTTTGGCATTCCTGGCTTCAACGGGGCACCACCTCCTCCGCTGCCTGGCTTGGACCCTCACAACCCTCCCGACCCGGCGAAGCTCCTCGAGTTGATGCAGCAGGCCGGCGTGCCAATACCGCCCCCGGGCTCTCTTCCTCCCGGCCTGATCCCACCACCAGGGGGCATTCCTCCGCCGCCAGGCAACTTCCAGCTTCCCATCCCTCCCCCACTGATGAACCCTGCCGACATGGAGGCAAACCGCCGACGCGCCCCTCTCCCAAGCCAGGAGGAGAGTCTCCGCCAGGAGCAGCGGCATGGAAAATATACTCGTGCCCGATAGGGTGCGTTTCCCAGTCCGGATTCTTGGAGTATTGAGAATATCGATTAGTCGATACCCCCCTGTTACGGCGTTTGGTGGCATAAGGATGTATGGATGGGTTTGTAACTGTAAAGTGGTGTTTGTTGCGGCCTTGTTTATCGTTTCAATGGACTGGAAGAGAAGGTCATTTTATGCATACACTGAAAGGCAGCCTGATCATTAGCATATCGTCGAGGTGGCATTATAGCGACTGGCGAAGGGAGACCTGAATCTCGTTTCTATCTATTTGATTGGGGCTATCTAGAGCGTATGTAGAAGTATATATATATGGAAGGCATGCGATACGGTATTGTGTCCGGGTTCTCGCTGCTTGTTCCTCTCTGTAGGGAAACATAGTGTTGATGAAAAGTATGAGGGAGTCGCGTAAAAGTTCAAGTTGCCGCTCTCTATAGCGTTGCAGATGCTGGTGAAGAAGCAAGGTGTCTGATCTATAGTAGCATGTGTGACAAAAGAGAAGAACCGTTGGTGTGGTGTGTGTGTGTGGAACAGTCGTAATATAAACGTTGCGTCGTCAATCCCTCGCCACTTTCCCTCAAGATAGTAATGACCAAGCCCCCCTCCTCTTCCGTCAAAACAGCCCCTCATGAAGACGCCGACCGAGCCTTGGCAAACGCCTTCTGCCTCTCGCTATAATCCTTAATGACCAAGGCGCACGTCGTGTCAGCGCAGAGCCTCCTCCTCCGCTGCATGGGCAGCTGGTTGGCAAACTCAAGCCCGCTGGCGCGCTCAACGGCCTCGACGGGCACCTCAAAGTCGGTAATGGGCTTGGCGTTGTCGATGGGGGCGTTGGGCAGCACAAAGGCGCCGATGGCGACGTTGCCGCCGACGCGGCCGTCCTCGGCGAAGATGACCTTGTAGAAGTGCGTGGGCACGGCGACGGACGGCGGCGTGCCGATCATCTCGTACTTGACGTACCACTTGTTGTCGACGGGGTCCTTCTTGGGCAGGTACAGCGGCCCGGTGACGATGCGGACCGACGGGTAGCGCAGCGTCAGGCGGCGGCAAAAGTCCTCAAAGTGCGCCCAGTAGTCGCGGTTGAAGCCCTCGCCGACCTGGGGGCTCATGTTGGTCAGGTAAAAGGTCTCGTCCATGGCGGCCTGCGACCACTTGGCGTCGGCGGCGGGCACCTGGTGGCCGCGGTCGTAGCCGCTGCGGTAGTAGTCCTTGAGCAGGGCGCGGAACTTGGCCGGCACGGCCGTGTCCTCGAGGAACTGGCTGTTCTTGCGGTCGCCGTCGCGCTTCGCCAGGGACTCGGGCGTGATGTGCTCGGCGACCCAGTGCGGGTTGCGCGTGCGCCGGTCGTAGCTCGAGATGAGCGCCGCGCGGGTCGCGATGTCGGAGACGGGGCCCGGGAAGCCGTACTCGAAGAGGCCGGCCGGGTTGACGGGCGCCGTCGTCGTCGATGCCGACGGCGAGGGAGCGGCGCCGGGGCTACCACCAAAGACTTGGCTGGCGGGGATCGTGGCGACGGCGGTCGGCGAGGCGGCCATGGCCGTCGAGGACAAGGAGGGAGCGGGCGTGGGCGGCATGTCTGCGAGCTTGTCTTTGCTAGGGCGGAGAGAGTAGAGAGCGGCGGTGAGAGCGGCGCCTCCTCCTGCGCTGAGGGCCGCGATGGCAACCGACGTCTTGATCATGGCGGAGCCTTATATAATATATATGGGCATATATATGCTAGGTATAGTAGATAGTAAGTCGAGAGAAAATGTAGAATCGCTTCGAAGAAGAGAAAGTCAGGCGAAACGTTAGAGGCCAGCACGAGGCAAGCAAGGCGAGGCCCAATATGCTCACGGGATCCGGTCGACAGAGGGCTTGATCATAGCATGTGCACATGCAACCTCTCTGTCTCTCAACAGAATCAAAGAACGCTGACGTCGCACCCGGCTGAAGGTGCACGAGACCCCTGGCAAGGCTGAAGAAAGAAAATGAGAAAAAAAAAAGTTGGTTCCGGGTTTATCGATTAGCGGACTTTTGTTCCCATCCAGCGGCAGCGGAGCCTTGCGAAACACAGGCTTCAGGGGTTAGCGGCTCCTCCCTTTCGGCTCCTTGTGGCTCCCTGGAAACATCAAACTCGAAGCTTGCCAGGGGCTGGTTTTACGCCTGATTTGATGGGCGCATTGATTGACCGGACCAGGTACCCAGTACAAGGGCATCGCAAGTGCGAGAGCAGGATGAGGCATCAGCCAGGGGGGGATGGAGCGTCTCTGCGTGTCTGCCGAGCAGGTAGCCAGTACCTTGGCTCTGCTCTTGTTTTCCTTCTTTTCCTCCACGTCTCTCCGGCTCTCTGCTTCCTCCATCCCATCTCCTTCAACGTCTCTCTTGCTCGTCTTTCCATGATCCCGGAGCCCGTCTCCCGCCGCTGTCTGCTTCACGCCCCCCGAGATCCGCCCTCGAGACTCTCAGCTCAGCTCAGCCTCCGCCAATCCACCGCCAGCAGAGCAAGTGGACGCCAGTCTTACTGGTCCCCGCGTGACTGGACTGACCCTTCTAGCCTGGGCTCGCTGATCCAGCTGCCCGGTGCAGCAGCCTAGTAGTTAGCCGTGCAGTGCGCTGCGACGCTACAGCACAGGCACCAGACCGGTTCCAGCACGACGCTACAGCGCCCGTGGCACGCTGGCCGTTAGGGGACCGCGACGCCTGTGAGCCCCCCTATAGCGACTGTGCTCGACTGATAGCGATAACGACGACGCCGACGACGACGACGGACGATTTGACGACAGACGACGACACTCGCCTGCGGCCAGTCTGCCCGGATCATGCAGCCCCCCTATGCCGGCAGCCTCCCCAACGGCTTCTCGTCCGCGCCCAACTACTCGGCCACCAAGCACAAGGCCATTGAGGATGCCCGCGCCGCCCAGGCCGTCGTGGTGCGCGAGTGCGCCGAGGCCGGCCGCGAGGTGCCGCCGTACAAGCTGCTCGAGCTCATCGGCAAGGGCAGCTTCGGGCGTGTGTACAAGGCCGTGGGCACCAAGACGAGCCAGCTGGTGGCCGTCAAGGTCATCAGCATCGAGGAGGGCGACGGCATCCAGCCGGGGGCTGCCGACACGCTGGGCGACATCCTCAAGGAGGTCAACACGCTCAAGCTGCTGAGCAACAGCGGCGCGCGCAACGTCAACGCCGTCGTCGACACCCATCTGGTTGGCCAGGCCGTGTGGGTGGTGACCGAGTACTGCGCCGGCGGCAGCGTCGCGTCGCTGATGCGTCCCACGAGCGGCCTGGCCGAGCGCTGGATCATCCCGATCCTGCGCGAGGTCGCCGAGGCCCTGTTCTGGGTGCACAAGCAGGGCATCATCCACCGCGACATCAAGTGCGCCAACGTGCTCGTCACCGAGGCCGGCGGCGTCCAGCTGTGCGACTTTGGCGTCGCCGGCATCATGGAGACCAAGTTCGACAAGCGCAGCACCATCACCGGCACCCTGCACTGGATGGCCCCCGAGCTCTTCGACCCCCACGTCGCCTACGGCATCGAGGTCGACATCTGGGCCTTTGGGTCCATGGCCTACGAGATCGCCAACGGCCTGCCGCCAAACGCCACCGCCCGCATCAACATCCAGCAGTTTGGCGCCTACCTCAAGCAGCATCGCCCGCGGCTCCAGGGCGACCGCTTCTCCGACAACCTCAAGAACCTCATCGCCTTCTGCCTGGTCGAGGACCCCAAGCGGCGACCGCCCATTGAGGACGTCCAGCGACACCCGTACATCTTCAACACGCACGACCGGTACCCCACCGTGTCTCTTGCTAGGTTGGTGGCCGATTACAAGCACTGGGAGTCGCAGGGGGGGAGCAGGCAGTCTCTCTTCTCGGCCGGTGGTGCCCAGGGACCGCGCAGAGATCGATCGCCTGTCCGCCAGAGCGGCTGGGACTTTGGCAACTTCGATGAGGTGGACGAGCTCATGTTCCAGAACACAGCCAAGCCACGCCCTGCCCCCGAGTACTACCCCAGCGTTGCCTCCAGCCCCGAAAACACGGCGCGGCCCATGCAGCGTCGACGCAGGCGTCCACCCCCGACCATGAAGGAACTCAAGGCGCCTCTGGAAAAGGTCTTTGATCCGTACACCATCACCAACTACGGCGACGCCTCGCGGGCCTGGTATGGCAGGATACCGATGCCGCCGCCGACGTCGGCTCCGGCGCCGTCGCAGAAGAAGCCCGAGCCGAAGCCGATGGCGAAAACAGAGTCGCCAGCACCTGCTCGAGAGTCGTTGATCGATCTCGACCTTGCGTTCGATAGCGACACCGGTCCCAGGATGGCGTCCAGCCTCGATGAGGAGACGATCAAGCCAGCCACGCGGCCCATCTCGATCGACCTCAGCGGATCTGTCGACGAGCGCCGCAAGACCCAGGATTGGGATTTCCCAACCAAACGGAAAACGCAGGAATGGTCCTTTTCAACCGCAGACAAGCGGGACACAAAGGAGTGGACGTTTCCTTCCAACAAACGTGAGACTCAGGACTGGAAATTCCCAACCACGGAGAAACGGAATACGCAGAAATGGAGCTTTTCTACTGTGGAAAAACGAAGCACGCAGGAGTGGTCGTTTCCCACGGCCAAACGCGATACCCAAGAGTGGACTTTTCCTGCCATGACGCCCGTCACGGCTGCGTTTGCCCCCCTTTCAGATACCTACAATAGCGACAACGAGGATTTCTCGGGTGATACGCACCTGCGGCCGCCGCACTCATACGACGACACAGGCGCCCCGACGAATCGCGACTCCGCCATGAGTCTCATTGACCTCGATGCTTCCTTGGCGGATGACGGGGGCTATAGCGCGCCTAGTTCATTCGCTCCAAGCTCGCACATACGGTCATCTGATTCGGTCCACGGATCCTTGTCGTTTGACCTGGAGCTCGACGCCGACGCGGACATGAACACGAGAGAGCCGTCCTTGTACATTGACGACGACATGGAGTCCGTCCCCTCCCTGACGCGGCAGCTGAGCGACCTGCAGAGCACGCCCACCACGCCCGACGAAAGGCCAAACAATCAATGGGGGGAGCCGTCCGGCCTGGGCATCATGACGAGCGCCCGCAACTCCTCCATCATGACGTCCCTGCCGCCGCTCCCGAACGCCCCCTCGCCGAATGTCCTACAGGGCCTAGGCACCCAGGAGGACTTGAAGAACGAGCTGCACCTCATGATATCGAGCATGAGGGAGCATCTCCAATATGCAAACGACTGGCTGAAAACATTTGATACCCCGTCACACGAAGATGACGAACAACACCAACACGGAGAGCACATCGGCGAAGGGGAGGAGCTGCGGGAGCAGGAGCAGGAAACAGCATAAAGCAAGCGTTGTAGCATTTCATTGCCATTTGCAGTTCGTTTTCCTTTTGGATAATCTGTTCGGTTTTCTCTTGTCTGTTTACACTAAGCTGCCTGTAATCGCAAACAACTACATTTCGCACCAATATACCCCCTTCTCTTACGCGCTGGTTGGATTTTAAAAACGAGAAAGAGAAAGAAAGGAAAGGAAAAAAAAAATAAGGAAGACAAAGGAGGGGAAAAGACAAGGAGGAGGAAAATCTTAGATGCCCGAGTTTGGTAGTATTCTATGTGTGTGCTCTGTTTCTTTTCATCGTCAACGAACAGAATTATTTTATGATATATGAACTTAAAAAAGGGGGAGGGTTATATCTGTACTTTTAATAATTCCAGTGGTACTGCGGAGTTGCTTTCGTTCTGTTGGGAGGTTTGATTTCTTCGTCTTCTTCTTCTTCTTTATTATTATTATCAATATTATTAGCCTTTTACCTGGGTTGGGAACCTTTTGTCGTCTTTTAGATTAGTGAGTTGTCCTTGGCCAAAATGTTTTGGTAGAGAAACTGGTGGAATGCTTTGCAGTTTCTTGTTATATTCGTACAGATGTTGGAATAGGAGACGGTTGACAGCTCTCTGGTTCTGAAGTGGGATCATTGATTTTCTCCTGACCTCTAGCCTGTACAGTTGACATTCTCTGGTCTATAGGTAGGTACTTGGACCCTGTATCTATACAGTTTCGCTTCTGTAAGTGGCTTTCGGAGCCTGCAATATCAACAAGCTTGCGGTTATTATCACCGGATGAGCATGTGCATAGTATATGCTTTTTACCCTTGACAATAAGTGCAAAGCCTCCATATCCATCTTGACAAACCATGAATTGCACCATGATAAGGACCAATATGACCATATAAGCAACAGACATGAATTTGAAAACCAAAAGTTTCGCCTAAAAGAGAATGCTGAGTCTCATCAAGAACTCACGGCCCAACGCCTCCTCCCTCTCCAGTCCTCCCATCACATCTCCCCCTCGCCATTACCTCAACTCGTCAGACGACCTGAGATCCTCCCCCCTCATATCTGACATGCATCACTTTCCCTTCTCTTCCTTTAAACGTAGTTGGACAGCCACCTGATACCGTCGCCGTAGCCCTGTCGCATCACCACGGAGCACATGAAGAGCTCAATAGGTCGGATGCCCTCGAGCTGCACCCTGCCCTTTCCAGTCGTCTGGTACAGGCCCAGCTGATGCCTCAGCTCGTCCTCGGAAACGGCGTCGGGGTGGTCGATCTTGTTGCCCAGGATGACGAAGGGAACCTTGGAGAGCTCCTCCATGGACAGGAGGGCGTCGAGCTCGGCCTTGGCCTCGGGGAATCGCTCGTGGTCCTTGGCGTCGACGAGGAAGACAACGCCGTTCACGTCGGGGAAGTAGTCTCTCCAGATGCGGCGGGCTGGCGTTGGAAGATGGGTAAGTATGCTGCGACATGTGGAGGATTGAAGATGCCGAGAGAAAGCAGACAATCACTAGAAGAGCAGATGGAAAGAGAACCATACCTTGCTGGTGACCGCCCAAGTCGAAAGTGTTGAATCGAACATTACCAATGGCAAGCTCCTCAGAAGCTACAAACAAAGGTCAGAACCCTTCCAAACCCCATACATCCAAACCCCCGCGGTGGCAGCGGCAGTGGCAAAACTTACTAGGGTGGAGAGTCGGCTGCAGAATAGCAACTCGGTCGTTCTATAACAGTAAAGTAACCCATCGCGTTAGAAACACTGCACACGCTTCAAGTTCCATAGCAACAATCAAATCGCGTTGCGCAAAGCAGCCCGCACATCCCGTCGCAGCAGGAAAGCATGTTTTGTTCGTTGGCATATTCGGCCGGGGTCGGTATCGGCGACATACCTTGAGCATGTGAAGCAACGTGGTCTTTCCGGCGTTGTCGAGACCCAGGAAGAGCAGCTTGGCGTGTTTGTTGAGCAGACCCAACGACGACAAGACGTCGTAGACTATTCACACCACAAGGAACGACATTGTCAGCAACTGCACCATCAAGTTCGAGGTCCAAGCAAGAGGATCGGGATGTCGCATGAGGTAGCCGCAGAGTGCAGACGGAAGCCGTTGCATCCCCCCCGGACCCAATGGCGCCGACGGAAGGGAATCAAGGCGGGCAATACATACACCAGTTAACGATCCACATGACGGGCGATTGGGATTGCTCGAAAGAAAAGGATGAACAAGGATGCGAAACTTGTTTCCCGTGTGTCGTTATCTGTCAAGAATGCGCAAGGAAAACAGGGAACGATGCCGGAGAGAAGAAAGAGAGAGAGGGTTTGTGTGATGATGTCGATTGCAAGACTAAGGTGGGATCGGAAAGGACAATCATGTGTTTTACCGCCTTGGCTCTGGCGCAGCATGGAAGGCAAGGGAACGGAGCCGGGGGGACAGAGGGCACGTGACGTGCCTTGCTGCTCAGGCACCAAAGCGCGCAGACCTGCTTGGAATCAGTGACGATTGTGTGTTACAGTACAGTGATTGAATGACCTCTGCTTGCGAAAGTGAGAGAATAATGCGAGAATCCCGCTTCTATGACGTCTCTGACAAACGCTGCATTGAGCCACGGAGAAAAAGGGCATGGAGAATAGCTATCTGTGTATGGCAAGCAGGATATCGTGCTTCCATTTTGGGCTGCTTCATCATTGGCTGCGCTCTGGATTACGTGGCTCAACTCTCCCTCCCACTCACTCACTGTCATGATAGGACACCCCAAAGTACCACTTCACGAATAGATCCATGTCAACAGACACGCCTTCGAAATCAGTAGTATTACTATCTAGTAATAAAGTAGACGGCATCTGGTGCCTGCCTCCAACGCCAGCTGAGTCCCGCATCCCAATGCGTCTCATGGTGTATCCAAAAAGCAATCAAAAAGCCTTCCCGCCTTCTGTGCCCAAAGATGTACTGTTTCCAAGTATGCTTGCTTTCCGCTGCGAACAGCAAAAACCCAAGACGTATGGTATGAAAATGTCGTTATGTACAGGAGCGGCCTCTACAAAGGGCCAGACTCCGGGTCATGTAATTATATACTGTAGAAAAAAGTCGTGAAAATCGTGAAAAGGAAAGACAGAAAAGAAAGAGACACAAAAGGAAGAGCATCGGACACCGGTCTAATAGGACTCGCCCATAAGCGGCTGCGCCATGGAATGTGAACGCCGCCCATCAAATGGTGGGACTGTGGAACCCTGGCCTATGTATCGAAGGCTCGCTCAACTCCTCCTGATGCGTGTCAAGGGGTAAGATAAAGGTAGTAGTAGAAGCCATCAGAAACTTTTGTAATCTCTCCTTTAACACGAGAGCACGTAGTTGCCCGGGTCCTTCTTGCCGGCCATGAGCAACCCAAGCTCTCGCATGCGCTCAGCGCCAAGGCCAGGGAGCGGCTTGCGCTCGGGGATCTGCCCGCGTCGGGCACGATCGCAGTACTTCTGGAAGAACTTCTCCTTGCGGCGGAGACGCTTCTTCTCGAGGCCCTTGACGATGTCGATGGCGGTGCGGATGTGCGCATCATTATCAGAAGAGGTCTTTGAGCCCTTGGGCTTTTGATGGCGGAACAGGGCCGCGGGCCGAGGAAGGGACTTGGTATGGGTAAGGCCAGGGCGGCCAGCCAGCTGGAACTTGGCGTGCGCACCCTGTCGCGGAGTCTGGATGGGAGTCGCCATGGCCATTGCCTTGGGCGCAGGGGAGCGAGCTCGCCGAGGCGACTGGCGGTCAAAAAGCGGCTTAGGAGAGCGCGCGCGAGGCTTGGGGGCGGGAGAGCCGCGTCGCTTGGGAGGCGGAGAACGGAGCCGTCGGGGAGAAGTGTTCTCGTTCTTACGCCTCCTACGAGCGCGGTCTGTCTCGTCACCAAGATCCTCCATGGCGCCCTGGACCCAGGCGTGCTCGTCGCTGTCAGGAGCAGCCGCGTAGACATCGTCGTCATCCTCTTCCTCAAGGTCCGAAGCCGGGAAGCTGGGGTCAATGTCTTGGGGGATGATGCGGAGCTTCTCGAGTCTGCGGGCGGCGAGGCACGAGAGATAGGCATCCTCAACGGGGCGATCCTCGTCCAGCGTGCCGCAGACGAAGTCGGTGCTGTCGGGCAGATCTGGCGCCTCGACTTGAGGTCCAATGGGACGAGCCTTGGAGCGGCGACGGCTGCGTCGAGTACCGATGGAGGAGTCCGAGTGCTGCTCGGTCATGGAGAGACGGCGAGCCAGGCTGGGAATGGCCTGCTGGAGGGCAGAGGGGGTACGACCAGGCGTCCACAGAATCATGTTCTCATCCCCGTCATCTTCCTCATCGGAATCGGCGAAGCCGGTCTCTTCATCAGTGTGGTAGCCGTCAGAGTTGTCGTCCAGCTCGTCTTCATCCTCATCCTCATCTTCGTTGTCCATGACATCAAGCTCGTCATCCTCGTCTTCGTCGTCTTCCTCTTCATCCTCATCATCGCCCAGGGCAATCTCAGCCTCGAGTTCTTCCTCTTCTTCTTCGGCCTCTTCCTCTTCTTCGACTTCAGCTCCCAGACGGCGGAACAGATTCTCCTTGACCAGAGTATCGGAGATGGTAAGCTTAGCCTGGGTGGAGTTCTCTTGGCGGATCCAGTCATCCTCGCGAGCCATACCACTGGCAAACTCGTGGAACTGAGAGGCATCCTTGATGAGCTCCGTGGATGAAGCACGAAGGAATCGAGGTCGAGCGAGCGAGGCCTTGCCGGTCTCGGGCTGGGCGGCAGAGGGTCGAGGAGATGTGGGAAGAGGATGGGTCATGCTCCGCTTGGGAGTGGAGGGCTCATAGGGCTTGGAGGCAGCCTTTTGCGCAGTGGAAGGACGAGCCGGGCAGGCGAACTTGATGCATCGCTTGGGAACCTCCTCGGTCAGAGGGGTCTTGACCTTGGGGGGCGAAGCAACCGAGGGAGCGGCTTGCGTGGCGGCCTGAGGCTTGGCAGCACAGGCAAACTGGATGCATCGCTTGCGAGGGGCCTCCTTGGCAGGCTCCTCCACTCGCTTGGCGCCGAAGAAGGAGGCGATGAGGCCGGGCTTCTGATCATTCGCGCCATGGTGAAGACGGTGCGTTGACAGATCCGGGAGAGGAGGGCTGGGGGTATTGGTTCGCGAAGGGCTGGTCATACCAGTATCACTGGTGAGATCAGCGGTAGAAGCAATACTCGCATTGCTTACGATGGAGCGGCGGCGCTGGCTGGCGGTCTTGGTGGGGTGGTAAACATGGCCGTCCTCCTCGTCGGACTGTCCCAGGATGGCCTGGGTCAAGAGCGAGGACGAGACCTGCTTGGGGCGAATCGGCGATCTCTGGAAAGGCAGAGGCTTGGGCGTCGGCATATACAGCCTGAGTTCTGGGGGTTCGTCAAGGTCCTCGACGAGATCTGACTCTTGGGTCGCCCACTCGGGAGCTTGTGAGGTTGAAGGAAGAGTCGCCATGGTCGGTGGTGTCGATGGAGTATATGTGAGTGGTGGTGGCGGTGGTGAGTGAATTTTTGAGCAAGGAGGTCGGCTTGCTCTCAGGATCGTCAAGGATAGTCCAGCAATAACGACAAGAAAATGCTGTTGAGTGTCCCGGTTCTGCTATCACAGCAAGACGAACGAGACGGCTGGACGGGTCGTCAAGGATGGTTTCTTCGAGAGGGGCAGGAGGATTTGTGTCGTAGCAGGGCAGAGCTTGTAAGCCGACACAAGGCTTGCAGCCGGATCGAGAACGAGTTCTCGTAAACAAAGAAGTGTGTCCCTGAGGACGGCGATGCTATAACATCAAAGCCAACATGATCAATACACAAGGAGTGAATTCAAGGTAGTGTATGTGAAGAAAATCAGGAAGCCGTTGTTGGGGCCTGCGCGTATGGTATAAGTGCGACTCTGAGGCGGGCGGAAGGCCAGTCCACTTTAAGCAGCGCAAAGTGTGGTGATCCGGGGGGCCAGACTGCCAGGCCGAATCAGCGCTGCGAGAGGGCCGCCAGAAAAAAGGGTCCTGCAGTCGGCGGGTGTGCGGCTATAGCAGCAGAGGAGCCCTTCTTGGCAGATTCCGGATGACGTCCGTCCAGATGTGGCGTGGGCGGACCTGACACGACAGAAGCCGGGAGGTCGGTAGGGGTGTGACGAGGCGTGGGCGTAGAGGGCCGATGCAGGGATCTGCGATGCTCGATGGGCTGGGCGATGGATTTGGACAAGACGTCGATGTCTCAGACAGGGTTCGTGGTGACGCTGCGCATGTGCTGGTTGTCGATGGTTTTCTGCAAAGGAAGCATTAAGAAGAATTCGTCTGCCTGGACGAGGCCCGAGAGACAGCGAGAAGAGGGCGAGCAGAGGCCGCGGAGGACGGAAGAAATTTGCGAGAAAAGTCCAGACGCCGCCACAACACACACAGTACAGCAATGGAAGGCAGCGAAGAAGCAGGACGATTCTCGCACCCAGCGAAATGGGTGAGGGATAATACTCGTACCCAGACTGATCTGCCGCCACTGCAGGCTAGCACAAAAGCATCCATGTCCACGGTTCCTTGTGCCTCGCTCTTCATACGGAGTACAAGCGCACAGAAACGGGGTGACTGGGGAATTGGGGGGAATTTCGGGCTAGGAGGAGATGGATGGAGATGGAGGACTTGGCCCTCCTTGCCCTCACCCTCACCAACTCTTTTTGTCCGTCGAAGCACTTTCCCGTAGGGCCCAGAATAAATGGAAGCCCATACAGTGCGAGCGCCCGCCCAGGCAACCAGTGGGCTCTGTCTCGTGCCGCTGCTGGAGTCGCAGTGAGCCTGGATGGGGGGCACAGTGTGCGGGCGCCGCAGCTGCAACGGGCAACGGTCACACTGGGATGCACACAAGTCACAAGCACAGCGCAGCATCAGCAGAAAAGCAGCAGCACCTGAGCACACCAGTTCACGAGCACAAAAGCAGAGAAACGACACAGAAGGGGAAGAAAGTTGTGTGGGGGGTTAAAGAAGGGGGCGTGAGTGTGTGGCTGTTAGGGGGGAGTGTTTCGCAGCTTGGAGCAGCAAAAGAGTTCTGGTGCTGGTAGTATCATCAACGTGCTTTCGAGGCAAGCAGAGCACAGCAGGCAGAACAGAGCCCGCGAGTGCCAGTGGAATCGACTCCAGTGAGTGGTTTTTCTCTTGGCGCGCCTGGGCCAATTTCGGCCGCTGCGGCCACTGTCTCTCCTCAATTTTTCTCTTCCCGTGCTTCTTCCCTTTCCCTCCTCGGCAATGGTCTGGCCGCTTGCCCTCCATTGGCCTGCCGGTGGCTGAGCGCCGTCTGCAGTTCGCTGGCCGCAGGGCTTTCGCTCTCCTTGACAAAAATCCCATCAAATCGCTCGCCGGCGAATGGCCAGCGCCGCCTTACTACTACTCGTACTAGCACCAGAAGTGGCCGTGCTGTACTGGATTGTACTGTAGCGGACTGGCGACACCCCTTGCGGCGCCGAGCCATCCCACTGTACCGTCCACAGTGTCAGCAGTGGCCTCCACCGCGATGTTTGCAGCAGACCAACACCGTGCGGGTCGCGCTCGACGGACGGCCGAAATTTCTCAAGCCCGCCGCGCTCGACGCTGAAAATTTCGAAAAAGGGAAACACAAAAATCCGATGTGGGCGAATGGAAGGCACAGCGACAAAAAGAATCGCCCCAGCGGCTAAGCCCAGAAGAAGCCGACGGGACGTCCTGAGGCCACAATGCAGAGGCGCGCCCCCTCCCGTTGTCGTCATGGCGCGGCCGAAAGGGCCAAAAGGGCTCAAGCTGGATTTCTGGATTTTTCGCATATTTTACTGATTTTGTTTGTGGTGGTTACTGGCAAAGGCATGGCGCATCACAGCTGGAACAGGGCAACCGATGGTGGAGGGTGAGAAAAAGTGAGCTGATGATTGCCCATGCACCTGAAATCCCATCCAGACTCATGTCGACCAACGTCCATCCCACCCATCCATACCATCCACGACGCAGAAACGGGGGACTGTCCTTGAATCAATCAATGCATCAAGCAAGGCTCAGATGACAGGCACGCATGGAGACGGGAGAACGGAGAGGCCATCATCACTGCTACCTCCTGCTGCAAAATGACCGCTCAATGATTCATAGCCGGGCCCTCTTCACGGACAAGACAGAACACGCAAACAAGAAACGGCATCTCTCATTCTCCATCTGCCGCTTGGCTTTCCCCGCTCGCATCTGCATCAACACAAGCACAGCAATGAGAGGCGTCGATGTCCCTTGTCAGGGGTGCCGCACAACAGCTTGCTGCACGAGAGCAAAAGGAGCAGGCAGCTTTTCCCATTTCTCCCATGGGAGATCTCAGCTTTCGCAGCACCTCCAGCACTAGCACCATGTGAATCGATGTTGCAATCACGCTACAGGCTCCTTCGAGCCCATCATCTCTCATTTGCTCCGTAGCAGCGGCATCCCCCTCAAAAATGCACCGGCGCTACCTGGTTTGATGGGCAGCTCCCCCCCCGTTATAGTATTCGAACATGCAGCAGCTCGTTGCTGTGCCGTGCTGTGCTGTTGTGGTATTATTATTTGCTCGGGGAGGTATCCGTATTAGCCTTGCAAATTTCCGTCGCCTTGCCTCGTCTCTCAATCGAGGGCTGGACCGCCCAAATGTTTCACAGATTGTCGCTTAACTGCCCTGCCGCCCATGCGCTGCGGCGCTCCTGTTAAGCATACTACATCCAAACTACAAGACATGTTTCTCTGCTGCCTGCGTAGAAGATGTCCCAGACAAGACGGATACGAGGATACCCACGGAACCCGGTCTACCGTACAGTGTTCAGAACCACTTCTGCTGCTGCAGCTTGCAGTAGGTAGTACGGAGCACGGAGTGCTCCGTACGCATCAGCACGGGTACCTGAGGCCATCGCCCGTGTCTACGGAGTCGTCCTCGCTCAACTTCTCGTGACATTCGAATGGACGAGTACATGTACGTTGCAAGTAAGGGATGAATCTCGCCAAATACCGACGAACATAGCCCTCTGCCGCCAGCCAAAAGAATGGCCCCAGCCGCCAAGTCCCAATTGCCTTGCCGCCGAACTGAGATCCCCTTCTTGGCAAATCTCCAATGTCCAATTACATGTTGTGACACGAAAAACCAATGGTTTCATGCAATAGCAACGATCATGGTCAGAAAAAGAGTCACAATACGCTGACGGCTGGAATCTTGGTGACAAGCCTCAATCTGCAGTCATGTGAGGCTCAGCAGTGCGAGTCACTCGGCGCCAAGCAACGAATGGCATCGGACGCATTGCTCACAGTCTCGTTTCTGCTCATCAGCACTCAAGCACTCCGTACCTACTTTGTACAGTAAGGTAAGATTCTGTTTTCATGCAGCAGACAGAGAAGGCAAGCTCATTAGCCGCATCATGATGACGGGAGGCGAGAGCGAGACGACCGAAGCAAAGCAAAGCCCGCTAGGCTCTCTCCCCCCAAATTCCATCTCGCCCGTCACTATTCTTAGCTGCTGGCGAGATAATATTTGCCTCATAGTAAAACGAACGAAGCGGATGGACCCTTATTACTTCGTACGTTTGTTAGCGCAACAAGCTGCCAGGGATGTTCGATTGGCGCGTTCAACTGCCCGGGGTGGGTTGAATGATGCTTGCTCGTTCTTTTCCTCTTCATGTGCCGCAGCGGCAGCCGTAACGTACAGAAGAGCAACCTGAGCTGAGCTGAGCTGTGTACCGTGCCCATGCTGTGCTGTGCGCCATCAGAAGGGAGGATCGCATCGAAGCGAGAATGAGCTGGGGGGCCGGGGTTGCTGCTCCGCTCACAAGGCACAAGGCGAAGTGTCCGACTTCACCGCCCGTGCTGCCGGTATGATATTACATACTCTGTAAGTATGTACCCAGATTACAACTTGAAGCTTACCTTTACTGTAAACAACCTACCGTACCTGTACTGTAGGTCAGCCCGTTTATTAGCTTTGTTTTCTTTTTTTCGAACGCTGATGGAAAGAAGGCAAAACGCGGGAGAAAACGAGCTTGAATCCAGCAAAAGGATGGGACGCTCATTGCCCTTTTCAGGGGAGCGTCAGCTGGCGAGGCTCACTTCCGCGTCTAAAATAAAACCACCCAAAGATTGCCAATTGGACAACTGACTTCCGTGCTACATCAGACGCCCATCAAACATAATACAACCAAGTGCAGAAAATGCCATTGTTGCCCTGCCCACGGTCATAGACGCATAGCCTCGGAGTGTTAGCTGCTGCCGGTAACTGTTGGACAAGCTCAGCTGCGTGATCAGGACGACTCCTGTCTAATTTGCACCCAATCAGTGACGGGCTGTGGCATATTGAGAAGTCGTTCATGTCCCGGCAACAAACCGTCCAATCAGACCGTGCGAAGCTTTCCCATTGAAATCATTGAATCAGGAGACTGTATTGGCTCCGTCCCCGTCTCTCCGTTGCATGTAGCTGTACTGTGCAAGTTACAAGCAGCAAAAGCGGCATGAATGAGCAGCTCGCTTCACACTCGTGAGGCGCCCATACTGTGAGGGGGGACCAGCTTCGATAAGCACACCAGAACATCCTTGCGCGCGCTATTACACGTGAATGATGGAATCGCACTGTCGCAGTACTTCCGTTCCTGAGCGGGCCGGCGTCGCCCAAAGCGCCATCCCCGAGGTCTCTCCACAGTACGGAGTTGCTTTTAGGGCTAGCTTCATCGCATCGTGCCGTAGAAGCGAAGCGCGAAAACGCCACTGCCGCGTTCGGAGAAGCTGTGGCGAGTGGTGCTTTTCATCAACTGCACGTTGCGAAAGCATGCAGCAACGCAAAAAACGCAGCTAAGGAACATGGCCAGTCCAAAACCCGCGGATATTGCAGGACTCACGACTCGTCGCGGTAATGGAACTTGTATCTACTCCATACCCAAAAGGCAGCTTCACGCCCAGCCTTTCTTTCCACGTTGTTTCCGTTTCTCACCGCAATGGCTCGGCCCTGCCGGCGTTTGTCCGGCTTCTCGTCAATCCAGCCTCAAGCTGTATGAAGAAGAACGTCGGACGTCGAGGCCGACGGCTCCGTCTCCATGGAGCCGAGGCTTGTCGACGGCAGGCATCGCATCGCCCCTTTACACGCATCTACTTCGCTCTGTGCCTCTCCCACACCCCCGGAAACCCCGCTTACACAAGGCAAACATGTACATATGTATGTAAGGGGGAAAGGGCGTTAGGTAGTACCACAAGCTGGGTTTAGTGCTGTAATAAGCCGACGTGCATGAGGCCCTACAATGCTTTCGGTACTAATATCGCATGCACGCAAACTGCTCCCTACCCCATACGAGTAACATTCAAGTAAAGGGGAGGCGGACGCCTGTAACTCGCCAGCTGGGCTTGTCATCGCGGTGGCGCGCTGGCCGTTTACTTGGCGATGATGAGCAAGTGTGCCTATCAAGGGCGAATTGCGTGTCTGCCATCATTGCCAACATCTCACAAAAGCACAAAGCTCGAACCTCGCACAACGGCGAGCAAAATTGCGCCATCTGTCAAACAATGGCAGCGACTTCGAGGCGATTCTCGTGCTGTCTCTGACACCCAACGGGCAAACAGGAAGCAGGAAATGGGCGAATAGGCTGCTCATGACTCTAGAAGGGTCGATCAGGTTGCTGGAATGCAACCCCCCCTTTTCCATCATCCACATCCCATGCTGCAGCCATGTTTGGACGCATGCGACAATCCAAAGAGTAACACGGCAAATGGAACCACGTTGCCTTCGCGTATCATGTATCATGCTCCGGGGGGCCATTCCGAGCATGCCAAACCCTCGTCAAACTCTCGGCTGCATGCAGAACAACACTCTCAGCCAGAGAGTTGCTGCAAATTAGGCGTTGCCTCGTTGCCTCGTTGCCTCGCGCTCTGCAAGTTGAACTGACATGCGCAAAGTGCGTGCCAATACGGAAACGCAGGGGATGACACCCCCCAAGGGCGCAGGCCAATGCGTACTTTGGTACCTTGCGATCCCACTCGGCGTCTCCAGAAGAAACATGTCGACATGACGAAGAAGGGGAATAAACAGGACATGAATAGGCCAAGCTACCGTCGGAGCCGGAGCATGCAGCTGATCCCCCTTCCGAGAGCTGCGATCTGCCGCCACATCCGCCCTTTTGCACCTTCAGATCGGCAGGAGGCCTTGGCAACCTGGATAGAAGAAGGCGTTCCATATGGTCCAAAAGTGGACAGGTTCGTCATACAGTATGGAGGGGACGAACGGCGCAGCCATTACCGAAATCGCATGTGTATGAGGATCATGGCACACACACACACGGCTGGGCTGGTTCCCAGTTCCCCAGTGACGAGCAGCAACGTATGTAAGCCCAACTGTCGCCACACGAAAACGAAAGATGCCGAAGTCGAGAAGAAGCCAGAAGCCGTGGCAGGCGGGGTGGGAAAAAGAAGCTTTCCCATTCATCCATGCCCTATCGTCATCGGCGGCCGTTCGGGGTCAGCAGCCCAGCCCAGTGGGAAGATGATGGCCCAGCCAGCCAGCGTTGAAACCAGCCCAGCTCTACGCCAGAATAGGCGTCGAGCCCGACACGGCCAGAAGCTCCATGATATTACCACGTCGCTTTGCGCGGTTCGCGCTCCCCCCATCTGCAACAAACGCTTTGTCAGCGTCACTCGCCAGAAAAGCGACGAGTCGATCCAAGCACAGGACAAGGACAGGACGCTAAGGTTGGTTCGAAAATAATACCCCACGGCTCATTTGGGCTGCACAAACCCCGCATCGTCGCCGTCTCTCTGCTTTGCTGGATATTGTCATGGGCCGCGCGAATGAAAGGGGACACGGGCTAGAGGAGATGCCGCATTGCTGGGCTGCTGTGTCAGGCTACGCAGCCCGTCAACAAGCCAAAAGGTGACCCGTCGCCTGTAAACGCAGCAGGCAATGCGTTACGCTGCAGGGAATTGATGCTACACATTGTTTGGTCGTTCGGCTCGCGGTGCCCGTGCATGCTGCGCAGCTTCGCGGTGTATGACTGGCAGCAGCAGCAGCATCAGCAGCTCTCTGCCCCGTGTAACATGCCTGAAGCTATGAGGCCTTCCCAAAGCGTCGTCGTGCCTCGATCCAACAAGTCTCGCGATATATTGGCTTGCATGCACATGATACTCCGGACGCAGCGCATGTTGCGCCAGTCTGTACGTAGGGGCCCCCTTTCGAGTGCAGGCAGCCAATGGAAGAGGCTCTCAGCGATGGGGGACAATGAAGCATGAAGTCGAGCAAGGGCTCACTCACTCCTCTTGACCCCTCCCGCTGTCGCCTCAATCACGAGCCACTCACGGGCATACGGCATGGCTCGCGGGTCAACGTCGGCCAGAATGCAATGAGTAGTATCCATCTCAAACGCACGAATGCCTTTTAGCCTCAGGCCATAATATCGTCAGAAAGCCTCAACACCAAATCCCATGGGCCCTTATAAAGGCGGTGAGACTCGTCAAGGACCGCGCATGATCCAATGGCATTTTGCATGAAACCCTGAAAGGCTGCCAGAGCTGACCCTCAGTAGCCATTTTCGGCCGCGCATATCCGTATTACGGAGTACAACAAAAAACTGACCGTCCAATGCTTTGCCTTGCCTTGCCGAACTCCATTCGGTGCTCTTCCGTCCAAAATGATGGCGGAGCTGTGCCTCCGTAATTATTATTGCCCGTGGTCCAAGAATTACACGGTGGGCGGCTTTGTCGCAGGTAATCCTGGGAACAATGGTTGCTCCGTGACCGTGGGACAAGCAACTTCAGCCCTTGAACGGAAGGTTCCTCCTTGAAAGGGGGATTTGCTTGTTGGATGGAGGCTTTGATGCAGGTTTGATACGGTCAATTTGCTCCGTACGCCGTACTGACGCCTACAACCTGGCCGTTTTGTCTGTGGTCGTCCTGCTCAGTGTGCGCACAGTTTGCGCTTGTGAAGATGCAAGTTCTGATGTCTCGCTTGCTTTTTGTGCTGTCGAAAAAAGGAGAGACATCTCATGCGAGGTTATCACGTTAGGTAAGCTATCGCGAGATTGCTTCCGAGACAAAAGTAAGGTTATACTACTAGTAGTAGTACCTCTATTCGTGAAGAGACAGACATCAGGACATCTTGGTGCTGAGACACTCATTTCTCAGTCAACCTGCCAAGAATAGGAGAGACAACATCTCGCTGCATGTAAGCTTAAAATAGGGCCTCGACTGGTCGTGATTCGGAACCCAGAATCACCGTCTCACACATGTTCTATCCGGGCGTGTAAATCTGTTGAATCGCATGTTGTCAATTGCTCCCGATGATTGGCCAGCACAGCGAATCTCAACTGAGACAAGCCAAGGCAAGCCAAGGGCAGCCTAGAGATTTCACCTAGAGGAAGCCGATGAAGCTAGGACGGGGACAAAGCTTTCTCGATCGATTGCTCCAATTTGCTCCAAGCTCTGCAAAATTTGTCGACGGCCTGGAACAACAACAAGGTCGGAGGCCAGTATTAGCCGCGTCGGTCTTTTGTTGCTTCCTTGCTTCCTCTACCCACGGGGGCAGATATAGTAAATCCAAGTACACAGTGTTGGTGGTAGATAGCCTCTCCTTCTTTCTTTAGCCTCGCGGGCCAACCGCTAGCTCGGTGTGACGACCTCTTCTTTTCGCTGAAAAAATTGTTCCAAAAAATTTTCTTTTCTCCTCGCGCTTCGCTAGTAAAACCTTCGCTCCGATGGGGAAGGGGAGCTAGTCCACCGAGCGAACAGCTCGGCCTCTAGCGGGTTGAGCGGGTTCTCTGTTGGAGAAGTACGAGAGGTAAAAAAGCATCGCGGGATGAGGGAAAGAGTGTAAGGAACACGAAATTGGCGCACTGCGCGCGTCGTGGTTGGGGAATCTCTTGCTTTTCGGCGAGATTATGCTGGTTTATTTTCCTTTTCTCCTTCGTGGCCCACAATGAAGGTGAGGCTGCTGTACCCCATGGCTCGCACTCAGCTCGTCTCCATTCACACACATGAGATTCCACTCACCTGGGCGTGTGTATTCGTACAGAGATCAGTAAGGTTCTCTCGTATCAACAAAAGGGGCCAGTATTGGAGTTGATAGCGTACGGAGAGGGGTATGTCATTGTATCTGTAGCACACTTGGGTGTATCAAGGCTCTACTCTCCCTCTCCGAGACATACCCAAAGTCTAGACTTATCGTCCCTCCAATATTCGAGCAATGGCAGCTCGACGCGAAGACACCCTTCTCTTGGCACTCGTGAATCATGTAACCTCGCACGACAGCTGACATACCGCGCTGTCGCACAGGCTGTAGGCATTCATTTCTTAGTGATACCGCAGCAGAAACAGCAGAGCGATAACGGAATCGAGGGAGAGACTTTAGGCGGGAAAGGTTCAAAACTGTAAAGCCACCCGAGACGCCATACACCCCTTTCGACAGCACTGAAGCCTCGCATGAGAGCTGGGAGGGATGGACAGGATGCCTTCTCGACCGCTGCTAACTGGAAGCCACACTGCGATTCTGGCATTCTAGGCCGTTCACGCCCGTCTGTGGCACCCTGCAGACTGCACATCCCCGCGTGTTCGGGATGGCATAGCTTTGACCTGACTGGACCAGAAGATTGGTGAAAGTCAGTGTCGGATGCCCAAAGACATGAGCTGATGATTGAAGGGGCGAGGTCTGGCCGAAGGCAACGTTTCCTACCATCGTTCGACATTCGATCTATCGAGATGGTATGCTTTCCATGCCATGTCTAGCATCGGTATCCTCGGAGTTGCGTAGTTGACTTAATTGCTCGTCTTCACCTCTGGATGCTATTATGCCATCTGAGCCACCAGAGACTCGTGCACATGATGCTGTTGTAGGGAGCTGGGCATTCTCTAATGGCAGCAAGCTGGGGTATAGCCATACATCGATGCCTGGAAGCCCCCAGCTCGAAATTCTCACGCCGGCTGTCCAATAGTTGCCGTCAACATTCGTATTCGACTTCATCCTACTTCGTATGAGTATAAGGTTGTATGGGTGAATGTCAGGGCGAAGACAACAAAGTCGTGACAAGGCTTTGATGACGCAACAAACGGCGACGTCTCGTATCGATTACATTAGTATCTTTAAATGCAATTCGTATGATGCTACCCTCGGCACTGATTAGCGGGCGGAATGACAGTGATGAGCTGTCGTGGCCGAAGCAGCTTGAACTCGATGATGTGTGGATCATGACTGTGAGTGGCAGTAACGCGGCGTCTTTCCCCAAGCTTCAACGCGGCATGGGGCGTACATGTTCACAGCTGTGCGATCCATGACATCCGCGTCTTCGAGCAGCAAGATGGCAATCACGCCGATTTCGCGGTCGCTGTTGAGTCTCGTGCAAGGTTGTCATCCAAGATTTGTATTTCGTTAATCGATCTGATGCGGTATTGATAATGAGTCACGTGCTATGTCACGAGATCTCCGGCGGGCGGTTTTCCCGCTAGCCGAATTAACGACTGCAAGTCCGGCAAAGATTCGTGCCAGCGACCTCAATTGAGCTCACCACAAGCAACGACGCAACCGTTCCTCACAGTCACCATGAACTCCCTCCGTGTTGCCCGTGCGGCTCTCCGAGCTCGCCCTACAGCCATGCGAGTCGCCATCCAGCGGAGAGGATACGCTGAGGCCATTCCCGACAAGGTGAGGCTGCTCCGGATGCTGCAATGTTATAATCTCGAGGTTTATATATCGCTGACTGAAATTTCTTTATAGATCAAGCTGAGCTTGGCTCTGCCTCACCAGGTATGATTTTCCGCGCCCCGAGATACCGACTTGTACCGAACATGCGATCCGAATTCGGCTGGTGGAGGAAATGCGACGGTCGACGGACGTTCTCGGTGCTAATTGCCGCAATGCTTCGCAGTCCATCTACAAGTCCCAGGACGTCGTCCAGGTCAACATCCCCGCGGAGTCCGGTGAGATGGGTGTCCTCGCCAACCACGTCCCTTCGATTGAGCAGCTCAAGCCCGGCCTGGTCGAGGTTGTCGAGGAGAACGGCCCCGCCAAGCAGTTCTTCCGTACGTGATATAACCCCTCCGAGTGTTGCGATTCTACACTAGACGACGAGACATGGACTGATGCGCCCGTATAGTGTCTGGTGGCTTTGCTACCGTTCAGCCCAACTCCGTCCTGAGCATCAACTCCCCCGAGGCCTACCCCCTGGAGGACTTCAGCGCCGAGGCCATCCGCAACGGCATTGCCGAGGCCCAGAAGGTTGCCAACGGCAATGGAAGCGAGCAGGACATTGCTGAGGCCAAGATTGAGCTGGAGGTGCGTATAAGACTTTGGCAAGCTCGCGGACAAGCAGTCATTAACATTCTGTCCACAGATTCTCGAGACCCTCGCCTCCCTTGTCAAATAAACGAATGTAGAAATATAAACCGCTGTACAACTCTTCTACTTGTCTTAGCGCAGAGCCAAAACAATTGACTATGCTGTCGTGCTGTCATACCTTATGAAGAAACGAATAGTAGACCTTGCTATGTTCTGCGAGCCTCTGCCTTACGCTCTGCACTTACAAGAGTGCAGCAGCGATTCTCAAACTTAACGAAATGAAGTCACGCTTCTCTCTGCTTTTTTCGTCTGTTGCAGAACCCTTGCCTCTTGACCATGGTAGCTCCTGCTTTCTGGCCCTTGCACATCTTTCTTGCTTCCTCTCTGGCTCTTGAATTCACATCTATTTTTCCATCTGTTTTCTTACTTCTTGCTTCACACTTCTTCAGAATACCAGATATTGCATTCTTCCGGCTTTTACTATTGCTGCGTATTCCATCAGTATCATGGATTATTCTGAGATTTACGATCCCACGACTCCCTTCCAGGATGCCATGTCCCTGGACGGCCCTCCAGACGATATGGGCCTCGTCCAATCTGGCTACGTTGGGTCGCGCATACGGGACCTCAATATCAAGACGAGCCAAAGCAACCTCAAAGCCCAGACTTCGCCGTACGTTACAGATACGCGTGAAGACGCAGCGGTTTGCAGCCCAGCCTGCCAGCGCGCGCGGCTCGAAGTGACTGCTTCGCCTCCGGTCGGACATTCGTATCCTGGCTTGAGGGTGTATGACGATCATATCGATGACAATGGGGTTGCCTGGGAAGTTGCGGCGACGAGTTCTCACAGGTTCAATGTGAAGCCGAGCTTGAGAGCCTCGAAATCGAGCAACTCTGTGAGCTTGCAAAGCCCGACTCGGGGCCAAAACAGGTTCCGAAATTCGCACATGTCCAACGAGTCTGTTGTCAACCGCGCTGGTGAAGCAAGATCAAATTTCAAGTCTCCCATGCGCTCTCAGGCCAACCTCCGAGCATCGTTGCCTCCTTTTCAGACGGTGCACGAGATCCTCGACAGCTCCAAAAAAGAACAGCAAGACGCGTTGGACATGTTCGATATGTATGGAGTCTCACGACCAGAAGGCCTCTCCAGCGAAAAGGAGCGACAGGAGGCGGTAGGGAAGACCGTCCAAGTATGTCATTCCTGTGGAGGACATCTACATACACGGGCCCGGTGTGCGAGATGCGGCCATGAGTTTTGCGTCAAGTGCAGAACGGAGCTGGTGAGCGGCCTTTCTACAAACCTTGGAGCTGGCCGTGGGCGTGGAAAAGACGAGGGGATGTCGAAACAGGAGGCGTGCCGCCATGGGGTCACTCACAGCCAGAGTGTAACCAACCTATCACAGCCAGTGCATAATCGAGACAGGAGTAAGTTTAGCTTCCAGTCACACTTAAAGCTGCGAAGCTGATCTCTTTCCACAGCATTACATCGTCTCTCCCATTCAAAGAGCAGTGATGCTGTCTCAACCTACCTCGGTCGGAGCCAATGTAGCCACGCTGAGGCAGAACGACACGCATATCAACAACTTCGACATGAACGCCGGCAGCGTCTGGACAAATCCCACAGCGAAACAGTCAGCGCTGAACAGCAGTACGCTTGCCCAGCTTGTCATGTCAGTACTGATCCGGCGAGACACAGTATCTGCTGCATTGCTCGACAGTCCCAGTCAGGCCAGGAGCCGGTTGGCCAGAGCACTGGAGGCGAATATGTGACATACAAAAGCAGTTCGAATGATTCTTTCAGGTCGGCTCAAAGGAAACTTGGAGTTGATGAACAGGCCGTCATGGCTGCTTCGCTCTCTTCTGGATATACCACTGCGGAACCGTTCTCGACACAGAAGCCAGACCGTCACGTTCTGTCAGAGGAGACAGCCAGTAAGTACCGGCTTTGCTATTGTCGGAAGGCCATTCTATCATGGAGATGGAAATGCTAACTGATAGACACCAGCGCCATCCTCTCGCTCACACACTCACGGGACCCGGCATGACAAGGACAGACAATTTCCAACTCAACGGAGAATGCATGGTCCTGGCAACGAAACTACCGCACACGCACAGCAGGCAATGGAACAAGACGCCTTCTGGATCAGTTCGGAGGGCCCTGGGACGCCTCGGCAAAACAACGTGCCTCAGTCAGGCGGAGGTGGCCACCAGAACACTCCAAGATTGACCCTGGAGGGAGTTGAACTTGACAGTGAGTTGAGCCGATCGTCGACATCAGTACCGGGCAAGGCTGTTTGGACGACTCCAGCAACCTCACCTCGAATATTGCCGTCTAGGGATGCTGACGATACGCCAGGACCTCCCCGCGATACGAAGTATGATAAACAGACGAGGAGCACTGGGAAACAGCAGCCGCAGGTGCCATTACGGGGGGATAGGGGCTCACCCGCAAGAAGAGCAAACAATTTGACTCCAGAAACAGCAAACAGAAGCGGCAGAGGGACTCTTGGATCCCGAGACTCGGTGAAGGTCGCGAGCGTAGGCAAAAGCCCTCAGCAAACGATCGAGTCATCGGATCCCTCAACATGGAGACGACAATTGAGGAAACTCAACGACACACCGGCATCCGGGGCTGGCTCCCCGCGGAAGGAAGATTTAGTATCATCTCCCGACTTTGATAGGCGTTTGCGTCAATCTCCAGCACAATCATCAAAGAAGCATCAAGCAGAGGCTGCTGTTGAAGAGTCAAAGATGGCTTCCGATAAGTCTAGTGGCGATTCCGAGATGCCCATAAGCCATCACATTTGCGAGTGGCGCACCCGGTACTTGGGGCTCAGTTCTGCCTTTGACAAGCTCAAACTCGAACTGGGTGAGACTTTGGACCAGCAAGAGAGCCAGCGCATTGCAGATGAAGAATCAGAGCGGCAGAGATACAGGGATGGTGGCATCGAGGGCTTGACCATAATCGTGCACAGAAGATTCAGGGAGGACTTGGTTCTCAACACGGACTTGAAGGAAGATTGATTCGCCCATATGGGTTGGCAACAGTAAGCAGCCAACGAAGGCACCATACTGACCACTGAATACATGTCACCAGTGGTGACTGTTATGTCGGAGACGCATCGTATTAGAGTATTCGTTAAGAGGATCAAGACGCGATGTGCGTTGTGAGAGTCCAGTATCTTGATATGGAACAGAGGCCGAGTAGGAGTTTGGTAGAAATTCACTTGAATTCTTATTGACTTGGTCGCATGAGTGCCATCAGTAGGTTGAAATGATCTATGAGTATCGAAGCAAGTTGTATCCTGCCTTTGGAGTACCGTATATACAACAGCGATAAGTGCCTGACTGGAGAATCAATGGCGACCATTTACGCCGCAGTTTGTCTGGATACGAGTTATTAATTGCAACTGAAGGACCTTTTTGAGATAGAATATACCCTGTGTATGGGGTGAGGTTGGTCTTTACACCCAAACAAATGGTTCACGGGCAGCATCTCACAAGGGGAAAAAGCAACAACAATCTCCTATCGTGAAAGGCCGGTGAAAAGGGGGTTTTGGCACGTGTACATCTCCAGAAGAAACCACATAAAGTGTGTGGAAGAGAGAGCTTGTAGAGCAAAAGAAAAAGCCACTCGAAAGGACGAAAGTTTCAGAAATATATTTCCGAGAGTGGCGTTTCAATGCTTTGGGAACCTCATGATGATTACAGACTTCGTGGCTTGTTTGCTCACGTTTTTCCTTCGTTTCTTCTTAAATGGTTCTACTTCTTTCACTTCGTTTTTGTCTTTTCTTGCTGTTCCGTCCTTTCTTACTTGTTCTTCCCATTCTCCTGTCTGTCTATGGCTTCACTTCTTGCCGTCCCATTCACCATAATGACAACTATACAGCAAGGCTCTTCTTCATTCTCCCATGTCTTCTGCATGAGCATGTTGACAGAGGGCATACCAAGTAGTAAATGGGACAGGGGGAAAAGAAAAGCAAAAAGGTCAATCGCATATTACCCTTCACACTTTCGGCATGACCGCATATCTCTCACTTTTGCCACAGAAGAAAAGAGCCTCCTATTGGAGAAACACCAAAACGGGAGAACACACATCACGCGGGGCCAAGACGAGACAGAAGACACAAATCTTCCCGTTCCAGCCCCCTTTGGTTTTTTTGTTTTTTTCTTTCTTTCTACGAATTACATATGTACTTTGCCTTGACAAGATCATGTCAAGACCCTCTCTTTCTGCCGCGTCAGGTCAGGCAGGTCGAGCAGCAACCCGCAGGACAGGCAGGCAGGCAGGCAGGCAGATGCGGCAAAGCAGGATGATCCTCTTCTCTTCAAGCGATCTACCAACCGCCATGTTTCTTACTGGGTGTGGGCTGGAGGGTTGTCAAGACGTACTAGCTCCCAAGGACAACGGCGATCGCGACGCCCAATGAGCCGCTCCCCCGGGAGTCGTGTGTCGAGACGGGCATGATTTGGCAAAAGTCCTACATCAGTCCGGCTAGTAATACATTACGCGAGAAGGAATGTACAGCACAGTACGGAGGAGTACAGGACTTCCTCGTAAGCGCCCCTTGTTGGGGGATACTATCGCTAGCTTAGCTGCTGTGGGCAAGGAAAGATGGCAGATGCTATTCCCAGCATGGGCTTGTGCGTGCCAAGAGGAAGCGAGCAAGAGCAGGCCATTGGTGCAAGTTCGCATAGGGATGGGTTGTCTCCTGTTGTTCTGATTCGGGACTTGGGGAGTCATCACAGGTGCTTGCCTCGCCAAAAGGGCCACGGGTTTTGCTGGCCAAAGACGGGCGGACCATGGCATCATCATACATGTATCATCTGCCAACTCGGGGACGGGAGAGGTTGGATCACACGTCGGGATATCCACAACGCATGTAATGTACCTTGTTCCAAAAGGGGAGACCACCCATACGCTGGCAGGTAGGGAATCAAAGACACAAAAAAAGAGATACTAGAAGACTGACAACGCGGTGCCGTCGCGTCCGCTTGCAATGCTACTCTAACCGTTAGCACGTGGGAATTAGACGACAAGAGGGAGACCATCTGTCTCTGCCATTGGCATGCTATCTTGCGGGCACAGTCTCCCGTCGCTTGTGACGAAGACGGTTTAGGTTATGCGTAGGCAGGGCCGTGGCACGAACCCGGGGGAAACCCGAGATGTGCCTCTTTCGTATGGTTTGTTTTGACGTGTTGATGTAGGTTGGCACAGAGCAAGTCATGCAGGAAGTTTGGGGAAAAAGCCTGTGCAAGTTAGCCAGTGTCCGCACTTTCGTACTTGGTACCTATAGGAAGTGTCATTCTCAGCTACTCCGCGTTTCGCGAGATGCCGTTTTGCAGCGAGTGAAGGGTGACAAGTTGCAAAAAGGAAAAAGAGCCCCCATCTGTGTGGATCGGGAGCTGGAACCCCAAAAGGGGCGGTCTGCGAAGGAGGGACATGGCCGTTTGACGAGGGAAGTTCTCTTCTTGCTCGCACAACTGCAGAGGATACCAGAAAGCCAGCAACTCGCAAAGAGAAACAAAAACGCAAAGGCAAACACTATTCTTGGAAGCCTGCGTTCTCTCATCTACTCATCTATGACGGTTGCTAGGGGCGAGTCAGCGAAGCGGTGGGAGGTCGAGACGGGTCAAGGCCGTCAGTCGTAGTCTGGTACATGTGCTCGTACCAAAGGCAGCAACCGGCACTTGGTAGGTACATAGGTATCCATGAACGTTCTCGATGAGGCCATCGTGAGAACTTGAGGCTCCTCCTCTCACAAACCTCACCGACTTGGAGCAGACGAGGGCGGGGGGGCAGAGGGCCTGGTCAGCTATGCCAACACACCCATGTCAGCCCAACAGCGGGACAGCCCTTTTCAGGTTGCCAGCACGCCGGGTCCATTCGTGTGCCTCGCAGGATCAGCAGGGTTCGGCTGTGTGGGGAGCTGATAGTGCTGCTGCTAGTAGTACATGCTACATAGCGAGTAGTCGAGGTGACAGCACATACGCAAGACTTCAAGCAAGGTCTGAGGTGGCAGAGCTTGACAGGACGGAGTTGCCATCCGCGATGCGGCCAGAACCCACTCAAGAGGGGGGGGGGGAACGAGCAAACACGGGCATGCCGCTCACAGCGTGGCATGAATGGATCCCAGTGTCGAGCCTTTTGGGGGCAATTGGCTCGCCTCTGAGCCTCTCTGGCCGCTTTGCTGGTTTGCTGAAGAGAGGAGCGGAAGCCCGATGAGGATGAACCGTCGATTATTCGTCACCGGCATCGTGCTTTTGCGCCTGTGGGGGTTGTCAGGACGCAGCTGTGCGTGTAACTCGTCCAGAGCAGACCCAGAAACAAAACGGCCAGGCTTTGCTCGACGACGACGACGAGCGAGCGACGGCGACGATGATGACGATGATGGGCGTGAGGGAGAGCACGCCAAGAGGGTCTCGGTAGCAACAGCAGCCAGGCCCTCTCAATGCTGCTTGCTCGCTGTGGACCTCGACGCAGGCAGGCAGGCTGTAGGTATCTAGTAGTATGCATGGCCACTGGAGGCTTTGCGGCCTTGCCTTGCCCGGTACAAACACAAAGGTATAGTCGCACTCGAAGGCATCGTAGCATTTCCATATGCTCTTCCAGCAGCATCTAGAACGGGGTTTGCTGCGCGACAAAGTTCGTACAGGACGCCCTGCGTCTGGCTCGGGTCAGCATCTTGTCGCCTCTGCTTCATCCCTTCCTGCTCTTTGTCTCTCCCTCTCGGACCTCCATCATCATCACGCTGGTAAAAACAAACAGGCAAACAAGAGTCCATGGCCACTGTTCTGCAGCTCCGTACCGAGTACGAAGGGGGTTTGGCCTGGAGAGGTTGGGGTTCCCTTTACCCTGGTTCTGCTGTATCATTTGGTGGACAGGGATCTTTGGTGGATGTCGGAGAAAAAAAAAAAGGTCGGGGAGAAGGCGGTGAGGCAGGCGGCAAAAACGCATCCGAGGCAGCTCAAGCCATCTCCATTCGTCAATGGGCGCATGAGGAGAAAGCGAAGAGACAAGGCAAAGAGACTGGGGGAAACAGGAGGGGAACGAGGGCCAGGGGAGCCATGATCATGAGAAGTGCTGGTCCAATACAATGTCGTCCATGATGAGAGATGCAGATAGCAGTGCGCATGGCCGTGTCCAAGGGACAGCTTGACTTACATACATATACCTACACAAGACCAGACGAGGCTGAAGCCATCTTCTCTCCCCCTTCTCTTCTCTCTCTTCTACAAATACCTGCTTGTACTAACACTTCCCAGACACCAGATACAGACAAGACAGAGCCAATTGTCAGATAGTACACCTCGACAAGCACCACCGCTCTTGACCGCATCAATGCTAGCCGAGCTTCGTTGTCTCCCTCCCCCCCTGTCCCCGTTCTCTCTCTGTCACCCCCTTGCACCAACCGCCCGCCGTTCAGTCTTTCCCTGATAACCAGATCGAGATGCCTGCAGCACGCACTTGCTTTAGTCCCTGTATCGTATGCATAACGATAGCGCGCACGTTTTTCCCTTTACGCCCCCCCCTGTCCTTTGTTTTTTTGCCCGGGAACCGTTGGCTGTTTAGTCTACTTGGTTGCTTTCGTGTTAGCTACATACTCGTAGCAGTTCCTGCGCCTGGGAGACGACGCCTTTCCAGCCCGCATGTCCCGTTGAAAGAGTGACAATGCCTCGCTTCTTCTTCTTGTCTTTCCGTTTTCCTGGGGGGCCGTCTTGGTCGGCTAAGATTAGCTTTTCCTTTCTTTCTTTCTTTCTTTCTTTCTTTCTTTCTTTCTTTCTTTCTTTCTTTCTTTCTTTCTTTCTCTTTTCTCTTGACTTTGTTCTTTTGTGCCCCCCCCCCC